CGAGCTGGAAATGTAAGCATTTCTGATTCGATTGCTGTGTAGCGGCTGGCGTTCCAGAATGACGCCTGAATGGCTCTGCAATTATCCCCGCATCCCATAGCCTAATTTGTGTCTACCCAATGAGGCCCTTGTTATTACCATGCGTGATGTTACTGGACAGCAGGCTGCAGAGTACAGGAGACATTGCTTTTTCTTCTTTTGCCAATATGCGGGTCGACACTCAGCATCAAAAGCTCAGTGGCGATCCACGCAGCTCTTCTAATGCAAGAATGATTTGATGGTCGCCTGTCGCGTGTAACATGTAAAGGGTGGGTCGACGGGTAGTGGCAGGATCTTACGAGGGATCTTACGAGTATAGCTGTCGTGTTCAAGATGCACCGCCAAGCAAAACGGGACATCCCTTCGTTCAGATGCAGCAGTCATGTAACTAAAAGTACAACCGAGAAGAAAGATAGGCCGGGTACCGATTACGTGCATATAGTATTATCCCTGGAACGCCTACCCTGTACAGTGCCTCAAGAGATGAGACGTTGTGTATTCAGCTCATGTCGCGCTTCGCGCGACAGGGAGGCAAAGCTTCATACGGTTCTGACCCATATTCCTACCTTGGAGGTCACGTACCTTGGAGGTCATCCCCTTGATGATTTTTTTTCTTTTAGAATAAACGCCTCCCATGTATACCATGGCCAGAAAGGGTAATTTCCGATGACACACCAATGCATGGCACGTAAAACTAAAGTAGGCTGTCAGACACAACAAAGCCATATCATGTGGGTATTCTCCATGGAATAAGTTGTTTTGTAGCGTCTTGGTACGGAATAAATGTGAAAACGAAGATGGTGGCCTGCTGAGTCTCCAACGATCGTGATCTACTGTGATAAGTGTGTTGCTGGTAGGCCAAAACAGAAAGTTCCGATGGTGTTGTAATACCGTTACTGCTTGTATGTCATTGAATTGCAGCACGTAAAGGAGTCTTAGAGGGATTCTAAACGCCGTTCATATGAAAAGTGCGCTCAACAATCTGCATGACAGCAGCAACTGTAATCAAGGGATTGAGCAAATGCCAAAAGGCCTAGACCTGTTGGATATGTTTGCTTGGATGTTTATTGCATGCATATTCGCATGGGTCCGACGCGCGTCGACTGGAATAGAGGGCGTCGTCCGATACGAGGGCATACGCATCATGCTTATTGCCACTGATTTTTTTCTTCTGTGAACGCATGCTTATCATCTCGATAATCAATCTAGATTTGAACTGACAGGCGAGTCAGTTGATGTTGTGAAGAGACCTGTTCCTTGCTAGACATGCCAATCATACGCGGTGTTTGGGTGTTTGGGTGTTTGGGTGACCACTGCGGCGTGGCGTGCCGTATGCACGACATCAAAGGGAATGTCGCCTGATCCTCTAGTCGTCGATCCCTCACATCGCTTGGGAAACTTTTTGAATGTGGATGTGTATGGCCTTGTGGAGATTGCGACAGAGTAGCAAGTTCGACTATGCGACCTACGGGCGCGATATGTTAATTGTTCACTGGCTAAGGGGTCTGGAAAAGCTTTGTTCAGCGAGCCAAACTCTAGTCGACCGCGATGAGTACGTATCAAACGTTGTCGGCAAGAGGACAAAGTCAAAAGAGGGCTTACCATACTCATCCAGTAGGATGCAGCTAAAGACTTTGCACACCGTTCACGTAAGGTAAGCAGGATCGTGGTTGCCCACCAGCCTCGAGGGTTTCTGAACGGTAGCGGCTAGGTGTCTGCAGAGGCTTGCAGATTTGGTTAATCAACTTTACCCTGGCCCCCCGACACAGTGAGAGTTGCAGCGGCCCTCAATTTCCGGTAGTGCGGGATAATAGTCAATATCGTTCGACACAGCCAACGACGTTAGGACCGAAAGTAACCATACAGTTGGAAACACAGTCAAGGCCGGTAGATTTGGAGCAATGAAGGTGTTGCGCGCGCACCCCCTCGCATCCGCCCTGGGGTCTAGTGATCAGTCGGATCGATTGCTGTCCACATACCCAGGCCAAATGACGTCTGCGTCCCTCGATAGCTCGGCAGCAACCTGGTGTGAGTGTGTGGGGAACGAGCAGGGTGCCACCCCATGGTTGTCTAGAGCATTTCAAGACGGGCGATCCGAACAAATGGCGCACTCGTACATAGTGGCCGCCAGGGATGGCGGCCACAACCCTGGCCCCAGCGCTGAGAGGCGTGCGGCGCTTCTGCCAAAATCTGACCCTTACAGGCGCTGCTGCTTACCATGTATCTGTGCGCTTGACTGAACCCGTCGCTAAATACGTGCTAGAGGTGGATGGTGTGCATGTGTGAAATCAAGCCCCCATGTGACTGAAGGACGCTAGCGGCCTAGTTGATTGTAGCTCGCAAGCCCAGCAACCACACCACCCGCCCCCAGCCCGCTTGTTTGCCCGTCCAATTCCACCATACGCGATTTGTATCGCGACTACTGGCGAAATCCAGAATACACAGCATGGGCACAGCTCCGTATCTGCTGACACCCGATCTATCTGTGCGCGCAATGGATTCCAAGGCTGGGTAGCGTTTCATTCGACGATCGGACGGACTGGGATTAAGACAAGTCGTCACTGACCGGACAGCAGGATTTTAGGGGACATGGGGACTTGGATGCAGGTCTTTGTACTGCTACCAATTCAACAAGTATCGTTAGAGGGCTGCCTTGCGCCGGGGTCTGCAAAGAGTAACGCTCTTCTGTTAGGGGTGCCGTCAATAAGCGAATGAGCTCGACCGGTGCATCATCTCCTGCCGATCAGAACTATTGATCGTTTATCAATACAGCCAGGTGTGCCGATGGTGGTTTGTAAGAGCATAATGTCAGATGGTCGAAAAGAAAGCGACAGTGTTGTCCACCCAACAGCTGCACAGTCTCTTCTGATTTGGCAGCTGTACCGAAAAAAAAACTGCGCGTCAATTAGTGGACTGCAGGGATCATTTATATCTGTATCTCTGTATTGTGGGAGTAGGAAAACCACTCGCCATCTTCGATGATAACCCTGAAATGTCTCAGTTGAATCGAATCCACCAGTCTGTTCTGGTCAGCGCTTGCGCTCTTGTTACGTCATTGGCGTGTTGCTGTCCTTACACTTGACCAGGGCTGGCTGGGGAAAGCCTATGTTTCTAGGGCCATCTACAAAACATTGTCGGAATGTTGCGCGAGTCAAGACAAGATGCGAATCTGGTGCTGTAACAGTTGCTGATACGAATGCAAGCGACGGGATGGATAGAGTCATCCTACCATGCCAGATCTTCGCCAGTTGCAACAGATACTGAAAGGCCATGCCACTGCCCAGGCTGTGGTTAAAAATTTTCTTGTACAGAAACACATGATGGGAGTCGATGTTTAACCCACCCCTGTCCCCACTAGGGACGTGTGGCCCGACTCGTCAGTTGGGGCTTGGTATGGGTTCAAGAGGACTTCCGAAACAGGCAACTTCAAGAGCGAGTGACCGAATTAGGTAGATGGTGTCCAGAGTGTGGAGAGGGTTACAGCGGGTGGGAAAATAGAGTCAGACCAACCGGCCCTTGTCGGATAGGAAAATGGCTAGTCAGTGAGCAAAATTTTGCTCGGAGTGTGAGAGGGGAGCAAAAGGTGGTCAAGATCGCGACTTGCACAACGAGGCTCCCATGGCTAGAAGAGTGAGGGACAGTTTCAGCCCTGCGACTGGCAGGTGCACTATGGCATTTGAGGCTCTATATGTGTACGCTTCTTGGGTCCCTGCCTCTCATTATGCCGTGCAGAAGCGCGCAGCTGCATGTCAACAGCGACAAGGTCGGCATTTCGCGAGGAAGCGGCACACGATCCGCAATACGCGGAGGATCAGCTTGCCGCAATGCCCTATGGTAGATGACGCAATTTCCGGAAGTGCTGTGATCAGAGTACATAGACGGTCAGTAGTTTTGCCGTATGCGGTAACCTCGTATGGGCGTGTGTAATACTAGAGTCTCGGCCTCTTTATGGGATTAGTATGACAGTGTTGGGGGGCAACCGGGGTATTTTGAGCATGTCATTTTTGGGGGGAAGGGGGAAGAAGAGGACGTGGTATGATCAAGTCGAGGAGCAAGAGATGGTGCAAAAGATGTTTCTATGTGTGTCTTGATGCAGAGGTTGTTGATGGAAGTGACAAAGGGAGTTCCATGCAGGGAAGGCGCCAATGCCAACGCCCAGGCCGAATGTCGTTGGATCGCTCACAGGATGGGCGGGCGCCCACCATGATATATTACATGCATGATGCATAGGCAGCCTGAGGACGACACATGGCGGGTCGACGAGGTTATTGGGTGCGCGTAAGTGATTCCGCGGGCCGAGGGTTGGATCTGCAAGAGTATGACAGCAACCCCGTCTTTGCAGCGGCGTACAGGAGGGGGAGGGCAGTGGGTGGGCAGTTTGGTGACGATGCAGGCGGAAGACGGGCCATGTAGGTCTTGATGCGGAGCAGGTACCTTTCCAAAGCGGTAGGGGCAGCGGCAGAGTGGAAATTGAATGCAGCTCGTCATTCGAGCGGGTTCTGCAAGTGGAAATGAGTCCGGGTTGGGAACGAGGCATCAGCCCACGTAGGAGGACTACATGGCACTAGCGGATGGATGAATGGCAGAAGGGCAAGAGGGCGCGAGGGCAGACAAGCGAACTGGCGAATCACATGACCGAGACGGGCGTCAGGGCAAGCACGTCGCCCACGTCGCCCACGTCGCCCAGGTTGCCCACGTCGCGCCGCGGCTGCAGGGTGCAAGAGGGCTCGGCTACAGGTTGACAGATGGATTAATTTAGCAAAAAAGGGACCCTGGAAAAGTAGAGCCATGGTTGCAGCGGCTGCAAGACCGCGATACCAAGGGCAGGCTCGAGTCGTGGCGGGAGTGAGGCGGCGCAGGCAATCAATTGGCAGTGGCGGGAGTGGGAGGAGGTCGCGGTGCAGGCTGGAGACGCCAGCCCTGCCGCCAGGCGAGCATGAGCAGGGCCAGGACGAGCGCGTATGGCTCTGGCTGGTGCTGGTGCTTTTTGCTGGTGCTGGTGCTGGTGCTTGTGCTGGGGCTGGGGCTTGCTGGGGCCGGAGTGGACGACTCCGCTTGCAGCGGCTAGCGCATGGACAGTGGAGAGACTGGCAAAGAGTGGGCAATGGGCAATGAATGGGCAGTGGGCAGCGCAGGCAAGTATGTACAGTAGTACTGTTAGGCAGAGCAACTTACAGGCCTAGAGCAATTGATCTCAGATGGGCTGGCGCCAAGCGGGGGCACAGAGTATTGGCCATGGACCCATCGATCATCAGCCGCATCGCTCGCACAGCACAGCCCGCCGCCGCCGGCTTGGGGCGTCAGGAGGACGTCGACAGCCATGCAACAGCAGCCGGGGCAGAGAGGCGGGCGGCGCGCCTTGGTCCAGTATGGCGCCATGAGGTGAGCATGGCGGGTGTGCGTCGTCGTCGTCGTCTTCGGTAGTGGTGGTGGTGGTAAGTAGTAGTAGTAGTAGTAGTAGTAGTGATGGTGGTGGTGGCCGTGGCTGTTGTGGTGGGGGGGGGCCACAGGTAGGCTGTCTCGTGCCCTCGTCCTCGGCCTGCTGTGTGCGTGTGTGTGTGTGTGTGTGTGTGTGTGTNGTGTGTGTGTGTGTGTGTGTGTGTGTGTGCGTGTGTGTGCGCACACCCAGAGCACCTCCAGCTCCAGCACCACCAGCACCTCCAGCACCGCCAGCACCACCACCGGAGCAGCCGCGGGGCGGTTGCACCACCGTAAATGGCCCTGGTCAGCAACGCACACCACAGTGCGTGCAGTCGATCCCTGACAGCGCTGCATCCAGGGTGCCCTAGGCGTATGCGAGCGATTCAACGGCTGGCGGGATCCAAGAATCCATGGGATGACGCTTTGGCACAAAGGCGCATGTGCTATTCCCGACTCGTGTCGCCCCTCCCCCCCCACCCATGTTGCCTCTGGAAATTCGCGACCTCATGCTCCAGCCATGTTCACACTACCCCAAAGTCTGCTAAGGGAATCTCATGCAGCTTAAACAGCGCCGGGAAGCGAAACATGTCCTCGCCGCCCTAGCCCGCTCGCAAGCATACGTGTTTAAATACCTGTCACTTCCGCTTCTTCCCCGATGCAAGCGGCTTTTCACTCCCACCATTCGATGTGATCTTCGTCTACCATACTCTGTCGAAGCTCACATCCCCATCTCCCACACTCGTTGGCCGCCCGCCGCCATGTTTCCCTTTTCACTGACCCTGTTCCCTAATTGGAGCTGGCTGTGCATCTTTGTCGTGCTTTTGTATGTTGACAATGCCATCACCATTATCACTCCTCCTCCTCTTCCTCTTCCTTGACCTCCTTGACTACCTCCTCCTTCCCGCTCCCGGGACTACACTGACTCGTTGCCATAGTTTGTTTCGTTATGTCCGTCTTTGGGTCAACCTCGCCAGCAACTGGACGTACACGCCCATGCAGCCTGTCGACGACCCAACAATCACCTCCAAGGACATGACCGTCATCATTCCCACTGTTGCCGAGGATCTCCAGCAATTAAAAGAGACGGTCCAAAGCGCATATCGCCTCGAGCCCTTTGAGTTGCTACTCGTCACGCCTGACTCGCGTGTTAAGCGTGTCTATCAGATGGTTGAAGAGCTCGGCAGTCCCAAGATTATTCAGGTCTTGTCCGTCAGCCAGGCCAACAAGCGTCGCCAGCTGTGCCGCGCCATTCCCGAGGTCGAGACCAAGATCACGCTTCTTCTCGACGACGACGTCTGGTTGCCTGAAAAGTTCACCAAATGGATCCTGGCTCCCTTTGAGGACCCACGCGTGGGCGGAGTTGGCACCAACCAGCAGATTCGCCGCTTCAACCGCTCTAACATTTGGGAATTCTTAGGCGCCATCTACCTGGTCAGGAGAAATTTCGACTGCACCGCCTGCAACTGGATAGACGGCGGCCTGCCCTGCCTGTCCGGCCGCGCCGTGGCCTATCGATCTGAGATTTTGCAAGACCCAAACTTCACCTATGGCTTCACACACGAGACATGGGGCAGCGACCACTTCCTCAACGCCGACGACGACAACTTCATCACCCGCTGGCTGTTTTCGCACAACTGGAGAATTCAGATGCAGAACCACCGCGAGTGCGAAGTCGAGACGACGCTTGAAGACGACTCCAAGTACCTGCGACAATGCCTGCGTTGGGTCCGTTCCAACTGGAGGAGCAACCTGACTAGCTTGACCGAGGGTTACATGTGGATGGTGAGTTTGCTAGTTCCAATATTTGCACAAATTTCGCGTCGTCGAGGCGCCAAGCCTGCCCCTCTTTTCACTAGCCGGTTGTGCATAATGACCCTTTTGCTGACACCACTTGACGCGACAGAGGTACCCATGGTCACTATATGCCGTCTTCCAGACCACCGTCACCCAGTGGGCGTTTCTGCTCGACTGCGCCCTGTTCGCATCGGCCTATTTTGCTCTCTGTGAGACTGGATACTACCCAGCCGACGCGGGTCAACTGTCGCGTGCCGATAAGTGGCAGCGCTCGCTTCTGTGGACACTGTTTATCGCGCATTGGGTCTTTGCAAAGACGATCAAGCTAGTGCCGCATCTGCTAAGAAACCCCGGCGACGTCCGCTTCGTGCCCATCTCGATTCTCTTCGGTTATTTCCACAACCTTATTAAGCTCTACGGCTGCATCACTGTCACAGAGGTATGTTCTCCCATCCACCACCAGGCGCAACCAGCATCATCGCTGGCAGCCCACCTTGTACATGGCTGACATATGTTGATCAGACTACATGGGGCACCCGTGAGGGCGCCGATGCAGACGACAACATCCGAATGTTGCCGATCCCGCCGATGGCAGCGATTACGCCTCCCCTGACACCTCCGCCAGGCGGACGCGTCCTCCGAGAGCGATGCGCCGGCTTCCCAATAATGAAGTAGACGACCGTTTCCACTTTTTGGTTTCGCATTCTAGCCCTCGGCCACACTTTTTTTTCCTGGATGCCGCAGTCATGTTAGACGCATCACAGCCTTTGATCAGCCATTTTCCCCCCATTATTATTATCTCGCACTATTACTATTACTTTGGAGCATGGCCCGACATGTGCCAGGGGCATGCAAGGTAGAACAGCATTGTCTTGTTTCCCAGTATTTTTGGAGCGTGGCAGCTCTCGGATACCACCAAAAGGGGCCCGGTTGGGACGATTGCATGGTGTTTTGGCGTTTGACGGCGCGAGGCCGAACGAAATTTGCAGCGTCTTTTTTTCTCTTCTTGTTCTTTTATTTGTTCCTGGCCATGTCACGGAGTTGGTCAATAGCCAACCGTTGTAATTTATGCAAAAAAAAAGTTGCAATGATATGGATTTTGTTGGACAGAGTGGTCGTCTCGCTACGAGACGGGATTCGCGCAAACAGGACCAATGTGGATGCCAACAAGACAAGCTGTTTCCCAAGCAACAAAGACAGGCGCACATGCATGGCATGCCGCAACCGCACAGCACCCTGGTCAGGTATCTGGCTTAGGCGTGCTACCCGCGCTGCACGGCCTACAGGTAGCGCGAACCATCACCCGCTCGCCAGCCCGATGGCTTCCAACTTGATCTGGAGTGTGAGCCGAGTCGAGGAGTGGTGGGCGGCATGTTATCTCAAGACGGACTACGCTACACTACTCGGGCCATGGAGACGGGCATGCAATGCAGGCCAAAGGGGAGTCCAAGACGGCAGGTGCGAAGGGGGGCCGTGTATGTATGTGTGTGTGTGTGTATGTACATATGTGGCATGTATGTATGGATGGATGGGATGGGTGTATGTATGTGTATGTACGCTGGCTGCGTACCCAGCCTGTAGGCATGGCGACGGGGAGGAAGGGAAGGGGGGCCTTCTGTCGCAACGAACCCACTTGCTCTGCAACCCGGGCCTGCACTCTGCACTGTATCTGCACTCTGGGCACTCGCACTCTCCACACTCGGAGGCACTTCGTATCTCCGCGTGTGGCCGTGGCCGTGGCTTTGGCCCAGGGCAATGCAAGTACAAGTGTACGGCTACTACTCGACTACTCGCTCGACTACTTGGACGTAAGAGTAAGTACTCGACGTGGACGTGGACGTGGACGTGGACATGGACAGCAAATAGGCGCTGGGGCGCCGTGGCTTTGGCCTCTCCCGCACCGCGCCCGCCCTCGACTGAGCACCAACCAGCAATGGGCGGCGGCCGCAGCCTCCTCGGGGCGCCCTCGCTCACGGCCCTCGCTCGCCCACGGCCCTCGCCCATGGGCCCTTCTGCCCCCCGCCAAGGCCCTCAGACGACGCCCTCCCCACTGGCGACCTGTACGCCCACACGCCCACGCCCACTCAAGCGGGCCTGCATGCTGCACGGCCTACTGGTAGTCGCGCCTCCAGGGAAACCTTGCCGGCGCCGAACTTCTCATGCACACTCGACTTCGCTTGCCTTCAGTAATCATCATTGTGCGTTGCGGCAATTTTACGCACCACCCTGCCCACCCACGACGCAACACGCCCACGCCTACGCCCACGCCCACACCCGCCCGCCGGGACGAGGCGAAAAGAAGCAAAAAAACAACACCACCACCAACGGGCAGGACTGTGACACGCCTCGGCCTCGAACAGCCATAGCGAGTCAGCACGTCGAGCGGCAGAGACCCTTTTTGTAGCAAACCTTATGCTTGTCGTCCCGCTCCCGCAGGCCTGTGCTGTGTGTGTCCAGAGGGCAACAAGCTCAGACGCTAGCCTGGCGCCGACGGCGGCGCGACGCCAGGCCCATAGCTCTCCACCTCTCCACCTCTCGTCATAGCTGCCTGTTCGCTATCCCACCCCCAACTTTCCCCAGCAGAGACAACATCAAGCACCACCACGTACACGTTTCCACCAACGCTGAGCGGCCAAGTATCTGCAAGCCTCGCTGTCCCGCGCTCCCCGATGCACCGCACCCTCGCACACGGCCTAGGCACGGACTCGCAGTTCGACGGTGGTGAGCCGTGCCCAAGCACCCCATACTACCACGGCGCGGAACATTTTCATTGGTGCTTCTGCCGACCCGAAATTCTCCAAAAGGCTCAGGTGCAGCCTGGGCGCGCGTGCGCGCCACACACGCACCTGCGCCCTTGTTGCTTGCCAGTCCAAGTCCCTCGTAAAGCAGCCCCCCTCCACCCCCCCTCCCCATCGAGATGGCTCTACTAATGCCAATCTACTCTACTCCTACGCGGTAGCAACATGGCGCAATCACGTAGCCTACGACACGCTTCACTACACCCGTCAATTGTGGAAACTTCCATGTCGCCACCTGTCTGTGCCCGCCTGCCTGCCTGCCCTGACAATAATAATAATAATAATAAGTCCTCGCCTAATATGTAATGCTGATGCCGGTGATGATGATGCTGATGATATTGTTGTTATGGGTCTTACATATTCTTCTGGTTGCCATTTGTCGTCTCCCACGTTGCTCGTCACCACACATCCGCATCCATACAGCCGGGTCCCAGGCGAAAACTCTGCACCCCTTCGCTTCACGCGCGACACACGATTTCGGGTTGCCTGTAAGCACTCTGGACTCATCGCATACATTTCCCTTTATCTTGCTTAGGAAATATGCTTCCGCGCTCTTATACCCGTACTCTGCAAGGGGACATGCCTCGTCAACCCCACTCAATCTTAGTTTGGCGAAAGTGGGCTGGACTCATCAGGCCAATATGACGAGAGTAGGGATAAAGCATTTCCCCCTTCCAGCCAACCGCTGCCGACGGAATTGTCTGGTAGTAATGACTGTCTGACGACATCGGACATGGAACCTGGCACAAAAAAGGCCTGGGCCTGCTCAATACTTCGTACCACGCTCTCTCATGTCGGCCGGTTTTATCTGCTCATGATCATGTCACATTGTCTGACACCATGGCCGCTAGGCTGCATCTGGCGTGCCAAGCACTGTGCTTTGAAGAATCTGGGGTGGGGGGGGGGCTTGTGCAGTAAACTTGGAATTCGACATCTGCAAAGCGAAAAACATTTCCCGATTCCATCCCAACCAACGACGTGCTCGGCCTTGCATCTGTCCGAAAATGTCAAAACTTGTAAATTTTCGTCATGTCTGGTGCAACAAATTTTCTCCGGCGCCGTGCATGGGTGTACAGTACACACGCACATGTCTATGTATCGTTGGGAGGGGTCCATCGACGTCACGAAGCGGGCGTGTCAAACGTAGTGCTCGCGCCGAGCCGGTCCTGAACCGAGATCGAGCTACAGGTGCAAGCACGACCTGGAACTGGTCCCATGTCAGAATGGACAGATGCAAAGCGACCATGGCTGGCCACCGGCGACTGCGGGAGATCTTGCGGCGAAACTTCTACGGCCTGCATACTCAAAAGATGTGACATGGCATTCGCAATACCTACCCTGGTCACGTGTCAATTCTACATCTAGTCATTCCAGGAACGCAGCTGCATAACCCACTGTCGTGCTCGGAAATGATATCGTCATTGCTGTCTGTTTGCGGCGCCAACTCCACTGCTTGCGCGTCGAGTAGCGCCGTACGAAAGTGTACTCCTGCGGACACCCCTACTAGCATCTATGGTCTCGGTACAATAGCGATGGGTCCGATCCTGGCCGATCCAGGGTGCGCTAACACATCCCTAAGAATTGCCTTTTCCATGGTTCGTCGATCTTTGCAAGATGACGACGTCCGACAACGCTCTTACAGTAAACCTTCATTTACGTCCCCACACAACCACCACGCAAAACTATCATCCCCTGCAGCTGCACGTCAACGCTGCGCGCCACTAAAGCCACACTTGACCCTCAGCCGCATCGCCATCTCATTGACCAGAAACCTACCATCTTGAGCAACGCTGACGGGCGGCCCTTTGGCCAGAGCGAGCCACAGCGCGTATTACTACTCCACAGTAATAACCGCGCTAAAATGTCGTGCAGGGCGACTGAGCCCGTCGCTGACTCGACTTTTGTCTGGATCAAGGGTCTTGCCTGTCTTCTCCACAATCACGGCTACACTCGCTGCGTCCAGACTTTTCAACCCCACCCTTTTCTCTCTCATGTTAAAACTGCCGGATAGCCTCTCCGTCTCAGTCGAATTTAGGCGTTCTATCCCGCACGAGTCAGCGTTTGATGTTTCGTCTTGTCCATCTCAGTACTACCGCACCTTTGACGCACATATACTCCTTACATACTCTCTTAAGTACATTGCTTGATAAGACGCGGTACGTATCCCTTAGCCACGCCCACTAACACGGGTGCTGACGGATGATGGGCAAACGGGTGTGGATACGGAATCATCTAGTGCTCAGCAAATCTCTGCCCGTGCCAACTTTTTGCTCACCATTCTGAGGTGACACTTGCACTCGCGACCCAACAAGGGTGGCCCACTTTCAGACCCTCTCTTTTGGGAATACCGAAAAGCATCTTCCGCCCACTGGTGGAGTTACTAGAGGCGCGGATCGGGAGTGTTGGACACGTTGAGCCACTACAGTGTCACAGCTTGCTGGCTACAGGGCCGACGGCTTTTTTCTTCTTGCTTCGTACATGCTGCGACATGCCGATGCCTGCCCCTCGGCATAGGCCGTCCATACGCCGCACCCATCACATGCGACACCACATACATTCCAAATGCATGAGATAGTGCAGAGCCTCACCCACGTCTTACGCACGAAGGACAAGTTTGTTTGTTGAGCTGCGCGAGCCACGTTCGGCCCTTCTCCGGCCCTCTTTCCTCCGCTTACCCCTCCTTCGCTTCCACTTTTTCCCACTTTGACTTCGGGAAATACTTGACAATAGTGATGCAGTTTTTTTCTTCCAAGGCACGTCAAGTAACGCAGGGAAAAAAATCCAACTACTGCCAAGCTTCAACGCAGCCCGGTTTCATCTTCGCAAGCGGAACTATACTACGGTTTCGACTGACCTCGTTCGTGGACGACGGTCGCTTCCAGCTACCCCACATTTGTTTTGTCAGCTTTCATGGGCCTGCAGTTGAACACTTGTCCTCCGCGTGTGGCTGGCAGACACGGGACGAGTAAGCGCCTGTCGCTTGCCCTGGTCGGGAGCAACTGCCTTTTCAACCCACGTCAATACTTTGCCGGCCGGCGTGCGCGTAGAGACATGCAAGAAGTATCTCCGTCGTGCCCTCGTTGGCCTGACACATTGCTATGGGTTGCGCCCTTTTTTAGAACCGTGAGGCCTAGATGCAAGCCTCGCAGATGCTATACACCTAGACTGCTGCTCGTGGACCCCCGATGAATCCGTATGCATGACATGCAGCTAGTGTATTTGCATTTGCATCGCTAAGACTTGAATCGACGATGTCCTATCGCGCCCCTGTCAATGAAGGAAAGGTATCCCCGGCCAATGTTTTCAGACTGGATATCTACATATACATGGAGTACTGATTGTTTAGAAATCCAAACAGCCTACGCTCTCATGCACTCTACAATTCAACGCTAGTTGGACGAATTGTTTACTCGAGGTGGTTAGGGGCTACAGCCCCTGGGCCATGAAGCCTTGGCAAGTGTAGTCAATCGAGACTTTTCCCAACTTTCTGTTCACATGGAACAGTCCATAACACAACAGGGTGATCTGCTAATGTATTTGTGTACTCTATACGTCTTGACTGCTCAGTTGAGCCTATAATGTTGGTGGGTACGGGGCCAGTCCTCCTCGGAGCCTCATTACCCCGCCAAATGCGGAGAGCATGGAGGTGACGACTCAGTGGGCATCGCAGCAGCAGCAGCAATGGCGAAAACCGCTATTTGAGACAATCTAAGCGCCCGTGTCACCTCACTTCATATTATACTCAGCAGCTACTGCAAACAAGTCTGCATTTTCTTCTGCACGCCACCTCTAACATCACGCCAGCAAAAACGCTTCACTAAAACACACACACACACACACACTACTACCCGACTTCCAACCAATCAACTGAATTATGTCACAGCCTCATCAGCGCATCCTGGATTCGCACATCCATCTCTGGCCTTCGACAGCAACGTCATCTTCTGAACATGGCTGGATGACACCCAACCACCCTCTCGCCAAGCGTCACGGAATCTCAGACTACCTGTCCATTGCCTCATCACCACCCCCAACCGGGTTCATATATGTAGAAACAGACCGCTACCTACCATCACCTCTTCCCAGCGACATTTCTTCTTCCCCATCCGGCGAAAAAGAAATCGAAGAAGCGAAGCAGAACCTCTCACAATGGGCCGCACAGCCACTAGAAGAAATAAAATTTCTCCGACGAATCGCAGAAGCCAAACCAGATGACGGCGATGGATTTTCACCGCAAGAAGCTGAAAAAATGCTCGGATGCGTAGTATATGGCCCTCTGCACTTGTCGCCTGCTTTATTCCGTATCTACCTTGAACTAGCGGAGCAAACAGCTGGACCCAAGTTGTGGAGCAAAGTCGTGGGATTTAGGTACCTGCTCCAGGGAAAGGGTGACGGCGTCGTGCAGCGCATGTTGCAAGAGAATGAAGAGTCGTGGGTTAGTAACCTGAGTGAATTGAGACGCGGAAACAGTGGCAAGGGCTGGGCCTTTGATGTAGGAGTTGATATCAATCGAGACGGGACTGGACCCATGGAAGCGGTTGGCAAGTTGATTGCGAAAGTGAGACAGGAAGAAAAGAAAGAAGGCGTGGAAGAGGGAAAAGGGGTAAGATTCGTGTTGAGTAAGTGTCCCTCGTTTTTTTCTTCTCTTCAATTCTCCTACCTAAAAATGTTTTTCACTAATTGCAATGAACATTTGGGACTACTTGACTAACTATACCAGACCACCTCGCGAAACACCCCCTCTCCCCTTCTGCTCCAATCCCAACCCCCATCTGGATCTCCTCCATCTCCTCCCTCTCCTCTGATGCCTGTGTCTCGATGAAATTCTCTGGCGCTCTCAACGAATTCATAGACACCCCCAGCACCCCCTCTGACATCCCCACCCTCGTGAAAACCCTCTCTCCCTTCTTCAACCACGTATTCCAGTCCTTTGGCGCCCGCAGGATCCTGTTCGGCAGCGATTGGCCCGTGTGCAACGTCGGTGGGCCAAAGGGCGAAGCAGGGAATTGGTTGCTGTGGAGGGAAGTAGTGCAGGGGTGTTTGGAAGCCGGGGGGTTGAGCGAGGAGGAGAAGGAGAGCGTGTGGTGGGGGGCCGGGTGTGCGGCGTATGCTTTGGATGTGTGATTCGGAGTCCACTGAATTGGGACCGGAGGGGGGAAGGAAGGAAGCGGGGAAGAGTGAGGGGGTAAGGGGATGTTGAGGCTTGGTAGATGGTAAAGTGACGTGACATGACCTGATTTCGACTGCTCTTGCCACTGAATGAATTTATATTGCACACCTGCCCTCTTCTCGTAGCTGAACAATTTGATGTTCTACAATGTTCCTCTGCCTCGAAAAGTTGGTCATATAACCTGGAACGACCTGGCCAAAGGACCTACTCTACATACGGATTCATCCTTTCCACAACCTTACTTCCACACACACCCACACCCACACCCACAACTGACCCTCTATAAAGGAAAGAGAAGAAGAAGAAGAAGAGGAGGAGGAAGAGGAAAAAATTAAAGCAGGGAAACGATCAAAAATAATCTAATAAAGTTCACAAGACCGGCCTACTACAAATCGACAACATACTCTATCCTTTCACTCAGCATTCAAGCTCAAACCCCCCCTACATCCCTCCCCTTCTTATATCGACAAGTCAACAAGGCGTCTACCTACATACCCTTCTACTCCCATGCAACCCAACCCACCCAGTCCCACGCCGTCGTCACCCTCGGCATCTTCATTTCTTTACTACACACACATATATATATGTATGGATCCATGAACCAGCGTCCATATAAACACTCTTCGACATATCGCCCCCCCCCCCCCGCAAAAAAATAAATCGATTGAAGTATCAGAAAACTCCATGTGTGTGCGGCAACAAAAAAAAAACACAAAGGTGTGTAAAGCAAAACTCCTAAAAAATCCTTGAAAAAAAATTTCCGGGTATATACAAAATACTGCAAAGCAACTACTTTTCCCTTTTCCCTCCCTCCCTTCCTCTTTCTCTCCCTCCCCCCCCCTAAACATATACCCCTCCCCCCACACCCTCAAGCAACAACACCCCAAACACAGCCTTCCCCCCACCCTCTGCTCCCTCGCCACCCTCGCCACCCCCTCTCACAACACCCAAATAAGCCCCTAGTTCCTCATCATCCGTAATCTGCACCCCGACCTCTCTCCCCTCTCCCGACCCCTTGTACGCTATCAAGCCCTCCAACTTGCGTACTTCGGTTCCCGGGTGCTCGCGGGTAGCTAGGTTATGCAGTTCGGATATAGACGGAGAGTGGAGGATGGAGAGCCAGAGGGATTTTGTGGGAAAGGGGGTTGAGGAGTGGGGGTGGAGGCGGAAGTAGATTGGGAGCGGGGTGAAAGAGCAGGGAGTGGTGGAGGTGTTGGTGGTTGAGGCGGGATAGTATGTGTGCTGGTAGTGGGAAGCGGGTTGGTATTGTCCTGGTTGGTAGCGGGATTGGGATGGGTAGTCGGCGGTGGGGAGGACGGAGGCGTCGCTGGCGGCTAGGAGGAGGGAGGGGTCGATTTGGAGGTCTGAAGGGGCGGTCGGGTAAGATGGTTGTGGCGGTTCGTCGCGGGTGATGTTTGTGTGTGGGCGCTCTTTGGTGCTCAGGGTTGTGGGATGAGGAGCGACGACAGGCGGTGCAGGTCCTGGGCCTGGTCCCTGATGGACCTGGCGCTTCTTGTTTGGATCTTTGGCTGCGTTCTCCTGTTGTTGTCTCTTCGTGACATCTCGAGCCAGGACTTCGAGAGCTCTCAGTTTCCGTGCATAGTCTGGGTCGTTTTCGCCTTGCGAGAGCGCCTTTACTAGGTGCTCAGACTCATTGACCCAGGTCTGCTTCAGTTCTGTCCATTGCGCTTCTCCCGCCTCGAGTTTGTTCGTAAAGTGCGCTGTTCTCAGCTTTTCGGCGAAGGCGCTTCGTACGCGTCTCGTTTGCTCGGGGTTGAGACCAAGGATGTTCTTCGCGTCGGCGAGACTCATCCGTGTATTCAGGGTTCGTAGGCGCTTCGTGACATCCATGCAAATGACATCTAGCGACAGAGCCCGCTGGCCTTTTGGTCGAAATAACGCATCATGATTCTGTAGCACTTCAGGTTCCTGCTGGAAGACTTCCGTCAAATGTGTATTTTCCTTGATGAGCTGCTGTACAATCTGCGCCCATTTCTCAGGGCCAGCAATCGTCTTCTTGACAACGTCCTCAGCCTTGCAAATATCGAGAAAACGCTCTCGTAACTCGCGATACATATTGTTATCAAGACAAAGGTATGCCTTTGCTTCGTCAATGGTCGTCTCAGACGGAAATCGAGGAGGCTCGCCAGGCGCATCTGCAGGCAGCCCAGCCCAACCGCGAGTTCGCCTTCGTCGTTTCCGCGTACGCCATTTCTCGTCGCTCTCGGCCTGCAGTTGTTGCTGTCGTAATTGTCTCCGAAGCACATCCTCTGGGCTCAAGCCAACAGTGTCGGGTTCAGGGATTATAGGTCGTGCTTCTTCCGACTGTTCCGCAGACCCATCGCCAACCTGTTCCTCTTCCCCGCTCTCCTCCTCGCTTAAAGACTCCTCTGCTAGTATCGCGTTTCCAAGCTGATTTATGAGGCCTTTGCCAGGTATGACCTTGGCTGTCTTCTTCTTTGCCTTCTTCTGTATTCGCCCACCGGTCGCCGGTGCCTTTTTCGGCTTGGAGACGCGCTCTCTGAGTAGAAGCTTGAGTCTTAGCCGCAGACGGAGCAATTCGCGGTCGCTGATGTCGAACCCCTCAGCCTGCAGGTTGTCCATCATCTCCTTCTGAGTGCAATTTTGTTCCCATAGTTGCTGAAGCCGTGCGACGAGAGCGGGGTTTTTGTGCGCCGGATTCTGTTTGCTCGGAAAGTCCCATCGCTGCCATTTTGTCAATCGTAATGGAAAGAGACTGATTGCTGGCGACGCACCTTGAACTGCGTCTGGAACGCCCGCTTACTGTAGAAACACAGTCAGTATTTCCTTGTTCAAAGATAGACCAAAGAGGGTTCGATAACAGCTGCAAGGTGTACGGCGACCTGGACATGCAAAGGCGCAACAATCCCACATACCTAGGCGTAAACCCCCGAACCTCCCAATACGCTATGACTTCCTCCAGACTCTTCCGCTCCTCGACATAGAGGCGATAGCACACAGCCTCCTTGTCGTCCCAAGAATAAACCATTGATGCAGGTCTGCGACGCGGCCAACTAAACTATGACGGCAAACTATGGCAGGCGTTTCGCGTCCGTTGCGCAGTTTGCCAAGAACCCACCTCGGCATGGAATACACCGACGGCACTACTTCACCTCCTCGGACCTATTATCGTGGCCATTTGGCGCAGCGCGGCACATGTATCTCGTGGCCTCTTGAACGGGCCGTCATGGTCTCAATTAATCTGCCGCTTGTTGTGTAAGAAAATCCTATAGCCTATATACCTTTCTGCAACTCTCCCTCCCTTGAACCATATTCCTCGTACCCCGCTGTCTATTACTCCCCTCTCTGTTGACCCCACACTCCTACATCTACATACGTGACCATGTCGCACGCACGCAAGAACAGTCTATGGACGCCTCCCGTGGTGCAGCTGCCGAAGCTTCTGACCGGAAAATCCATGATGATTACCGGCGGCGTGACGGGCATTGGTCGCGCCATTGTTCTCGGATATCTGCAGCACGGCGCAAACGTCGCAGTGAACCACTTGGGAGACGACAAGTCCTCCTCACAGTACCAGTCTCTGATCGACGAAGCCTTCCACATCCTTGACGTGAGCAAAGAAGACGTAGAAAAGCGGCTCGTCGAAGTCCCCGGTGATGTCGGAAACCCGGAGACGGGCAAGAAGATGGTGGCAGCAGTGGTGGAGCGATGGGGTCGCTTGGATGTAGTCATAAGCAACGCGGGTATCTGCGAGTTCAAGGAGTTTCTAGAGTACGGACCCAAAAACTCATTTCGTATGCGAAAGAAAGTACTGGAGAGCTAACATATTATCTCTTAGTATCTCGGAAGATCTCTGGACCTCGACCCTAAACACCAACCTTACAGGCGCATTCCATACCATCCAAGCCGGCGCAAAGCAACTCTCGACCCAGTCGCCCCCAGGCGGCTCCATAATCGGCATCTCGTCCATTAGTGCACTGGTTGGAGGCGCATACCAGGGCCATTACACACCTACGAAAGCTGGTGTGCTCTCGCTGATCCAGTCATCGGCGTGTGCGCTGGGAAAACACAATATTAGGTGTAATGCCCTGCTGCCTGGCACAATCAAGACACAGCTAAATGAGAAGGATCTGGAGGATGAGGCGAAGAGAAAGTACATGGAGGGCAGGATACCTCTGGGCCGTACAGGTGTGCCCAGTGACCTTGCTGGTCCAGCCGTCTTCTTGGGCAGTGACTTGAGTTCGTATGTTAACGGAGCTCAACTGTTGGTTGATGGCGGGTTGTTTGTAAATCTGCAGTAGATGAAAAAAAGGAAACGCAATTGGATAGATCAATGAAATGTTCTCATGTCACTTCTTGTTCTGTGCCAACAAGCTCTGTGAATTTCCTCGCCTCCACCAAGGGTCCTCACTAGATTATGCAAACATACGAAGGGAATCCACGATGTGGACGTTACTGCGTCCATGCGTTATAGGCAATACAATACGCGAGACAAAATGGCAGAATACAACAATGTTGTTCACTTTGAATCGGAACAATCGACTTCCTACTTTGTGAACTTGAAGCCAGCCAAGATGAACAGCGTAAACGTCATATAAAAATGGCCTAATAACAGTGAAATGCCCACTTTTGTCCCCGGCATGGTGCCAACTCCGTCGCTGTGATACCCATGGGTAACGCCGATAAACACAAAATGCTACCTTGTCAACGATGCGCCTTCAACGTAAGACGCCGCATCGCTTTTGCAACGCTCATTACAGACCTTTAGATTAAGTAACCTGTAGTTATGTCAGAACATGATAAATGCATTCGTACCCGACCATCATCCGGAGAATTGTATGTGCAGCAATACACAAGCATTAGACAGAATAAATGTACTCACCTCAGCAATGCTCTGGCGCTCAATGTAGCTTTCCTGATTCACATCTCGTCCCACACGCCAATACACATCAGTGTAATCAGCGCAGTTCATCTCACGCAGGAACTGCTCATCATGCGTGATGACCAGCAACTGGAAGTTGGCCTGCTTCCTGCGGCTCTGGATGATCTGGGATAGAGACTCTGCAAGTCCCTTGATGTTCTGCTGATCAAGATTGGTAGTGGGTTCATCAAGCGCGATGAGGCCGCAGTTTGTACCGAAACATTCAGCAAGTGCGAGACGAATCACAATTGAAGCGAGGACCTTCTGGCCTGCAGAACAACGACCCCGCATGTCCATCTCGGTATCTTGCTTGACCATGGCAACACGGTAGTTGTATGTCCGGTTGCCTTTAGCATCACCGTCAGATGCAATGCGGATTGTATCCACGTCTGTACCCTGGTATGCATTCCGCCAGAGTTCAGCGATGATACGGTTGATTTCCTCCATCTTGAGCGTGTGGTACTTCATAATAGCCTTGTCTAGAGCGCCAGCATAACGACCCAAGTCTTCAATGGCAGCCTTGGTAGTCTCGACCTTGATGTGTGCCTCACGATATTGCTGCGCGGAATCTTTGTAGAGGTCCTTGTACTCATCCATGAGCTCGGTTAGCTGGTCGTCTTTGTTCTTCATATCACGTTCAACGCCCGTCTTCTCAATGTTCAGTTGACGGTACTGTAGATCCCAGTGCTCAGCCTCACGCTCGTAATGCTCTTTATCGCGCTCAGCGCCCTGCTCCTCAAGCTGTCGAATCTCTGATTCCAAGCCCTCAAGGGAGCGCTTTGCTTTTCGATACCGAAGGTTGTCGCTGATGGAGCGTTTGCTTGTCTCTGTATCGCGTATCGTGTCTTCGATCTTCTTGATCTTTCGAGTCGTACCGGTCATGTTTGCCTCTATGCGAGCAATCTCGCCTTGAAGATTCTCAATCTCTCGGTGAGTCTGAGCAAGTTGCTGCGGACCGCCACGTTCGATGTAGGCAACAATCTCTTCGCTCGCCTGGTTGAGTTGGCGAAGACTATCGGACAATCTTGAAGCTTCGTCGTGAGCCCGTTGAACACGCTCATTGCCACGACGGTTGACATCATCATACTTGTATTGCGCTTGCTCGATTTCAGGATCAATGTTTTCAATGTTCTGATCAAAGCTGCGCATAGCCTCTCTTTGCTTGTTGCTTTCTTTCTTTAACTCATCAACGCGGTCAGCGAGAGCACGCTTCTCCTTCAGCTTGGACTGTGCACTATTCAGTTCGGCGCTGATATCACGTACACTCAATTCAAGTGTGTTGATATTGCTGCGTAACTTATCTCTGGCCGCAACAAGCTGATCAAGTGCGTTCCTGACATCGCGGCTATCGTCAGAAACCTGCTTTAGGTCGGTCTGGATGGCATCGATTCCCCGCGACAGCCCAGCAGCCTTCTGCTTTTGTGCCAGCTCCTTGATTTCAGCCTCCAGCTCCTGTACTCTGTTGTAATATCCTACGATAGTTTGCACCTCTCTCGTCAAAGACTCGGCTTCTTGTTTGGCGGCCTCCAGTTCATAAACAATTGTATCTTGGTCTTCAAGTTCCTTGTTGAGAGTCTCTCGCTCCGATGTTAGCTTGGCGAGGTTTGCCTGCATTGTGGGAAGTTCAGTGTTACGAAGTCTGCTCGCCAGTTCATAGCTAGGTTTGGCGCTGCGAGCAGCCTCCAGCTCAGCGAAAATTTCGTCCGCGTTGTCCGCGTCCATGTTCTTCTTCGCTCTAGCGATGATGTCCTTCAGCCCTTTTATGAAACCGGCTGTAGTGAAATCTTCCTCGTGATCATCATGAAGAGTCCTTTTGCAGAGTCGGCAGATGTTGTGCTGCTCAGCGTACTCTAAGCATTTGCCCATGTAGTCAATTTGTGCCTCGAACTTGGCCTTGTCTGAGGAGACTGCTTCGTATTCCTCCTCGAGTTGTTGCAGAGTCTCGTCGAAATCTGAAATATCATCCTTCTGTATACATTTCTTGACTGAGGTTTCGTATTTCTGGAGCTCGGCGCGCTTCTGTTTCACTTGCAATTCTAAGCTGGATAATTGGAAGGTGACCTGATCCAGCTTCGATTGCGCAATGTCACGACGAGACGCAGCCTCCTTCACCTTCTCTGCCTTTTCAGAAAGTACCTGCTGGTAGGTTGACTCCAAGGTAGATGGGTCCCAGTCTGAATCAACGAGTTGGGAGATACGTTTGTCATGAACTTTCTTCATGGTTGCCAAGCTATGCTGCTGGTTCTGCAGCTCGTCTCGCTTCACGTCAATAGAGGCAGATTCCCGCGCTTGCTTTGATGCATCGCCAAACTCAGCAGTCAAGCGTTCTTTGCGGTCCTCCAATGTCCTCAAGTTACTCGAAGCTTCTGATATACGTTCATCAAACTGCTCTGAAGTAACTGTAGCTGTAGCATCTTGCAACTGCTTTTCGACATCTCGTTTCTTGGCTTCAAGGATGGCTTCACTGCCTTCGTCCGCCCTGATCTGGTTGATAAGTTTTTGAAGCTCCGAAATGCGCTTATCATTATTCATTATCTGGCTACGAGCGGACTCTTTGCTCTGACTGAGTCCAGATTTACGTGTGTTCAGCTGGTTGAGGATTTCTTGGGCCTCGCGCAGATCACGCTGGGATTCTTCCCGTGCTCGATCTAGAGCCTTGTTTTGGTCGCGAGACATCTTGGTCAAGATTTGCAGGAAGTCGGCTACGTGTTTCTCTGTGATATCGTAATCGAATCCTCGGATAGCATGTTGCTTTGCGGCTTCCTTGATTGCATTCTCGCGGTATTGAATCTGCTGCTCGTGCTGCTCTTTCTGTGCCTCGTATTTTCCAATCTCGCTTTGCTTTGCTCCTAGCACATCGCGTTTATCTTCCAGATCACCCTTGAGCTCAAGGTATTGCTCTTTGAACTCTGCAACTTGCGTGGAGTATGTAGCGACTCGCTCCTCGTACTGATCTAGCATATCCTGAAGCTCCTCATCTGACTCGGCCAGCTCTTTGAGACTATCTTGCAGCTCTGCCACGTTTTGCTGGTTGATACTGAGTGTCATGCGCTTGGCGTGTAATTGAGCAACGATTTGCTCAAAACGCGCAGCGTGGCTGTAAGCGTGGCTCGCTTTGTGCTGGGCCTCGGTGCACTTGGCATCCACTTCTGTGTACGTTTCGCGCAGCCTCTCGATCTCGTCAAAGAGTTTAGCCTGTCTATCCTCGCTCTTCTTTGCCCGCGTCTTGTCCTCTTTGGCATTGGCTTCGATGATCTTGAGTTGGCCAAGATCGGTGTTCCGCGCTTTCCTAATCATTTTGATGTTGTCAATCGCCTTTGTGTATTTCATGGCCTCGAAGATCTCGTCAAACTTCTTCTTGAGAGTGGCGGGGTCTGCCAATGGCCACAAGCTGTCTTCCTGGTGGCAGAAAATGACGTTCTCGAGTATAGCCTTAGATACGCCCAGGTATTGAGGGATGATTTGGTCGAGTTCGGCGACACGGGTCGAGATGGAGTGCTTTTCGCCATCCTTGATCATGAGCAGGGAACCCTCGAGCGTCTTCTGGCTGCGAGCGTTCTTCTTGACGGTGACCTGGAGATTGCGGGTGGCAACCATGCGAACGCCGGAAGTGGAGCGGAAGGACAGCTTGACCTGGGCGAGGAGCTCCTTTTCGTTGCGCAGCTGAGGGTCGTGGATGAAGGCGCCGCCGTTTTTGCTGTTTGTGGGGAGGTCGCCGGTGGTGGCATATTTGAGCGACTCAATGATGGTCGTCTTGCCGGAGCCGTTCCAGCCGACAATGAGGGTCAGCGGCGCGGTGAAGACGATGGTCTCTCCTTTTTCGGGGCCAAAGGAGCGGATGCCCTGGACCATCATGCGGTCGATCTTGGACATGGCGGCGGCGGCAGCGGGGGTGGCAGCGCTTGGCGGGCGCTGCACTCTCTTGCCTTCGGCCTCTAGTCTTGGTGGTGGTTGCGGCGGCGCTGGTGATGGCCCTGGTTGTGGTGGTGGTTGTGGTGGAGGGGTACCCCGTCGCGTCGTGCTGCCAGCGACACGTGACGGCAGCCTGGGATCTCTGGGCCAGACAGACGCGGCGTCACGTGACGAGAGTGATGACGTCGTGTCTGTGCTGTGAGGGCAGCCTAAGCAAGCATTGTGGCTGCGGGCGTCGGTGATTGTTCCCCCAAGCGCAGCCTTGCCGGTGAGGACAGGACAGCGGCCGCCATGACAGGCGCCGCCGGATGCTCAGACATCCAACCTCCCACCTCCTCCCAAAAATATTCCATCCATCACCAGCTCGGGCAGACGCCCTGGACCTCCCCGTGATCCCGCCCATCTGTACGACACCGCATGCTGAGTGCCGCTGCGGTGTACTGCGACGCCGCCATGGCGCAATACCCGAACGGTGGTGCTGAGGTACGCGCGACCCCACTTGCTGACTAGGCTGGGCAATTCTGAAGATGGTGACTTGTAGATGGGCCTCAACTCCATGGCTGGGATCCCGATGCACCCTCACCGTCCGGACCTCAGCGGTCTGCCAATGGACAATGTAATGCAACATATGGACCTGGACATGTCTTCGCTTGACGGCACAGACGGCCAGAGCAGCGCCTTCGCTTTTGCCGACCCACAAATGCAGCAGTCGGCCGTGCCACCAAACAACACCATGGCCACCGACATGCAAATGACGGGCGCCGGCGCAGGCCCGCTGCCTACGGGCTTCGGTGCTCCCAATATGAATCCCTCTGGCAGCACCCTCACCGAGTTCACAAAGCGTCGCAACTGGTCCCAACGCGTGCTCGAAGAGCTGCGCGACCTGCTGCACATTCTAACCCCCGACGGCAGAATCCTCTATGTCTCCGCCTCGTGCAAGTCGTTGACCGGCTGGGAGCCTTCGCATATCATGGGCCGCTTCATTAACGAATTTATCCACCCAGACGACATTGGAATCTTTGTTAAGGAGTTCAACGAATCTATCGCCTCCGGCAACCCATTGCGCTTCTTCTACCGCTTCCGCAAGACCGACGACTCGTGGGTCATCTTCGAGTCCCATGGCCACCCGCACCTTAGCAGCGACACAAACACGTTCGCGCCGCCAAACTCTATCAATTGTCGCGGCTTCTTCATGATGGCCCGCCCCTACCCGACCAAGAACGCCGCCCTCCTCGATTCCTTCCTCGAACACAAGATTGAAAACGAGCGTCTCATGAAGCGCATAGCCGAGCTCAAGCGTGAAGAGCAGGACGAGCAGGACGACTGGGCCAAAAAAGCCGACGGCGCCACAACCTCCATGACACCCTCCGAATCGCACGTCACCCAGAACATGAGCCAAGCAGATGCCGTATCATACGCACAAATGCCGCCGCCGGCGAAACCAGTAGTATCAAACACCGCCCTCACACGGCAAAACCTCGACGAAGCCCTTGCCGCAAGTAAGCCTGACAGCATCAACGACAAGATGGCGCGGTACGAGGGCGCGAACCATCTCGAGACAATCGAGATGCTGACCGGTCTCCGCTACAGAGACGGCGAGCGCTCTCAGGGTATAAGTACAGGCGATGCTAGTCCTAACCTCATACGCGGTGATGCAGGCATACAAATATCACTAGACCGGGACGGCAGAAACTCATCGGAAAAGAAGAAAAAGCTGAAGATTGCAGACGAGTATGTATGTACCGATTGCGGAACGCTGGATTCGCCCGAATGGCGAAAAGGTCCAAACGGACCGAAGACACTCTGCAATGCTTGTGGACGTAAGCAAACACCTCTCCCAAGTAACAAAATTGTATGCTAATCAACTACAGTGCGTTGGGCAAAGAAAGAAAAGAAGAAGCAACAAGGTCCAAACTCGAGCTTGCAAAGTGGCAGCGGCGTGATGCATACACCAGCAATGCCTATGCATAGTAGCACTGGCAGCAGTTGAGCCTTTGAAAGGCCACACATTCAGTCACTACCGATTTCCTTTCTCTCTTAGTTTGACTCAAAATCAGCGATTTGGTCAGGATCTAATGCGGCGTCTTGGGCTATATACTCTTTTGGAAATTTCATCACCGGGCTACATGGGACGGGCATATCAACGGCGTTGAATCTGTACACTTTATCATATACTCGGCTTTGTTGTTTCATTGCTGATTGGCAGAAAAATTCCCAAGACCATGGATAGACTCGGACCGGGCACGTGATACCACTGTATTTGCCGATTACAAGTAGCGTCAACATGTGTAGAATCCGTCTCTATCTCTATCACAGCGTATTATCTTTCTAATGAGTAGAATTTGAGTCTTTTCTTTTCTTTTTCTGTTGTGATAGCTGTACGTAGCGCATGTAATGTAGTCGTTCACATGACTTGAAATTCGTGAACGTGCCGATCGTCATTGCAGAATGCCGTTTCCACATCACACTTTCTTTCCGATTCTATGAGAGCAGAGTCACGAGAGTGGTTTCCTGCGGCCTTTCCCCCCCCCCCCCCTTACCCACCTGGCTATCTGCATCTGGCCCGTGTTTAGCGCTGTGCTTAAAAACACCACACTCCGTGTAAGTGGTCCATTTGAACAAAGAGCGCCGCTGACATCATGGCGCTTGCTATCTAGCTACGTTAAGCGAGCGGTAGAGCGGTCAAGAAAGCTGAGAGTATGTTTTCTTTTTCAGTGGATCTGTGGCTGTGACTCTGACTATTTGCTTTGTCACCCACTCATTTCCCTTTGGCTTGCTGGTCGCGTGAATCAGCCACATGTCTGTAAGTGATTCGTTCTTTCTTTGCTCATCACTCCAAGCCAGAAGGGAAGCTCGGCTCATTCTCTCGTGTTGTGTTCCTGGATTTGTTTGCGAGATCCCGCTTGATGTTTGATCACCCCAGACAACACCAGAAACCGCCGATAAAGTTATACTTTCGGGTAATTGGGTTTTAACTTTCGACTTCAATATTTACACTCTGCCTTGTTATGTTTTGCTTTTCCCCCTTTATTTGTAGACTAACGTTTCACCGCCTAGACCGGCATGCTGGCAGTAGACACAATCGGGCTCGATATAGCATGCACATCGCCCTCACCGCCAAATGAAACCTCACTCCCCCTGTGATCGACGATGCTGTTGTTATACCCATACGTCTCAAGTATCACGATCGAATTCGATTCCTGCCCCGCACTGTCGTGGCTATCATCGAGTGCGTCCTTCCTTGGCCTGGCTTTATTCCGCACCACAGAATGGAAATACCCAGGACGAGGCGGTGCATTTCTATGCCTATGATAACAGGCTATTCTTGTAAATGCTGGAATACACCCCACAATGATGACGGTTCCCAGCTCAGCGATACTGCGTAAAATGTGTCAGCCTCCTCTTGCATCCGACAGGAATGTCGCTTGTACTTACTTTACTATCGCACTCTGCGGGAGATGCCATGTGTAATCATAGCGTTGTGTTGTTACCACTCTGAAGTAAAGTCCAAGACCAGCGATACTCACAGCCAGCACGGCTGCAGCAAACACAGCAAAAACCTGAAGCTTCCTCTTGAGTTCTAGGCTTAGTGCCCAGATGGCCCAAATAGGCACGCACAGAGCCTCGATGTCGGATACAAGATTGACGACGCCAATGACTATGACCGGCGGCTTCCAGTCAATGCAGTGCCCGGGAAGCAGTGGGTTGCGCATCTTCGCAAGCGGCCAGCAGTTGAAGATGTAGAGGAAGAGGAGGACCGTATACGCGATTGCATTTGCGACCAGCGAGACCATAATGACCCAGTACACGGCACCGCGCAGCTGCGTAGTCAGGATCTTCTTGAGCTGCAGAAACACTGCAGCTTTGGCGAATCCCCCACTGATGGTATAGCAAATGACTGTGTTGTGGTAGCAATAGCTCCCATCCAGCAATATCGCAAAGTTGATATCCCACAAATGCCGCATGACACCCGTAGTGCCCGCAGTTATCGTCAGACTCGTCTGAGCAACGAAGGCGCACCAGGCGATGTACAACAAGACGTCTTCAATACAGATCTTGTGCATCCAGACATTGACGTAGACGCGTACAGCAACAAAGACAAGAGTAATGGCTTGAATGAATGCCGAGGCGATGATCACCGTCTTCATCCGGTCTGCAGGGTTCGAGAAGTTGGGCGTGATGCCCGGTGGTGGTATGCCCGCTGGAATCTTGCTGAAGTCCATGCTGATGTGGTTTTGTGCATTCTACCAGGCACTTTGCAACAGGTAGGCATATCCAGCAGCACCCATATATGTATTGATATGGAGACGACGGCATAGATGGGCTTGTAGTGCTGCTGAGAGAGATGGTAGCAGGGCTCATGTGTGATTGGGTACCCGTGGTGACGCCAGGAGCAATGGTGTATTCACAGCAAGGGATGTCCGAGTGGGGTTCGCCGGCCGCGTTTTTGCTGCTCTCTGGCTCGCGGTGCGTAAGAGGAGGGCTGATGGGAGGGGGGGCATTTGGAAGATGGTGGGTGTCGAAGATCCTTTGGTCATCCGCGGATTTAACGAGATCCAAATACATTTTGTGGTTTCATGCTTTGGATACTACATATATGGAATTCCGGATTTGGCTGTTTGTGCGACTCCACACATTGCTTGAAGTGAGGATTGAGATGGTGGTCTGGGAATGGTGTCTGTGTAGGTGTGCACACTCTGGAAAACTTGGGAATAACTTGCCACCGGATACGTTGAAAGCTGAATAGCAATGTTATGCACTACATGTTGCGCCCGTGGAATTTGCCGTGTACCTTGGTGTCAGCACTCATTCAGTGGCGTGGTGTGGTTCTGATGGCTAGTGTACCCGCCTACACCTTGGACTGGAGCACCCCCGCCAAGTTACAAAGCATGTCAATGTTGTCCCTTCCGCGGGTGATAAGCGTTCGTTCTGGCTACATGATTTATTTTTCAGCTCCAATCGTTCCTAGAATTTTATTTGTTGATGGGTGGTTTGCTGAAGGGATGGCCGTCTGGTAGACTAACATCGATCTCGCATATCTTTGTGTCACCATCGCTTCTGTAATCCGAGGAACCAAATCCACAGGGCCGGTTACTATATCAAATTCTCGTTGCTACCGAACTATCTACGTGTTTTTTCTCCTCTCTTCTTCTTCTCAAAAATCGAATTTGTTTTCGCTTTGTTGTCCACTCTTGATGTCACGACCAAGACAACGGTCCTACTATCGCGTGTGGGGGTCACGGGTCACCAAAAACTTGAAAATAAACCGAACTAGTGCTGAAAGTTTCATAAATCGCTTCGGAAGATGCCAGTGCCACGCGGTATGCAAAGGGGATCTTGTGGAAACGCGTGGGCCGGGGGTTTATGCACTAAGATTACTCGCATGTCCTCCGCGGACCGTGCCAGAACCCCTCTCGAGTCCCGGTTCCCCGTACAATCTTCTGATGAACAGCCGGTCCTGGTACCTGGGAAAAATAGCGCCATCGTAAGTAGCGCCCTTGCAACGCTTTATTGGCTGGTCATGCGCCCCAGACGCGAATGTAGTCTGATTGTGCACTTCCCGCCTCTCCGCCTCTCCGCCTCTCCGCCTCTCCCTGCGAACTATGACAATTCACGTACCAGAACCCCGCAGTATAACTTCTTGGCTTTTCAGTATCGACTGATTTTTTAGTGTTGGGGAGGCTTCGTATCGAGAAGTGGCGGCCTTAGTGGCGGCCACGCCGTGTATTGTTCTTTGGGACGACCTTGCTGCGTAGCTCAGGCTTCCAGTTTGCCGACGCAGCCACTGCGGAGTCGCAATACCTGAAGCCAATCCCCAGAATGCGCTGACAATAGGCGCTTTTGCTAGTGCAGATTTCTCCGTCTTAATGGAGGTTATATAGACGCCTGAATCCGAGTAACGGGCCCATTCACACATACCCTATTGGCCAAAACATCCCTTGCTAACAAACATTTACAAATACTCATATTTCTTATCTTCTTAAAACAGGAATGCATCGAGTGATGAGGCTGTAGTAGACCCTTTGAGATCACTCAATGAAAGAGGGCGTCTGCTAGTGCAAAGTCCCCACACAAACGCTGAGCTGGCGATGTACCCGTCTGCTTGGCTCTATCGCCCAAATATTTTTGCTTTCAAGGGCAATGTCATCTTGTACGAGACAAAACAAATTACAAGTTACGGTTTGCTCCGATATAGATGCCAGCGGAAGTTGCGATGAGAATGTACGAGCCGACCAATCACAGCCGAGCTCCGATCACAACACAGACGTTAGGCGGCCGCAGGTACTATGCCACGTCTAGAGATCTTCATGAGGCTGGATTTTAAACCATGGGCAATCTTCATAGGAATTATATGAAAGCAGAAATTTTGTGAGTATTGTGCTGGATAGAGAGTCTGTTATTTCATGAAAGATTCAAATTTGATAACCCATCATTGATAACTAGATTGATCAGTCGAATAACAAAGTGGTAAGTCCACAAACAGAATACTCTGTTAAAGCTTGATTCTACCCCCGCACGGTACACGAATCCTCTGGGGTGAAGGCACCGTGCAGATCTATCCCAAAGCCAAGTAAGCACGGCCTAATAACATATCAAGAGTACTTCCTCAGAGGCAATCATTCAATGCTAAGCCCCAAAGCCATTCCTTATGAGTAGTATAAGACTCAGGTCAGTATCGTACCTGAATTTCTGTTGCCATATTTCCTAGCACCAAGTCTGAACAGTTGTCTGTTCCCAGTCCAATTCTCCCCTGGGTATTCTACTTGGCAGTGTGCTACAATATGCTCTCTCATTTCGTCACTGCCGCTCCGCTCCTCATAGCAACAACACTAGCCTTGTGCCCTCCACCTGGCCGCATTCTCCCACCCCCATCACTGACTCCTGGTTCCTCAAATTTTACCATCCCAAAGGCCGTATTCCAGAACTTCACATTTCTGCAAAACACCTCTTTCGCAGTACAAGCCTCGATTGGCAATATCACAGTCTTCCAACATCAACACTCGGCACCTGGTCGCCAAGTAAATCAGCCGTTATTCGACACCCAAATCCGCATCGCCAGCGCCACCAAGCTCATCACTGCTCTCGCACTAGAGCTCAGTAAAGATGTCCTCAGCCTCGAAGATCCCATAACCAAGTTCGTTCCTGGGCTGAGCGAGGGCCTATACGGCGATGTGACACTAAAATCCCTGGCAGACCACACCTCTGGTCTTGGTAGATTCGTACGTCCAATTCCCTCTCCACACAGTATCCCACTAAACAATGCTTTAGGGATACGTAGGCGACTTAGCATACGGATGCAACGCCCCCCTCCTCGGCCTCCCCAACATCACCAACACCCTCCCAGGCTGCGACGCCGTACCTGGTGGCCGCGTCTGCACACGTCAACAAGTCCTCGATATGTTCAACAACCCAACTTACGCACCGCACTCCCCTAATTCACGCGCCCTGTACAGCAACATTGCCTACATACTCCTCGGCCACGCCCTCGAAACAGCACACAACACAAGCTACGAATCCGTCATTCAAACTCTCATCCTCGATCCCGCTGGTATGTCGAAATCGACATTCAAAGTACCTACAGATGACGGCGCAGCCTTACTCCCCCGCCGTCCCGAAGACAGCAGCTGGTTCGTCGCCGATTTTGCCAATCTGAACCCCACAGGCGGATTATGGTCCACACCCAACGACATGCTCAAGCTCCTCCACGCCCTCCAAACCAACATCCTGCTAAGCCGCAGCGAGCTCCGCGCCTGGATGCAACCCACAACCTTCCTCGGCTCAACCCAGCAATTCGTCGGTGTAGCATGGGAAATCTTCCGCATCACCAATCTCCCGCTCGCCTTTCCCCGCGCAATCGACGTGTACACGAAAGCCGGGGGCGTGCCGGGTTACGGATCCTACGTGGCGCTGATACCCGAGTTCGATGTTGCGATCACGGTGAATGCTGCGGGGGGCGAGACGTCGTATTCGTCGATTGAGCTGCTGGGCACGCTGGTGTCGGCCGTGGTGCCGTATGCAGATGCGTTGGCGCGGGTTCAGGCTGCAAACAAGTATGCGGGGACGTACAAGGCGCATGGGTCGAATGATACGGTTGTGCTGTCTGCGTCGTCTGGGCCGGGGCTTTCGGTTGATGCGCTGACGGTTAATAATGTGCCTGTTCTAAGGGCGTTGGCTGCGGGTCAGGGAGTTCGGGGTGAGAATTTTAGTCCGAGGCTGTATCCTACTGATCCGGATTCTTTGGGGACGGGAGAGGAGAGTTGGAGGATGTTGCTGGATCAGAAGGTGCCGGCGAAGAAGCTGTGGGGTGGGCTTGAGTGTATGAGTTGGAACTTGGGGGATCCGGCGAGGTATGTTGGGGAGCCGCTTGATACTTTTGTGTTTCATGTGGAAGATGGGGAGGTTGTTAGTGTTGAGTTGCGTGGTTGGAGGGTGAAGCTGGACAAGGTTGATTAAGTTGTTATTCACTGAAGAGGATATAGAGATAGAAATGGAAGATTTATTTAGTAGTCTGGAAAGTCTGTCTCCACGTCCTTTCTCCATGATTGGAGACCTCCCTTGATGTCACCAATATACCGCTTCCCTCCCAAATCGAGACCGAGTTCTTTCATCTTCTTGACAGTTACTTGTGAGTCGTTTCCTAGTCTGCATATCACAAAGATAGGTCGCTCAGACTGCTTCAATTGTGTGACCCAGTCATTTTCTTCAAAATCTCCCCCATTATGCCCTTTGTTGGCGCCTGGGCCTGGGGTACTGGACACAGTCGAAAAGGGCACATTCATACTACCATCGATATGGCACAACTCAAACTGCACCTTCTCTCGTACATCAACGAGAATATGACTATTCCTGTTCGAAACTGTTCCTGTATGAGGATTAACCCCAGAACGTAATCTGGCGTAATTTTGGGCCGATATGCGCTCTTCTGGGGAGAGTAGATTGTTGGGCGCAAGTACGCTGCCACAAAACTGAACATAATCCAAGCTTCCATACTCTAGCGCTTGTTTGGTGACTGTCGCACTTGCTGAACAGGAAGCACATTTTGCCTTTCGACTTCTCAGGCGTATAGAGCGGAACATGGGATTTGAGTAGGCAGAGAATATGAGGAGGCTTGGTGGATCTGCTGGTGTTGCAGATGGTGTTTTTTGGGTCAAGACCTTGATGGCTTCCAAGGCTTGCAGAACACCCATGACACCAACAACTGGACCTAGAATCCCACCGTCGCCACAGGATACAACAGACTCTGGCGGCGGAGGCTTTGGAAAAACACAACGGTAGCAAGGGCCTCCATTGAGATCACCAGGTGGTAATGGTGGGTTATTGAGGACCATCAGCTGGCCATCAATACGGAGGGCTGAAGCTGAGACAAGCGGTTTGCCCAATAGGACGCAAGCATCTGATATCAAGTAGCGCGACGCTGGGGTATCGGTGCAATCTAGGACCAGGTCATAGCCACCGAATGTTGATATGGCAGACTCAGGACTCAGTCGAGATATATGTGGAACCAAGTTAATGTTGGGATTAAGTCTAACTGACGGTCAGTTATGCATCTCGTGAAGCTTACAAGTGTGTTTAAGTTTATAGGTAGACGCACGACTTTAAGCCGACCATTGCACTTTCAACCTTGGTCATCCCAACTCTTGCGGTGGAGTGCAGGATTTGGCGGTGTAGATTGGATTCTTCAACCACGTCGCCGTCGACCAAACCAACAGTGCCGACGCCCGCTCCGACCAAGTATGCGGCAGCTGGACACCCGAGACCGCCAACACCTACAATAAGTACGCGCGCACTTTTTAGGCGAAGCTGTCCTGCAGCCTGTGAGACCTCTTGCACCAGTCATTGGTATTTGCACTTACCCTGAAGCCCAATCTCGGGCATGATCAGCTGTCTTCCATATCTCTTGTATTCGTCCCTCTCCAGCTCCCACTTTTGGGCCTCCTCTGATTCAGCATGCTTCACTTTCTTTTCTCCCTGATCCAGAATAGCAAAAACTTCGGAACGAAAGTCGTCCGGTACACCAAAGTTCATATCATGATCCAATGGGTTGGTCGGGTCCGTGGCCAATGGCCGTTTCTGAGGAACAACTTTGGATGGCTGGTTTTGGTTTTGCTCAGCTTCGGCGAGCTGTTGGCGTAGATCCTGTAGTGTGGCTTCGCATGCTGCAATTTGCTTGCGCAGAGAACTAATAACTGCTGTCATGTTGGCGCGTGGTCGAGAGACATCCAACGCCCGTGATTCCTGGATGCGTGCAGCGGCCCGGTGTGGGGTCAGGGAGACGCTAAACTGAATTTGAATTCAAGACACGTGCACCAGATTCCCTCACAGACACAAGCGCATGTAAGCATATGGCGGGAGATGAGCAAGCGTGGCATCGTTGAATTCATCAAGGGCTGCATGCGGGTGTATGTCATGGCGAGATTGGAGTACTCTGTTGTTGAGGCCAGTCTGCGCATTCAGAAATCGAAGCACCAACGACAGTGACGCTTACTTCATGAACTGACCTGAGTGATAGTATAGGTTAACACAACTAGATGTAGCGAGACTTCAAGTTTCCCAGAGATTTGGATCGGAATTGCTTGCAGCCGTGATCCTGTTCATCGTATGGCTGCACGCGTAGTCTCTGTAGTGGGATCAGCCTGTGTGGCAAGTCATCAAACCATACCATTTGTGGCGAATCTCATTGATTGGGGGGGGGGGGGGGGCCCGAGGCTGCACCGTCATCACAAAAGTGTGATGAATGGTGTAAGGTGAGAACGGAAGATCTTTTAATGGAAGCATTATTTGTACCATACACCGAGACCATCTCATGCTCGTACAAGGATATAGTCTGTAGGGCGTGAGGCACGACCGCCCCCATAACATCCAGAACGGACACTATAAGGAGAATTTTATGACCATAACAGCAGCCAGATGGGGAATATTGCATCCTTTTTTTCGAATGTCTCCCGCTAACGTAAGCAGAGGGCGTTCCTCTTGTAAGCATTTGGTAGACTTGGGCAGCCCCTTCAGGTCATTTCAGCCAATTGAGGAATCTGGCAGCTCATGGCAGACCAATCCAAACCTGAGCACATTGCAAACCGACTAGCCTCAGATCTTTCCACATTATGCATGGAAAAACCTTGTCATGCATGCGCTTGGATGCCTGGCCGGGTGGCTGAACGGGAGGGTGGGCGCAGGCCCACAGCTGCCACGATCACGCGTCTCGTATGTGTGAGCAAGTTGAAAAAGCCAACAGTATGTGGGCAGCAATTTGGCTTTCCGCGGACCTCCGAATTTTCAGGGAATGGATGTTGATTCGGGGTGGCTGATACTAGGAAAATATTCGGGCACTAAGTAGCCAGGTAATTCAACATGAGGAACAAAAATGCAGTGTTTCGCAGATAAAGCCAGCCACTCGATATTGACGGCTCCAAGTAAGCCAATGAGTGGAAAGTATGGCTACGGCCCATCAACTGGCGACCCAGGGGTTCGGGCGCGGCAATAGCTTCTAGCCATGTAGATCTAGCAACCCATTTTCCATGTCAGCAAGTGTTGATTCGATCGACGTCAGCATAGATGATGTATCCTGCCCCTGTTGCAACCCCCAAAAGTCAAACTGGAGGCTGTTGGTGTCGCCGAAAGCTTGTGACCCTGCGAATACCACTCGCAGGTCCTGTGCTATGCAATGAATGCCTAAGTGGCGCCTCCACTACTCAAAGTTAGATAAAGGGCTGGCTGTCCACCGCAGAGGCGTTGAGCAGCCTGCACGCGGTACACGCAGGGCAGCAGCAGACCTTTTCGTATCCTGCCAGTACTATTCGATAAAAGGAAGTTCAGCTGGCCGCACGACAGTGATAGCCGCCACAGACCTGTCGCAGTCACAGAGCCGTACGGCTGCTAGTCTTGCCGCCCTGCCCCGCGGGTCGATCTACCCCTCTCTGGCGACCCACGCACTTCTCGTATTCTCGATCACCGTCTTCTTTCTCAACTACAACGCCATGGTTTCCGTTTGCGCGACATGCAAAGGCCTGCAGAAATACCCCCACGGTCTTAACGGCACCCAGGATAGCAGCACAGAATCTTTGGTTTGGGTCAACACCAGGCTATCAACGCTAAGGTCAAGTTCAAGTGCCTGTCGCGCATGCGCACTTCTACTAAATGGCATTTTGCCATATTGCGACCGATTTGCTGGCGTAGACGAGGATAGGATCCGAGTGACTGCCGAGTCGTTCAACCCCAAACCAGACAGGAACCTCCAGGATCATCTCTCGGTCGAGCTTCGATGGAAGGACAACGAAGACCACGACGAATGTCAAAACGAAACCCATGAAAACGCCACTGGCTACGCAGATCTCAAACTAGAGTTCTTCACAGATGGAGGTATGGCCCGCTCTTTTTGATACATGGCTTTTGTTTTCAACGATCACATGCTGCTGGTTCACCAATTTTGCAGAAATGTATGTAGTACTGACGTCAGTGCAGATGGTCAATCTCCTTTCTCTGCCATTGGAAGAGGTCGGCAACTAGCAGAGACTCCATTGCAGAATACTGGTTTGATGATAGCACGAAGTTTGATAAAGAATTGTCTAGACAACCACGCTACATGCAGTCGAAGAAGTAAACCCACCACGCTACCAAAGCGCGTCTTGGACTTGTCGGCAGGCGACGACGCCAAAACTCTGCGACTGCACGAAAGTGAGTATATACAAGATGAAAGAAGATATGAACATGGTGAATACATTACCCTGAGTCATGTTTGGGGTACGACTAAAGGCATACCCATGACAACTTTGGAAACACTAGAGTCTTACAAAAAGTGTATCCCTTGGTCAATCCTACCTAGAACTTACCAGGAGGCAATCTTGCTCACTCGAGCACTTGGTTTCCGGTGGCTATTCATTGACAGTCTTTGTCTCATACAAGACGATGTCCATGAAAGGCTTGAGGATTCGCTCAGGATGGATGAAATCTTTGGAGACGCTTTCTTGACCATTGCGGCAACGTCCGCACCCGACAGTAGTAGCTACCCACTATTTCCCCTCAAGACACAAGCCCTCAAGATTCAAGCAGCCGATGTTAAAGGTTCAACACATAAAATTAACGTAAGAGAGCAGCCGAGCCACTATAGCTTCAAAGCACCTTCCAATGGCAATGCACACATGAATGAGTGGGAATTGCCCTTCAACATTACCGAAGAGGCAAATGCGGACACGCCCCTTTTAGTCCGTGCCTGGCCTTACACCGAACGCATGCTATCCACCCGTGTGCTGCATTTTACAAAAAGCGAAATGATACTTGAATGCCGTCAAGGCTACCAATGCGAATGCGGACGCATCGAAGACAGCGCATTTGACTCGCGACCTACTGATCAGGTCAAGCAGGAGTTTGGCAAGGTCCTTGCGGAAAATCTGCATCAACCGCAACAGAATAATGGTAACAGCAACCTGGGCCACAACCGGATGGACAGTGTCACTAACCAATTAGCCTCTACCAACCTCACGAATGGCGCGCACCAAGAACTATCGCGGAAACGCGAAGAAACGCTACAGCTTTGGTCTTGCATGATTACAGAATACACGGCAAGACATCTGACATACGACAGCGACCGCCTCATCGCCGCAGCAAGTATGGCAAAAGCATTGTCACCCACATTACAGTCAGGATACATTGCAGGCCAGTGGACTTTCAGTACACTAGGCCTCCTCTGGTATCCTAACGACAGCTCCTGCTGCCGACGCCCGCAACTCGGACAAGGCCAGAATGTCCCAAGCTGGTCCTGGGCCTCCGTCGAAGGCGCCCCAATCTTCTTTGACAACACAAGCGCAATGGATCTCGCATGCAGAGCCTCATTTGGCCCAAAGGGCAAACGGGCAAGCGCCTGGTCCCCCATCATGGGCGAGCCGCTCGAACTATCCGGCGCAATGGCAACAGAAGTCGTATTTCACACCTCCTCAAAACCCTCGCCGCAACAACCCTACTCGTATACGCTAGCCCGCAATGGGATGTCCGTCGAGTTCACACCAGATGTCGTTCCGCCCCGCGACGAAGACGCACTGCGGGATGGCGAGACTCTTGTCTGTGTCCTCGTGAGCATGACGTTCCGCTCGTCAATCGTCGGTGTTGTACTCAAGTCTTCGCCACCAGGAAACAACACGTATCGCCGTGTTGGTCGCTTTGAATGCTACGAGTGCACGCCTGAGGGTATAGACGAAGAGATGAGTGAGGATGCCGAGGCATTGTTCGAGCATTGGTTCCCGGAGATTCAGGATATGACGCAGTTGGACAATTATCCGCAGCGCACTTTTACGGTTGTGTGAGGGACATTAGATTTGGAAGGAAAATGTAGCATGGCTGGGATTTGGTCACGTGATTTCGGGGTTTATCTGGAGAGTTCGGGAATGAGATATGAGGGAATGTCTCTTCTATTCAGCTTTTTTCTTGTATATGTACGATACCCAGACTTCACTTTGTTGGTCGGTTTCCAATTTAGTGAGATCTTTCTTTCATGGTGCTCTCTTTTGAGGAATTGGGAAACATGGGGTTACTACTAGATTTGATCATGTATTTGGTATCGTCTGTCAAATGTTTACGATCATACTAGGCTTCCAAGTCTTCTAGAAGTTTTACCTTGTGGTGGGCTGGATGTACTAACGAAAAAAAAAGAATATGAAGGATCGTGAGGGGTGTTTCTCATTGAACTATGAATTGAAATTCTATCATATAGCTATACGCGACTTGGAGATGTTCCAGTGGCGTGTATAATTGCACGATATATGAGCAAGCAATTATCTTTGTGTTTCGGGACTCCAAGATGCCTTGCCTATGGTAACGGTATGCGGCATAAGTTTCTGGCCTTGTGGCCTCAGTTTCGTGTCATATGCATGTCAGGAGCGCCGCGTAATCCTTCCTATAGATACCGCAGACGATAGTGATGGGCATTGCACTGAATTGCCGCATCTAGCCTGAGCAAGATGACCAATCGTTTTTTTGTTGCGATGGCTGATGCGAAGGCACGCATGTGTATGTGTGTGGGACGGGCAAATTTATCGCTACCGTCTAGCGAGCCCGGTATGAGGGCGGATATTCGTGTCCAACAGGTTGGCTTCATTGCTGGGCAAAATCTGGCCTGACCTCCATGTTGGTCTGTACATGGCTCTTCAACGCCGCCCACCGGTCCTTGACAGCGTCAGCCCCATTTGTGCTCGCTGTGGTCAATTGAGCCAAGTTTGCATTGAATCGCTCCTTCTCGAGCTTCTCGAGTTTTTCCTTCCTCTTCTTGGCACCTTTTGTGCGCTTCATGCTCTCCATTTTTTGTTTTGGCTGTAATATACGCGCCTGGCCAAGCTCGACGTCGCCGTCTGTTTCTCCACCGGGAAGCGCATCCGCGAGGGACTCGAGGTTGGCAATGAGCTTGTTGTTTGGGCGCCTCCGCTTCTGCGTCTTGGCGGAGGATTTTTCAATCTTGGAAACAAAGGATGAATGCTTAATTCTCTGTTTGTCGCGCTTACTCGAGGGAAAAGATGACATGTCGTCGGGCTTGGGTAAGACCGCAGTGGTAGGGCGGGCGACACGAGCCGACTTTGCGCGCGCCGTTGTGCGCTTCTTGATGGGAGCCTGGGGCGCATGGTCAGTGATGCTTTTTTGTGTATATGGCAGGCCGAAGGAAACATACCATAGTGGTGCGATGGCGTTGCGAGTGTTTGACAAAGTTGGGGACGCAGTCGCAGAGCCTCGCCTGGCTGTCAGAAAATCCTTGTCGATAAGGAAAGAAGAGGATTCCATGTTCGGAAGCCCCCACACCCGACCACCTGCGACGTCGCGCACCTTGTCCTCTTTGGCGTACGTACAACCTCACCTGCGTCATACAGTTCCTTGTCCCACCACATACCCGCGCGCTCATCGGGCTTCAACTATGGCTACACCTGCTCTTGTGCATCCCAACATCAATGCAACCCCCGCGCGGGCTAGGGTCGGCTCAATCCGCCGTGGAACATGATGATACTTTTCGATTCCGATACTCCCCTTACTGACTCATATCCGATGGAGCCTCCCTCGTCAGCTATGAAATCCGCCCATGCCTGGCGGCCTTCGCTGTGAACACATCGCTTCTTGGTGGCTGGCTGTGTTTGCCTGAAGTCCGAATCATGTATCTACCACGAGCATAAGCGAACACCATCGAAAAGTCCGCGTGGCCTGAGGAAGCTGCCCTCCACTCTTATCACATCTTGCCAGGCTCCATGTTCACGCAGCATGACCGTTGGGGCCCTTGGCTTGCCCAACTCCACCATCGGACTTCGCTAACCACAACCTATCCTGGCCAACATACAGCTGACTTCAACCCACACCAACACGTACAACCATCTTCATCCCCGTTACGCTACGTGACACTACGCCATTCTAATATCCGTTTCTTTACTCAGGATCCCATGGATCCCATTCACTATCTTTTGCCTTAGCCGTGTCAGTGTACGTGGGGTATAATTGCTTCTCGGTACTTGAAACCTACACTGAGACGAACGCAGTGGCCTGGAAACCCTGGCGTACACTGAAAATCACTAAAACGGCCTCTAAGAGACCCTTGCCCTACTGTGGCGTCATTTGAGGTACCAGCATCGCGGAATCTGGACTCAGCTCCACGGCAAATCTCCACCCTGGATGCCGGCACAGGTCGTATTGATATGCATCAAACTTATCCCTTCCTAACACTTCCTGCCTCTCTATTCGCTCTTTTCAGCCTTCTCTTTCGTTGCCACTCCCATTTACGGCCTGCTTGGCAAAACCTTATGGATCGCACATCCTTCCTCCCGCGACAAAAGGCAATCATTCGCGGGGACGGGGAGACGCGTACATCCTGGTGATCCGGACTCTAGAAAAGTATTACAAACACCGCATCCCAATGTCCGAAAGTTGGACACATCGGACTTCCTCCATGTGCACATGGCCACTAAAATGCTACTTTGATAAAGACTAATTGTGCTCAATCTAATGCAATTTCCGGACGCTTATCACTCACAATGTGCGACGAGCAACCCCAACAAGAGAATGCGCTCATTTCTGCTCAGAATCATGGAACGATTCTGCTAATGGTAGTCTGGTCACTTGCTTGCCTGCTGGTAGGATAATTCGCACCAAATCATTTCCACTACTCACATACTGATACAGACTATCGCGGTGGTCGCAAGAATAATCGTTCGATACAGGTCAGGAAGTCACTATCGTGTACCATGGACCAACGACATTGTGATATTCATTACATTCCTCTGTGCTCTGGGCAGCATCATCGTTACATCCATGGCTGTCATGTCAGGCTTTGGTAAGAAAGGTTGTCTTTTGAGCGATGGTGAGGTGGAACAGATTCAGCTCAGGCTATATGTCTCCACACTATTGTTCATCCTAGTCGCGAGCATATCGAAAATTTCGGCATTGGTGTTTCTCTATCGCCTGGCGGGAACTGCTCTGCGAAAGGCCAGTGTAATAATTACCAGCATATTGGCCGTGACGTGGACCATCGTTGTTTTGTCTGGTATGGTCTTCCAATGTGAATTGCCGACGCCTTGGAGGGTATGGACCGGCAAATGCATTCCACTGGTATGTTAAGAGATTGAATTGGTATCATGCAAATATCTAACAGCCGAACAGGTACCATTTTGGATGACTATGAACTCAGTTGATACTGCCCTGGAGGCAGCTATCTTCGCACACTTCGCATGCAGCATATGGTGGCTGCGCAAGCCGTTTCAACAAAAGACACTTGCAATATTACTTCTTTCATTACGATTAATGTAAGTGGATCTTGACTGCAAACACTTTTTATTTGTCAGATCTAATTTTGGTATGAAGTTTAATTGCAGAATCTGTCACTCGCCTCATCTACCTTACACCAGCCTACGATCGCGATGCGGGTCCAACCTACTGGTCTTTACCCTATCACATCGCTACACAATGCCACATCGCGCTTGCTATTTTCATAGTCTGCACTCTTTACTTGAAGCCATTCATCAAGCTTCAACAATCACGCTCAGATACTCTCACGCCCAGATCGGGACTCTCAAGACAATGGTCAAGCACCACTATCGGCGGCACTCCCTACGAGTCCGAGGACCCCTTCACATCAAATATGACTGTTTCTAAAGAACCCCTGCCGTCTATTCAGGCTAGCATGTACATGCCAAAAACGTCAATCGCGACAGCAACTTTGCCCAAGCCTGATATTCTTTTGCCGGATAAGCCGACGCCAAAACGGTTTGCCAAGCCACCGCCTAGACCGCCGCCACCAAGAGAGTCGCTACGTCCTGATATGAGCTTGTTCGTCAGAACGAACGGATTTCGTTAGTCTGATGGCTGCATAGCTTGGAAATCTTGGGAAAAGCGGGCTTGGTATTTCGAAACCAGGGAATCCAGTGTCTAATGCAGGAAAACGTACACGTCGTCTTGGCACAGGCACAAAGCTTACCAAATTTTCTTTTCTTGGGATAAGGAAGCTGATCTTGATTTATTGGTCGGGAACAGGTTAAGAGCACTTACTTCAATGAATTGATTAGCGGAAAATCCGGTAAAAATACGAAATGAAAGAATACTTGCAAGTTTTAGGTTTCGTGAAGACAGTTTTTTTGAGAAATATTGAGCGATCTCGTTGAGAATTCAGTACCTATATGGATACAGCGCATAGGTGTGCGTCAAGTGACTGCTCTTATGTCAGGTACTCACAACTCGTCCAACACGGTACTTGGCACTTCAACATCCAACGTAAAAAGGCGACTACCAACCTTAATCTTCCTAGAGCCTCCCCAACATCAAGTCATACTAATTCCTGGAAATCAAACACAGCCCACTTTTCCACCATGAATTCCCTTCCACCCTGCAACCTAACCAACATCGATCTCATAGCCACCCCCTGCTTCTACGTTCTCAGCTCAACCCAGACCAACAGCCTCCTCAGCCTCCGCATCTCCTCCATCTTTGTAATCGGCCTCACATCAACACTATCAACCTGCTTCCCCCTTCTCCCACGGCGAAACACCCGCTGGAAAATCTCCAGCGGGATATATACCTTCGCCCGCTTCTTCGGCACAGGCGTTATCATTGCTACTGCGTTTATCCGCCTCCTGGATCCAGCGTACGAAGCCATTGGGCCGCGCAGTTGTGTTGCCGCAAGTGGGGTGTGGGGTGCGTTTCCATGGTGCGCGGGCATCGTCTTAACGTCGATATTGCTTGTTTTCTGCGTGGATCTCGCGGCGGAAGTGTATGTTCAGCGGCGATTTGGGCAAGCCAAAGATGGAGATGAAAATATGCGGTGTGGAGAGCGGGAGGCGTTACTTGCTGTGGAACAATGGCAAGAGCAACAGCTTCGAGATGGTACTGTGATGGGAAAGAATAGAGCGAGTTTCTCATCGGATACGGAGCGAAGGGAGGTATCTACGCGGTCTCGTCTCCCCTTCGCACAGCAAATAGCCACGTTCCTTGTGTTGGAAGCTGGGATCATATTTCACTCCGTCATTATCGGGTTGAACCTCGGTGTCGTGGCTTCATCGACTTTTACTACACTCTACCCCGTTCTCGTCTTCCACCAGTCCTTTGAAGGTCTCGGCATCGGCGCTCGTCTGTCGAACATCTCTTTTCCTCGCGGCAAAGCGTGGATGCCTTGGGCGCTGTGTGGGCTGTATGGTCTTACGACGCCGCTGGCTATTGCGGTGGGATTGGGTCTTAGGACGACGTATGTGCTGGAGAATAGAGGAGGGATGATTGTACAAGGCGTTATGAATGCTGTCAGCGCGGGTTTCCTAATTTATAGTGCTTTGGTTGATTTGCTGGCTAAGAACTTTTCGTTTGAGAAGGAGAGGACGAAGGATTTGGGTAAGTTAGGATTGATGATTGCATATGTCCTTGTTGGTGCGGCTGCTATGGCGTTGCTTGGGTGTTGGGCGTAGAGGCAAGAAAGACCCTTGTGTAAGCTGTGGAGGGCTTGCTGTTACTAAAATTGAGATTTCTCTAGCAGTCTTGATCCTGTAATAGGACGACTTTTTGGTTAATAGTAGGGAAGTTTTTGAATAACATTTATCCTCCCTCTAATCCGCACAAGACTTATGCTTTATTAAATCATACAAAAGAAAGTTTTCTATACATGAAGTGAAAATATGCATTATTATTCACTCTTGACGTCTAAGCACGAAATAACCATGATTATGTCCCAGCAAAATCCACACTCACCACATCAGTCCCTTGGCCCCCATAAGGACAAAAAAAGATCTCTCAGACCCACCTCATACAGCCAAAATCAGCAAAAAAGAAACACGATGTTCTCCGCTCCCAGAATCGAACTAGGGACCTTTCGATTACAATTGCTATTACAGTCGAACGTGATAAACCAACTACACCAAGCGGAGGAATCCAGATAACTGGGCTTGTATTGGTTGATGAGTAAGCCCAAAATTAGTAATTGAATATTCTAAGAATTGGTTATCCACCTTGGCAACTGAAGGAGTACCTCGTGCATAACAAAGGTTGTGGGGCAGCTAAAATGGAGAACACTTCCGAACAACTAATTACGTGTGACTAGGAGAATTTTTGAAGCTTGTATGAGGCTTGGCCCGAATAGGAAAGGGACGGTTGAGGTTAATACGAGGTCTAAGTGACACCGCATTATGTAATTCTGTCACCTGGGAAAGTTGTCCGGATTCTAGAACGTTGGGCTGTTAGCTAGTGGGAAAGGTGGTAGTATGCTTCGTTCTCTTTGTACCATGGACATGATGTGGTGAATGCGGATGTGGAGTCAACTAAGATATGGAGGGAAGGTATTTAATGGACCAATTGACTCGAGAAGCTACTGCAGAATTCTGTACAGTAGTGGAATGGTCTAATGTTGTAGTCATGCTAGTTCAGAAACTAGGTTGTATGCCTGTAAACCAGGGGGATTTTTTTCAGGTAGCAAATGGAATCATATGGATGCGGTCTTTTTCTCCGAGCTGGGATCTGCCAGTTGGTCCAATGACATAATAATTGTATTGGCCTAGCATGAAGTATTTGCAGGTAATTAGCATGTGGATTAAGTCAACGTGGCGCCATTGGCACGCTTTGTTCCCCCCGGCGATGCATGGAATGCGTTGGTTGTGGTTATGCAAAATCAGCGGGAGATTTTCATAGTACAACGCTAGTAGCCACTAAATATGCAGATATACTGGAAATTTCCAAGACTAATGGGAAAATGTCCTGGAATCCTTGTCCCCAAGACTTTTCAGGCATGGCGGGCATGAGTGACAGGATGTCAATGCAATGCTGACACAGGCATTTCTGCTGCCTCAGGGCTTATCAGATAATCTAGTCTACTCTTGCTAACAACCTTGTTTAGTATCTTTCCCACTCTAGCTATGCGGCACGCGCGGTATTGCGTAAAAAGAGGATCTACGCGCGACAAACGCCACGACTTGAATACGAGCTGCAAAACTTCTTCCATCACACAACGCCACCCTTATTGCTTGCAACTCCCGGGGGGTCCACTGGAGAATTGAGAGGCGCACGAATCTTATGACATGCACTGCAATTTATCTTGCGTCAAGATGACCCTGTTGGATTTGGACAGTTTGTTTCTGACACGGGACCTTTGCTGTAAAATGCAAGCTAAAGCAGTTGTTCAGCTCTTATGTTGCTACATATATTAGTTGCAAAGTAAGCTTCAGTGGTACATTGCACACTACGTACTCGCATATCATTACAGTTCTGGAAAGATGTCCGTAATGCGGCCAGACATGGTTTGGTCTTTTGACAATCTGAAACATACCCATATGTAATATCACCAGTAGTAAGAGTCATTCTCTTCTATCATTGAGCAGGTAAGCAATGGGTATTATAGGCGAGCCATTTTCAGATATTCCTCTTGTATAAATACGTTGTTTTGTGTAGTCACTTAGTCCGTCTTACATAATTTTGCAAATTATGTAAGGATACTACCAAACAGACAAACATGTAAAACTAAGTTAGTCAAACTATCTGAACCTAGAGGTAATCTTACGTCTAGTCCATGGCACTACGTACTAGTGTTGTTTCCGTAACCGCCTGGGATAGCTCTCGGTGCTGATCTGACACGGTACAATGTCAAAGCGGCTCGGCTCATCAATCTAGCTGAACAGTGCGCCACTTGAGCGGTGTAGCAAAGCCTGCCAGGGTTCACGAAAGGGAGAAACGCAAGAGCGTCTGTGTCCAAGACTAATCTCAGAGGCCCATTACCGTGTTTTCCTTGGCCACATTGAAAGCTTATTTTTTTTCTACGTTTCGGCTAAATCTATGATATCACCAAGTGGTTGATGCCAGAACGATCTTACTTAGGAAAAAGAGAGGATAAACAATTTTGCGTAGATGAAGTCGGAAGACCAAACATGCAGCACTCTAAGCGCCATGACCCACCATGACTACCAAGATTTACTCTCTTCACCGTCTTCTAGTTAGTAGACCCTCGGATCTACCAATCTAACCTTTGACGATCTGTCATCTAATATGAATACCTTACCACCTACCCCTAACACACATACATAAGCGCCTCTACCATCTGACCCTCATGCAAGGGCAACACATTGCCCAAGCCCTCAGAATTAACCTTCACAGCCACCCCTGTCAGACCCTTACAAGACCAAATCAACTGATCTCCCTAAGCCCGGAACAACCCGCTTCCCATGCTAACCCTCCGCTTACGCCATTCTCTCCCCCTCCTCCGTTTCACACAAACGACTCTTCAACCCCGTTAAATTACCCCCAAGCACAGATCCCCTCGCCAGGTCGGTCGGAGATGACCCGCCCAAGCCAACCCTCTCCCTCACCTAGTCCACATTTTGCTTAATTCCGTTACCTTTCCCCGCCCACCCTAATCTCGCTAATCGGATTTGCAAGCCAGAACAACAACGGAGGAAAGTAGCAAACTCTCCACCCTGAAACTCTGGAGGAACGAAAAGGGAGAATGATGTGCGATGATATTTGGTAGTGTAGATCGATTCGCCCAGCGCTTGGTTGTAGCCGGCTTGGCTGAGCTGCTGGGGTAGCGTTGACGGGGGAGCTCGAAGGAGTATAGTAGGTGTAGGGGGAGGGCCATGCATGTCGCATACGCAATCGTTTTGAAAGGGCCTTTGAGGGGGAAGGGGGAGGGGGGTGGTAGGGTATCGGGCGCTTTTTTGCGCTGACTTACTTAGTACTAGTGCGTACGTTGCGTACGTTGCGTACGTGCGTTGCGTACTTCTCGTATCCTAGAGTGAGGGTGTAGGCAGCTGAGTCGTGTGATGTATATCCATTTTAGGAACATCAAAGGTAGAGGAAATCAAGTTTTTGTATAAACTTTCGCAAGGACTCTCGGGGCAGCGGCTTCATATTTGGAGTTTGAATATGCAATACTTGGCTGAGCGTCAGCGTACTATAGCATGCACCCATCGGCACTTGTTTTTCTTTTCTCCGGGTCTCTGTTTCTCTCTCTCCTCTTTGACCAATACCCTTGCCGGACATCAGACGAGCGCGTCTATTTCACCGGCTTACTGCCATCGGGTACTTATGCAAACCCGTTTGCTTGGATCGGGCCGCTGCGGAGAAACGAAAAGTTCCGGACTTTCGTTTCTTTCATCCCTCAAAAACCACAAGAGTCAAGAGCGCAGAGCAAAGAAAATAGAGTAAAGGAGAAGGAAGAGAGAAAACAAAATCTCGTTAAACCAGCTCTCAATACCGACCGTCCATATAGTAACTAACCACCCCAACAAACCCCTGTACATCATCACCTCAACCCAAGATATGCACCAACCCATGCTCTCTTACTTGCATATTATCTATAAAACCCCCCAAGCAATCACCCTAACATATCCTACACACACTTGCACGTCACCATCCCGCCGATCCATGCAATGCGGCGCAAAAAAAAAACCTGGCAAGGCCCTCGTAACTCAACTTACTCGCAAGCGCAAGGTTATATACATCATGTACGTGCGTTACCGGAGCTAAATCCGCTACATGAGTAAAGAGTCGAAAGAAAACAAAAACAAGGCAAACCATGTCATCGGGGGAAAAAGCAAAAAGAGAAAAGAAAGAAAAAACGAGGCTAGGCTGGCGCGAAAGATAACCATGCACGACACCAAACACTCCGAAGTGATGCCGTGTCCAGAGCTCACGGTTAGTACGAGTAGGATTATAAAGCGTTCTCTTGCATTGTGCTGTAGGTTGTATGTGGACTAGGCAGGGACTTGCGATATATACTTTCAGGAGCCAGAAGAAAAGGGTACGTATTGTGGTCAATGACACTGATGACAAGGGGTGGGGGGGAAAGGGAAGAGGATTTTGGCCGTATACTTTCCAAGGGGGATCTAAGTTCTTCTATTTCGAGAGTTGGGGCTAAGAATAGATCTGAGAGCAATGATAATAATGAATCGTAAAAAAAGTGACAATTGTTAGGGTGGGTGGAATTGTTTTCCTCGCGCCCTCCCCCTCCCCCCCCCCCCCAACAAAAGGTGTTCAAACGAAGTGCAAGTTGGCAAGCCATATCACAGTCTCAAGCAAGCAAGTTGAAAAGTGGCGACATGATCATGCAGAAGAACGTTTGCTGGCAGAATCTGATTGGCGGATCGAAGGCTGGCTCTAGCGTTCTGTGGGTTACCTGTATGTCCCAGGAAATCAAGCAATGAGAGGGTTTTATTATATGTATGATGTGTATGTATGGTGGGGGAGGAGGGGTCCATCATGATAGATGGCGAGTTGCCAAGACTTTTGGCTCATCGGTAAGAGGGGTCTCGAACTGCAGCTTCTACTCCTAGTAAACCTGCGCTGTTAGCGAATGCGCCATTTTGGGCTCCAAGCAGCATCGCGATCATCGAGAACAGAGGGTGTGGGTGTATGTTGGGGGGACAACGAGGGGGGGAGAAGAAATCACAGGCAAGATGTAAAATCGACGATGGGATAGAAGCACATGACGAGAGAAGATTGAATGTGGGATATATGCGCTAGCTGATACGACGCTGCCTCGTTTCTTCTCTCTTGTTGGGCTCGATGCCCAGACGAGTACTTGAATTTGACAGGTATGTAACACGCACACCAGGTGATGCAGACAGGCATCGAGTTAGGCCTGTACCTCTATTTTGAGTGTGACCAAGATGGCCTGATATTGTCACTCCCGCTGTCAGTAACGTAGCTGTCAAAATGCTGTCCTCCATCGCTTCTGTGAAGACCCATTGGTGACAAGGCGCTAACCCATGCCTCTGGAAACCCTCCTGCATCATTCTTGCTTGATTGAGCTAGGAAAGGCTTGTTGTGAAGGCACCTGGCTAATGTAGTACTCTGGCCCTGCGCAGTAGCCGTCGGTCCAAGTGGGGTTGAGTGCGCCGTGTAACATCCACAACGCGTGTTTGCATGCCGGTGGCCGTATGGAAAATTCGTAGAGTAAGAGTGACATGTGTCGTGCTAGCGTGATCCGCCGTGTACTTTGAGCGACATATTTTACCGTCACGAATCATCGCAGCGCTACATCGTGATAGATATGTTTTGGGGGCACCGTGCACAATGGCAGAAGGCAGATGAGCCTACCCTGGGCCAGGAAAAAAAATGGATAGCCCTAAATGAGAAAGGTCCAGAAGCTTGGGTATACGAATTCGTCCTCGAATATGCGCCTGACTTGCTCCAACACGAATGATTCTACCTTGCCCACGTTCTTGAGAACTTGTTTGCCACTGCCCTGGCCACCAATCTCGCTTTCGACTTTGATGTTTTCCAGGAGGCCTCCAATCTTGGGGCGCTGCACAGGGCGTGGATTCTGGCCCCGTGCGTCTGTCTGGAGACCGTTGAAGCCAGTATCGCTGCCGACCAAAGCGTCTGCATCGTCAGGCGACAAAAAGCAGAAATGGGCTCGCTTCTTAATGTAGGCGAGAATGGCAACACCGTCAAATGTGAGCCCGGTAATGTTTAGTTTGAGAGGGATGCCGACAAAGCTTGGCATGGGGTAGTCAAGAAGGATTTCCGCAGTCAAGGACATTTTGATATCCCCAGAATATTGCACATGCGTCACGACTTGAATATCATCGGGACTCTTCTCGTGCATGCGGTTTGGAGATGCAGATGGAGTCCGGACATAGCTATCTTGAGAAAGACCATCATCCGATCCAGTGAAAGACGGCCTCTTGGGCTCGTCTTGTTGATGTCGTGAAGAAGGTCGGGAGCTAGGGTCTGGGTGAGACTGTGGCGTGAGTGTTAGCGAATTGACAGATGCAGCGTGACGAAGACGCATATTGGTCGGAGTTGCTGGCCGGCCATGGGGATTATCGAGCCAAGTGTGTAAGTGTGCGCCAGCTACGGCAGCGAGAGGTGTTGCAGCACCAGATAAGCCTGCGCTCAGAGGAAGATGGAAGTAGTTCATGTTGGAGGTGCCACCGGGGATACCTGGCGTGAGTGCCCCAGGAAAGAAGGGACTACCTATTTCGTTGGGAGCCAACGAACCACGTTTGTTAGACGACTTGGTGCGAGATTGAGAAGGGCGTACGTTGGCATGATCGGGGTGGAGTCGTTGCGGATTTGCTGTCTCACGACCGCCTCTTTCTTTGCCATGCCTGTCCCTCGATGGGCGGCGCGATGGGTCTCTCGACTCGCGTAGCTTGTCGTCAGCGTGTAAAGCTTCGTCGTCAGGCTCGGGCTCAGGCTCGCCGCCTTGCTCGTCCGGGTAATCTTCATCATCCTCGTAGAAGTCCGGCAGTGGGTCGCATATGTCCTTGATTTCAATTTCGGGAGCGACGCTACCAAAGTCGAACGAGTGCACGTGAACGGAGCGAATGAAGCGCGGCAGCGTCACTTGCTGGAAGCGGTCATGGATAAAGGCGCGTATTTTCTCTGCACGAGCGGAGCCTTCTGCGCCGCCTGTGATGGTGTCCCAGTTGATATCAATGGACATTGCTGGAGATTGGATGTTGGGATGGGTTTGATGACAGAAAGCCACGGCTACTGCTACCGGATGGGGACGAGCGCACGCCGGGCCGGGCGCACAAACAACGATGCCGAGCAGCGGGCCAGTTAGCAGCCTGCCCACTAGGTCGTCGCTTGCGCAGTTCATCTCTTGACGAAACCTTCGGATGTGATGAGGCCGTCACGTCTGCATCAATACCCTGCCTGCCGTACCGCTTGGTGCGTCGCTTGACTCAATCCTCTGCAGCGAGTCCCGCATGTGTTGAAATCTTTTACCAGGATGCGACCGCAGTGTGTAGTCGAACAAATGCGGGATGCGGAACCTCGAACCAGAAGAGGGAGCCATTGCGCTGTCGCATGTGCCGCTACAGACGCGCCCATGTTGCAGATCGTCCATGTGATGCTGCTGGAGAATTAAAGAGCAACAGACAAGGCAATAGATGCCAGGCTGGGAACAGGGTTGCCACTGAGCATCTGCCACAGGATATTAAATTAACATTGACGACGCGGACCAAGAAGGCAAGCAGGCGAGCACGTAATCTTGTCAAGCGCTTCCAGGATGCGTCACAATCATGCCCTGGATGCGTGTGATGGCAAGGCTTGTCTGGGTGTATGGTGTGGCTCCGGTTTTGGGTAAACGAAGCACGTCGGCAGAAGTCTGCCTGAATGGCTTCTAGAAGAACCGTTACCCGGTCGGCCACGGACGAGCCAATGCGCGCGTCGACGTACGCCTCCAAGAATGTACTTACATACATACATCATACATATGTATGTACTTATATCAAAGTGCACGTATACCCGGTCGACTCGGCTATTTGGCGATCAGAGGAGACACACAATGTGTGTGTATGTGTGTGTGTGGCGTACCTAGGTATACGTCGCCCGCGGCCTTGCATTCTCATCACACCAGACCAGAGGCTATTGGCAATAAGGTTCCCCTACTAGTGGTTTGGTCCGACGTGCGAATCATGCCATGCTGCATCCTCTTAGGACAATAGTGTACCTGAGCTGACAGCAGTTGTCCATGTGCCGCGGCCCGTCCCTTAGCAGGATTGCTACTATGTCTCGAGCATCATGCCATATTGCCCTCATCTCCAAGTCGGGTGTTACGGCCGGTGCTAGGTGGCTAGCAGGTGCGGCATGACAGAAAGTTGAGTTTGATCTATTGTATCCTATCACGATCCAAGAATAGACAATGCCTCGGCCATATTTGCTCGCCTACCGGGGTGCTAGTGCCAGGCCTTTTCACCAGCTACTAAAAGCCAATATAGCGATGGGCGAAGCGCGTGGGTCGTTGTTTCGACTCGCATAAGCGACTTTGAGGCTGGCGTAGACGGTGCCTCAAAGCGTCGTCTGAGGATGGTAGGCTAGCAGATTGGCGAAAAACGGCAGTGCATGTGGCTGCTTGGGCGTGATACTGTCTTGTAGATCAGTCGTGATTCATTGGTTGTGGATATGGTCTCGGGATGCGCGCCAGGCGCGCAATACAAAGCATGAGCTCCACAAGTAAATATTATGGCTACCCGATTCAAGAAGGAGACCTCTATACCGGGTGCCTATGTGTTGATTGACTTGCTCGTATACTGGATTTGCCCCTCCCTCCCCTCCCTCATGTCAGGGAATGTGGGGCACCAGGGACTGCAGACAGCCATGTGGTCATGGCAATGACAAGATAACAAGAAACAAGCCACATGGCTCAGCGTCGGCCCATCGCACGACCCTATTAGAAAAAGCGTGGTATCCATGAAGTAAGAAAGCTGTGAAAGTAGTACAAGTGAGAAAGTATCTCGCAACACCAGCCTGTATCCCAAACGCCCGACTTTGCGGGCTCAGAGTCCAAATAAGTCACAATGCCCCCTAAAACGCCAAAACTTTTTTTCGAATTCCGTGACGCCGTAAAGTGTAGACTTGATATGGGGTGGGAACAGAAGCCGGCCATGCTCCCCCAAGCCATGGACGAGGAGGAGCAAGAGCAGCAGCAAGGTGCCGTTCGAGCATGAAAGCGCGGCAACGGTAAAGGCCCATAAGGTGCAACTGGCGAGGTATTAGAGGAGGGGTTATTGTGCGAAGAAAGCGACGGTAACACACTAGAGACAGACTTGTCAGACCGGGTGTGACGTGCAGGGGTAAAGGGAGAAGCGGCAGTAAGTACCTGTCAATGATCACATCTATCACACTTCTCGTCGTGCTTGACAGTCTTTGTATTGCTCACGCCGCAGGGGGATGTCCTCGACGTGGCGCAGGGAGCCTTTTCCGCAATCTCATGGCCGCAGCCGTATTTGTGTACGACCTTGGTACACATGTTGATTTTGGCGGTGCTATAGGAGCGGGGAAGGCGCCTCCTGCAACGGCGTGGGAGGGAAGGCGAGACGGCGGGCGGGCGAGAGCAGGGAAGGTGGGGGTGGGCGCAGAGGGGTGCTGATTGGCCGGGGGTGGTGGAGAGGTGTTGCTTGGTGCAGACGGCTGCTGTGGCAGCTTGAGACGGAGACGGCAATGCGGAGCGCAGCTCGACGGGAGGGAGCTGGCACGGGCAACGAGCAAAGAAGTAGAAGAAGAGCAGCAGCAGCAACAACAGCAGCAGCAGCAACAGAGCAGCAGGACCACGGGCGGCCAAGGGGGCGTGTGGGCGAGGACAGGCGGCGGGGCTAGGTGTTGGCGAGTGACAGCAGCCAGCAGTAGTAGCAGCAGCCCGGCAGGAGGGAGTGGCAGCTAGGGTAGGTGAGGGTGCTGGAGAGAGTGCTGGAGAGGAATTGGTCGGAGCGTCTTGGGGGGGCACAGGGCGGGCAGCGCAGAGCGATTTATAAGACAGCCATTGCAGCGAGCCAGCGTGACGGTAACGGTCGAGAGATTGTTAGATTGCCTTCGCTCCCGTTTGCAACGAGGCGCGACAGTCTTGTACAGCCGTTGGCTCCGTGCGGAAAGGCCAGGACATACATACGCGGAGCTGCTAGTCTTGACGCCTGGGTCGCATAGCTGCAGCTGCAGCCAGCAGCGCATCGGCCAGGGTGATCCCGCCTCCTGCCCAGCGCCAGCGCTGTGACCACCAGCCCTCCACCACTACCACCAGCAGCCCGGCAGCCCACCAGCAGCCCACCAGCCCGCCCTCTGCCCAATCGTGCCCTGCTGCACCGCCGGACGCACGGCTGCGGCGTGAACCTCCAATCACGCCCCACATGCTTTCTCCTCACCACACGCTGCCCATCCTGCCCATCCTGCCCATCCGCCCCGCCATCACGCCGTCCGCTCTACCCAAGCATGCGCCGTCTGCTGCCCACCGCCTCTGCCTCTTGCAAAGAGAGCCCGTCCGACCGCTGCTGTCACACTTCGCCCTTGCGTGACCGGCCACAGGGCTGACAAGCTGCCAATATCATACACACTTGCTGCACCGGCCCGTCCGCCCAAAGCAGCACACAGCCTGCTGCTGCTACTACTACTACTACTGCTGCAACACCATGCCCGCTGTCTGTCTGTCTGTCTACTGCCTGCTGTCTGCTCATGCTCCCGAGTCTGAGTCTGGCGGTGCCGGCTGACTCAAATGCAAAGGGCTCGACTCACGCCGTAGCTTCTTCACCTCTTGCGCCTGGACCACCCTCCTGAGCAATGAATGCTACCCTGGCTCGGCTCGCGGATGCACACCATTGGCACATGGCACCCTGGTCGCTCTCGACGACTCGTAGCCCGCTGCGGAGGAGGAGGAGCAAGGAGAAAAGGAAGCAGAAGCAGAACAAGACGGCAAGCGCAGCCACGCCTGCCGTACGCTGACCAAGTCCACCATGGCGGCCGGGCACGGGTGCTACCTTGACTACAACCACAAGGGCAGCCCCTTGCATATTGCATACCCGCCTCAGGGCCAAGCAGCATTGCAGCGCCTGCGAGGTTAAAAGTAAAAGTGTCGTGATGGCATGTGCCAGTCCCGCAACGACGTCGTCTGGGAATTGGCAGGCCCAGATTTGGAAATTGCAAACTTTGGCGCATGCATGACTGTCGCCATGCATGATTCGCGACGCCATGGAAACATTTCATGCTGCTCACATCCGTCAACATCCATAGTTTATAGCTAAATGAATGGAGCGGCACAATTACAAACAATCAGCAAATCATGCCCCCCTCCCCTCACCACGCTGCCCTCCTCAGCTTAGGTAGAATGTCAGCGTCGGTTGGAACGCCAAAAGTCCAGACGGGATGGGATGCCCATGGCCCGTTTACTCATCAAACGTGACTGCCAGCCTGCTTGCCTCCACACCACGACCGTCACAGGAGGGAAAAAGCAATGGTCGCATACGAGTGCAGTGTGATCATATGCGCTGCCTCCAGGACGCAGTGCATGGCGCTGTGCAGCAGGATCGCGATACAAGCACTGTCGGGCGGATGCTGTGTAGCCTGTCAGATTTTCTTGTTCCATGTCTCTTCAACGGCCGCAGGGGTAGCTGGTGGACACGTTGCCCAAAGCGCTCTAGCCTTTCGGCCCGCTCTTACCTGATCGACCTGTGCGACCAGGAACTCCACAATGCAGACGCGCCACCGCTCATCCAACAGCAACACGGCCTGGTTTGTTTTGGCTGGTGCAGCATCTGTGCATGTGCTTAGCCCATCGCAACTCCTGCGCCTGCGCCTGCGCCTGCTCCTGCTCCTGCTCCTGCTCCTGCGCCTGCTCCTACGCGCAAAAGCAATGCATCTCGTATACCTGCAACACTGTGTTTTTGCGCTCCCATGCTCCACAAGCCGTCGTCAGCTCCAACTAGGTTCGTCTTCGGAACTTCCCTCTCGCTTCTTGCTGCGGCCGGCACTGCATGTGGCTTGTCACCATGGCCCCCCGACGCGCATCACAGCAGCCTCATCTGACCAACGACGGGGTCCGGCGTTTTCTCGGCAATCTGACATTGCTCACTCTAACTACACCTACATGGGCAGATCGCCGCAGTCTGCAGTGTGGGGTGCTGAACACGTCCACCCCCTCGACAGACACTGCGCCCTTTCGATTATGCAGTTGCTCAAACTATATGCATTGACAACTGCAACTGAACAGCCTGGTGGCGATCTCCACGACGCCATACCTCGGCTGCGCTTACCACGCGCGGTGCGCTACACCAGACTGCGTTACACTACACTACCGTAGTATCTCTTAGTGCGCCTGCCATAGCGCTACTCTTCCCCAACCCTCCTCCTCGCACTATCAAATTCTCTTCACTGTACGTCTTGCACCAGCTACAGACCCCTCCGTGGAAGCTATGCACCCAATATCTCGTCAACCATGGCACATATACCGTGCATGTTGTTGGGAGTTGCTTCTGGTCCATTTACTGCAAGAGGATCTGCGTCCGAGATGCGTGGTGCTAACCGGGCCAGGCGCCTCTACATAGTACGTTGGCACATGGACAAGCATGGTCTGAGTGCAGTCCATTGACAAGTCCGACTAGCTTTCATACGTACTCCACAGGGTGCCACGACGGTACTTGCCGGACGCAACCCGTCCCGCCTAAAAATTCATCCGGTACCTATCTCTCTTTCTCTCTCTCTCTCTCTCTCTCTCTCTCTCTCACCTGTCGGTTTTGTGTGGATATTCTGCGCATGTGTCAGTCAGAAACCAAAGACAAGACTGCGTCTCAACTAGCGATAGCAGGCCACGAGTTGTGCATGTCCAAACTCGGAGCCAAGCATTTCCATATATCCACGCTATCACGAGCCGACCAATCCCGACGCCCATCATGTCTCAACATATATCAATCAGCTCTGCCCGACCTGCTTTGCATCAAATCCTAATTATACGCGACCCACACAGCAATAGGAAAAAAATCCTGAAAATAGCTACATCAAAATCCACTGCTGGCATTCTGCTCCTTTGCCATGGCTTGACAGGGACATGTTCTCGACAGCAGCTTCTTACGGAACATGCGGAGATTTGAGAGCGAAATGCAAGGTACAAAAGTCCACGTACCGCGTCAGTCGATCAATCGGTGCATGATTGGGCGCTGGTGCGAATATGCGGCATATGTAGGATCTGCAGCGCCTCCGTCATTGGTGGTAGATTAGCCGTACACCCGCGGTCTTTCGAACTGCTACAGGGTGCGTTGATACCATCTACCTATTGCAGATCACCATAGTGTCCATATGCGCATATCGGCAGATGCTGCTGCGTCAAGCGCTCGCGACTCTTTGCAGTGCCCTAGTCGCTTTTGTCTTGTAAAGCGGACCATCAATATTTCGGAAACCGTTTGGCCCAGCGACAGAAGAGGCCAAGTCTGCGTACTAGCTTGCAGCCTGCATGAAGCTGTCCTCCCACTCCCGAAGCTTTGCGGTGTGGAGTCGCATCCGGAATCTCAAGCTGGCCTCCGGGACATGACGCGCTACAGCTGTGGCGGCTTGCTTAGTCCCAGTGTGGTATAGCGTTGAATATGGGTTCGCGTACTACTTGCACTGGCACTTGCATCCGACAAAAGAAACGGCTATCGTGGTATCAGCTATCTGTGTTGGAACTAAAAACTTACAAAAGGCTCATGCCAGTGGATTTGGCAAGGACTTGTGTCCCGGCCAAGCCACACCCATTCATGTAACATGCATTGCTCATCTTTTGTCGGATTCTTCCATCATATTTACCCTACCACAACGTTTGCATGAAGTAGACATTGTGTAATTGTATAGTCGTCCCCTCTCCCCCTCCCATATTTTCCTCTGCTCTGTTTATCGCCTGTCATGGTCAGCTAATCTGGTGCGGGGCGTACGCACGTGGGATTCTTTTTCGCTATCGTCATTTGACGTCACCAGTAAACCAACATCGAGGCACATTTCTCTCAGTTTTGGCGTGCAAAGCCTCGTACTTTGGAACGACTCTAACAGGAGAAAGGCCCGATAGGCGTCAGAGATTTCCGATTCCTCATCATGGAAATCTGGAATTGACTGCGATTGCGCTGGGGCGCGGGGCGCATGGCAAAGTTGAGCCTCGCGTGGTACATCGGCGTCGCTCGGCAGTCGATTGAATCGATCAAATCGCGATGATCGAACATCATCTTTGCTGCCATTGGCTGTTTACATCAAACCCACTTTCCACCGCTTCGTCGAAATGCAGTCAATGACCTGTCGAAGCGCGTGTCAGAGTCGTTTAGGCAACTCAATGCCGGACGACCATCGCCTCACGTCGCCATGACGTCAAGATGTAAACAGGTAGTCGCGACGCGACGCCCTCGTAGGAGTACAAAGGGAACGCTCCCCGCGAGCCTCAAAGCTTGTCTATCTCGACAATAGACATTGCCAGCCGACTCGACTTTGACAGATCGAAAGCATGGCATCTCAAATACTAGGCAACGTTACGGAGAAGGCCAAGGACCTCGCTGGGTCCAAGTCGACCAAGATGGCTCAGCTTGCTGAAGTCACCAAGGATGTCCACGACGACAAGTGGAGAATCACCAGCGACTACGGAGTGAAGCAGAACAACACCGACGACTGGCTACGGGTTGCCACGGATGACAAGACTGGCCCTCTGTTGCTTGAGGACCAATTTGCTCGTGAGAAGGTATGCTTGACCATCGACTAGCCGACTTATTTGCCACATGGCTAACGGCACTAGATTCACCGCTTCGACCACGAAAGGATTCCCGAGCGTGTTGTTCATGCGCGTGGTTCGGGTGCCTTTGGAAAATTCACTCTTTTTGAGTCGGCCTCGGATGTCACATCGGCTGGAATTCTCACTGATACTTCGCGCGAAACTCCAGTCTTCCTACGATTCTCGACTGTGCTCGGTAGCCGTGGTTCTGCAGACACTGTCCGCGATGTGCGCGGCTTTGCTGTCAAGTTCTACACGGAAGAGGGTAACTGGGATATTGTCGGTAACAATATCCCCGTATTTTTCATCCAGGACTCGATGAAGTTTCCTGATGTGATCCACGCCGGCAAGCCGGAGCCGGACTGTGAGGTGCCGCAAGCGCAATCTGCTCACAACAACTTCTGGGACTTCCAGTACATGCACCCAGAAGCCACGCACATGTTCATGTGGGCCATGTCTGATCGCACGATTCCTCGCTCGTACCGAATGATGCAGGGTTTCGGAGTCAACACATACACTCTGATCAATGCTAAGGGCGAGAGGCATTTTGTCAAGTTCCACTTCACACCCGAACTTGGTGTCCACAGCTTCGTCTGGGACGAGGCGCTGAAGATTGCTGGTCAAGACCCAGACTTCCACCGCAAGGACTTGTGGATGGCCATCGACAGCGGTGCGTACCCTAAGTGGAAGTTTGGCATTCAAGTCATTCCCGAGGCAAAGGAGCATGACTTCGAGTTCGACATTCTCGATGCTACCAAAGTGTGGCCTGAAGAGCTTGTACCCGTCCGATATATTGGCGAGCTTGAGCTCAACAGGAACCCCGACGAGTTCTTCACACAGACTGAGCAAGTTGCCTTCTGCACAAGTCACATTGTCCCCGGCATCGGCTTCAGCAACGATCCTCTGCTACAGGGCCGCAACTTCTCTTACCAAGACACTCAACTCTCTCGTCTGGGCATCAACTGGGAAGAGCTGCCAATCAACAAGCCCGTCTGCCCCGTCATGAACTTCAACCGTGACGGTGCCATGCGACATACAATCACAAAGGGCAAGGTCAACTACTGGCCCAATCGCTTCCAGGCTGTGCCACCTGCGACGGAGAAGGAGGGTGCGTACGTGGAGTTCCCTGAAAAGACTGCCGGCATCAAGGTGCGCATGCAGAGCAAGAAGTTCAGGGAGCACAAGAGCCAGGCCGAGCTCTTCTACAACTCCATGTCGGAGAACGAGAAGATGCATATGAAGGCTGCTTTTGCCTTTGAGCTTGACCACTGCGATGATCCCGTTGTGTACGAGCGCCTTTGTGAGCGTTTGTGCGAGATTGATCTCGAGCTGGCTCAGAGTGTTGCCGAGATGGTTGGCGGCGAGCAACCGACTAAGCAGACTCGGCCCAAGCACAACAAGACGGCCAAGGGCCTGTCGCAAATGGACTTCCAACCCGAGAAGCCTACCATTGCGACTCGCATGGTGGCGATTCTCATTGCCGACGGCTACGACAAGGCTGCCTACACTGGTATAAAGGCTGCTTTGACTGCGGCTGGGGCTCTTCCTTTTACCATTTCGCCAAGAAGGAACAAGATCTTTGCCGATGGAGAGGACAAGAGCGGCTCTGGAGTAGTGGCAGACCACCACCTTGAGGGCCAACGCTCCACCATGTACGACAGTGTGTTTGTTCCTGGCGGTGCCAAGTCGATTGAGACGCTCAGCAAGAACGGGCGTGCGGTACACTGGGTGCGTGAGGCATTTGGCCACCTCAAGGCCATTGGCGGTACTGGCGAAGCGGTGTCGTTTATCAAGCAGGCTGTGGATCTACCGGGTATGGAATTCTCAACGTCTGGGGATGTTGTCAACAGCTACGGAGTAGTCACGGCTACGGCAGTGCAGCCTGAGAGCTTCAAGGAGGCGGTCAACATGGTGAAGGAGGCCAAGGACTTTGCTAGCGCGTACATGTATGCGATTTCGCAGCACAAAAACTTTGAGCGCGAGACTGCGGGGCTGAACGCCATGGTTGCGTACTAAAGGCAGGGAGATGATTTGGAACAGTCTGCTCTAATGATTCAGCTGATTAATGTTAATGATACCAATTGTGCAAAGCGCTGATACTCTAGTCATGGTGTTGCTACTGTCTATTGGTGGAGAGGAAAGGCATTCATGGCGACGCATACTGCTTTTCTGCAGCGTCTCAGGGTTTCACTCTGGCCAGTCGCGCTATGCGGTTGTCTATCGACGTTGAAACTACATTTGTGTGTGTGTGTGTGTATGTACCGCGTAGGGTGCACATGACGAAGTATTAGTATAGAGACAGAGCGGGCCGACTCGACTCGTTACAAACTACTGTGTCAGGGCCCTGTCAGGTTTTGGGAATATTGAACATGTAGGCTTGGTGCGGGGTACAAGGAAACTTGAAACTTACGCAGCCTGTCAGCGTCACATCTCTCTTCTCATCGAGGCCGAGGCTGGGCTGCTGGGCTGCTGGGCTGCTGAGCCACACGGCCACAAGCCCCACGCTTCATTGGCGGCACAGCCCGCGCTAGCCTCTTTTGTGCGGGCTGCGCCCTTGTGCTGAGCAAAGGGCGATACACCCGTTTAGCGCTCATATCGACCCACTGCACCGCTTTCTTTGCATTCACCCTCAGCCATTTGATTGTGCATTCGCATTCCCCCTCTGCCCCTCCCCACAGACTAGTGTGCGATCAGATTGAAGGCAAATGCGCGGAATGCGGGAGATGCATATCTAATAGCTAGCTCGTACGTCATTGAATACATTCCGCATCCATCGCTGCGTCGCGAACCACTCTCTTGGCACAACCGTAATTTACAAGCGCCTGTCGGTAATTCCACGCTATTCTTCTCACCGGTGGCCTGAACCTCGGACGGTGATCAACACTCAGCCCTTCAGCGCCGGCAAGGGCTGCATGGATGACTCTAAACGCGAAACGCCATCAGTCTGTAGGCGCAGCGCCCTTTAGTCTAAAATACCAAACACCACGCCTGAGGCTTCTGAATACCCTTTCTTCCGCCATTTTCTGCTCACACACCCTGGGAGCCCGTGATTATCAAACGTCGACCCAAGACGCAATAAAGGCGCCTTTTCTACCGACGCCGCCCTCTTGACACAGACCATCTAGGAAACATCATCAACGACATGGATCATCAGGGCGCAGGCTTCGCCTTTGATTCTAACATGGATTTCAGCAACATGTTCGCGGCCGCGTCCGACACAATGTTCAAGCCAGCGGATAGCACTTCTGGCTTCTTCTTTGCTGACGAAGGCATCGACACCACTGCCTCATCCTTCATGGATCCCATCACACTTGGCACGCCCCAACAGGGCCCCTTCGACATGAACATCCCATCTGCCGCGACCTACTACCCACAAACTCCAGCATCACATTTCATGGGCTCCATGCCCACACAGCTTAATACTTACGGAAAGCGCCCCCTGCAGCTCGAAGCTGATGACTTCCCCCAGTCCAAGCGTCAAGCAAGTTATGACTTTCCTCTATTCCCAACACCACCCGCCACAAACACCACCTCTAGCTGGGGCCTCGAGGCCACTCCTTCAACTACCACAGTAGAAGGTCTGTCGGATGAAGCGGCTGATGTTTGCGCAACATGGTTTACCAAGTTCAATGTGCTCCCTGGGTATGCACCCTCCAAGTCTGAGGCGCCTCACTTTGATTTGCTAACAGCCCTTGAGTGACCGACACATCGATTCATTAAGCCAACTCACCGGTGAGTCGGCAGATGCGATCCGGAGCTGGTTTGGCCAGCTCTTGAAGCAGGGCATGGGCAAGGGGGGCCCAAGTGACTCCGCTTACAAGTCTCAAACCGCACACATCCAGCAGCAAGATTCGTTCTGGGACGATCACACTTACCAAACAGAGCTTTTACAGGCCTCGCCATCACAATCACTGCTGTTGGAGAATATCACTACCCCTGAAATTCCATACACCCAGGACAATGTTGCCTCAACTACCGTCCAGCCAGTCACCACTACCAGAAGCTGCAAGAAGCGCTGCACACCCACAGATGACCTAGAGTTGCTTGGTCGAGACCCCAGGAAGATCTACCAGTGTACTCGGAAGTGTGGCAAGCGGTATGGCCGAAAGAACGACTGGAAGAGAAAGGAAGAGGAGGGCTACCCATGCAAGTCATGGGTATGCAGCCTGTGCATCAGTGAAGGCGTGGAGAACGTCAAGCCATGCTACAGGAAGTACCATTTCGTGCAACACTTCCGAAACATCCACGCCGATGTTGACCCTGATCAATACGAAGAGGCGAGCGTAGTATACTCGGAAACAGAGTTCCCACGAAAGTGCGGATTCTGTCGCCACCGATTCTCGTCGAGACAGGAGCGAATTGATCATATTGCAGACCACTTCAAGCAGGGCAAGTGCATGCTCGACTGGAACGATGACGATGACAACAATGGTGGCGATGATTCTACCGACGATGACAACGACGACCGACCAAGTGGAGACGGCTTCGATGGTAGCCCTTCCTTCCAACCACCACCCTTCCATCCACACGGCAACAACTCCAAGCCTTCCGGTGGCCGGGGTAGCAGTGGAGGCTCTTCAGGGCAACCACCTCAGGGTGGTTTCTTCCACTTCCAGCTCTCACAACTTGGTGAGAGCCAGCGGTATTGTGCGGTCAAACCTACCAGACCCACTACACTTTCGCCGAACATCTCTCCATCATCAATCTCAATTGATCGCGAAGGCACGATCCCACGAGACGAGTCATTCAAGTCACAACGTCCACTCGACAGGCACATTCCGACAAAGGAAGACTACGAAGCTGCTCCGGACAAAAATGCTTTCGCCCAGCCCATATTTAGGGGAGGTGGGTCATCGCAGGACGAAAGAACTGACAAGCGTGGCTTGGAGCATACTTTTGGCATCAGTGCCGCCGCTATTACCGAGATTGAAACGCTAATTTCGACTCTCGCACCCTCTTGGAGCCAATTAGGAGCATCGCCAGAGGAATTGTTGATGAGCGAGGAGACTCCATCTTCTGAGCCATTGCCAGACGCGACAGTAACAGCACACTCTCAATGTAGCGATGCAACAGACCAACTATCGAGCCGACAATCTACGCCACAGATGCCCAAGTCTTCACGGGCCTTCCACAGTATCAAGCTCCTAGGCGCTGGAGGCTTTAGCACAGTCGACGAAGTGAAGCACGAACAAACGGGCCTACGTATTGGAAGGAAGACACTCAAGAATCGTAACCAGACGGCGCTTGAGGAACTCAAGAAAGAAGTTAATGTCCTTCAAAAGCTACGTCACCCGCACATTATTCGCTTCCTTGGAGCCTACTCAAAGGGCGACAAGATGTCGATACTGCTTTCGCCTGTTGCAGAAACAACACTGGCAGTCTGGCTTGATCGGTCAGCATTACAACGACCTGCCAATCTATTTGAGACCGTTATGAAGATGTTTGGTTGTCTCTCCTCCTCTGTCAGGTACCTCCATGAGCAGCGACCTGTTGTTAAGCACATGGATATCAAACCCCAGAACATCCTCATTGTCGATGGTGATCAAGAGTTCCCGCACGTAATCCTTTCCGACTTTGGTGTCAGTTGTGCAGAAGAAGTACCCGACGATCAATCGCGACCCTGGACACGCCAATACATCGCACCTGAGGTCGTTGGAGGCTTTAACCGCGAGCAGGCTGCCGACATCTGGAGTCTGGGATGTGTCTTTGCAGAAATGGCATCTGTTCCATTGAGTCAACATAATCAGGAATGGACAGCCTTTAGCAAGGAATACAGTGGTCGCACAGGAACTTATTACTGGCAAGACGTACAAGGCCTACAGAAGAAGCTCGCTGCGTTCTTCGACTCAGCAAGGGGTCCGGCTGAACTGCTCCTTGTACGCGCGCTCCAAGCTATGTTGTGCGCCCAGCCCGATGAGCGGCCGGATGCAGCATCACTCACAATGATCTTTGCTCCTGCCCCGTGCTGCCTCAACTGGCCGAACGACAAGATGACGTTCCCTGGCCCGCATGAGGAATTGCTAGAGGTAGAGAGATTTGGAAAACACCATCGCATTGATGGCAATGCTCAGCCTCATCTGCACGACAAGAATGCGAACGACTGTTCTGACAGTGTCCCCATTACAAAGACCTGGCTGGATGACTGTCTGTGCACACACGGTGCCTGTCGCCACTTGTCATCGGGCTACTCCACCGATCTCCCTAGACGCCTGATTGACATCCTTCCGGAAGGCCAGGCTAGCAACTACGTTCGCGTTGTCGAAAGCGAGTCTCTCGAGGAACAGATGCAACATGTTCAATATGTTGCACTCAGTCATGTCTGGAGTGACGCCGAGCCTCAACTCTCAAGCAATTCACAATTGAAGATGCAATCTGAACTCGTACTAGAAGTACTGCCTAGTGCAGTAAGAAATGCGATTTCAGAGGTGCAACGTCTCGGCTTCCGATACTGTTGGTTGGATTCACTCTGCGTGCTCCAAGATTCAGATCAAGAAAAGGAACAAGAGTGCACGAACATGTCTTCCATCTTCCGCAACGCGGTTCTCACCATCGTCCTTGACCAGCTCGCAAATGCCAGCACAAGCAAGGACATCGAGATTGCGACCGAAAATGCACAGTTTGCCTCAACAGTTTCTCCCATCAAGAATAGGACCACAATTGCGACTCGCCTCCCGGCCTCCGCCTTACTGCCCTCTTCTATCCTCTCGGCCCCCAACCTGGGCTGGGATACTCGGGCCTGGGCGCTCCAAGACCGTCTCCTGAGTCGCCGATTCTTGCACTTGGGCGAACAATCATACTGGGAATGTAATACCCTCAAAGCCTCCGAGACCTTCCCTCGCGGTCTACCCGCGCTCCTCTGGGAGAAGGTCCACACACAATGTAGCGATGACGCCGAAGAAACGCGTGCACAAGCAAGCAATTCGTTTCCTAGTGCAAAGATCTTTGCCATGGAATTTGACGATGCACACAATGCAAACACGATTCCGCATCAGAAGCCCGCCGAGCCGCGTCCGCCACTACCACCACTGCCGGATGCCAGTCGTTTACGCGACTGCCAGTGGATTAAAAAGCAAGGCGACGATGCGGCTCGGGATGCTAATGCGGTGATGTCGACGCTGTGTGGGCGTGAGAGTCATGCGAACATACCGCAGTTTGACGATAGTGTGTGTATTTGTTGTAGTGACGGAAGTAGTAGTATGGATATATGTAGGAGGAGTAGGAGTAGGAATGGGAATGGTGAGCTAGTGGAAGCAAATGCGAATGCAAATGCTAGGATAGGGGTTCGAGGGAGTAGAGAGGTGTTTGACGATGCTGTCCAGGCGACTGGACTGATGTAGTCTGAGGGGTGTATCTTATCACGTAGTTTCACGGCCGAGTTTCTTCTAGTTTGTAGTATCGGTATTAAACCGATTTCGATCTTTCGTAGTTTCCTTTTGTATTCGATATCCCGAGGTTTTTCCAATTCCATCATCGCTTCTATCACGATTCCTTGAACGCCAAAGTGACTATGCTTTAACCTCACACTGCTTGAGACTTTCCTTCCATCATGCCTCAGGTCTAACCTTCCCTCTCCTCTCCCTCATACCCTCCACCCTCTTCCGATCTTCCTCAAACCTCCTCTTCAACTCGCCCTCTGCCTTTTTCCTCCTCTCACGATTCTGGAACCTATAGAAATCATCCGTAGCCCGATGGTTCCTCTTGCGCTCATCTAACTCAGCCTTCTTCTTCTCTGCCTCTTCCAGCCTAGCAGGCCCAACACGCCCTCCACGGACAACAGCCACGAAACCATCTTCATCGGGTACAGACCGCGCCGTCTTGCGAAGTCGATTCCGCATCGTTTCCAGGGCGTTGAATTGCGACAGGTAAGCATTTAAGCTTGACTGAAGAAGGGAAGGCGGTGGGTACATGAGATTATTATGCGACTTGTAGCCTGCGCATTCTTGTTAGCTCACTCTCTCTCTCTCTTCAAATAAACCACCACTACCCATCTCTCCAAACAACGAAAAAAAAATTGAAATGAAATATAGAACAACTTACGTTCCACTCCCACACCCCCCTCCTCCCCCTTCCACACCACTTCCACCCCCTCCTTAACAACCTTCTGCACCCCCCTCATGGCGCCCCTCGCACTCTTCCCATCCACAAACACCACAACCCCCGCACTCCCACTCCTGCGTATCCCACTACTCCAAAGCGGCGGTAACGCACTCTCCGCATCCTCCACCACCCCTTCCGCCACGATATCCTTATCATCCCCCCTCTTCCTCTTCTTACTCTTCACACCCCCAGCACCAGCATCGGCACCCTCGCTCTTCCACCGCTTATGCATCGGTTCCGCAGGGACGGAAGCGTCGAACTCGACGCGCTCGACCATTGAGCCGCCCAAGTTCTCGGAGAACAAGGCGCGCAGAGAAGTTTCAGAGGCGTCGATGGGGAGGTTGGCGATGAAGAGGCTGCGGTCTGAGGACGGGGTTGGGACGGTGGGCGTGTGCGGTTTGATGTACATGTAGTGGCGTGCTGTGGTGCATTGGTCGGGAAGGCCTGGAAGCGAAGCCAGGGTGAGGGGGAGAACGGTGAAGTCTGCGACGGTTTTTGGGGGCGGTTTGGGGGTTTTGGTGGGTTGGGGCGACATGCTGGGTTGGTGGTGATGGGGTTTGCGCTGGTTGGTGAAGGGATGAAATTGGAGGTTTGTGGGGTGGTGGGAATTCGAGTAATTATTGGCCAGAGCGCAGGCACTGCTAGTCTAGGCGCTGAGGCTGGAATGTGTGAGAGTGTCCGCAGTTGCGCTGTGGAGGTGTTCACATGTATGCGCTCGAAGTGGTAGAGTTGGTGCTGGTGGACCTTCTGCGCTCACGAAATTTTGGCAGGGTTGGCACGGATGCTTTTCTAGCTCCGTCACCAGCGCTGCGAGGCTGACTACTAGCTTTGTAGACAAGTGCATTTGTGAGCACAATGACGAATCATCTTGATATTAACGCAATAATTGGTAAGAAGATCAAATGATAATCTACTTCTTTGCTAGGCTAAGAATTACAGATTTTATAACGGGACGCTCTATGCAAGCGAACCGTAACAGAAAAAAATGTGGATATCAATAAAGTCATGAGGCGTAAAAGACAGAAAATAATGATACCCTCAGCGTGAAGAGCGAGTCCAGGTTCCGAAGTGGTACCGTGATTCACTCTGACTGCACAAGCAGGGAGCAGTCGTCAAATGCGTGACTGTCGAACTGAGATGGCAGGGGCAGGAGCATGCAATAGATACCATCAGACCAAGCTTCTACAGCAGTGTAATTCGGGTATAGGTAACAATGCCGCTATGCAGCCGAGAATAGAAAAACCAAAGAGCTGCAAGTCAATATCGTGACCAAGTCTTGAAACCATAGAAATGTGACTGCTTCAGTTGAAGCCACCCGGAATGCTCTTGATAGGAGATTCTGGGGGCGAATGAAGAGCCTCATCATCTGTCTTGTTGTGTTCTGGCGACGGTTCGTGAGAGTATTTGGGCTTAAGTCGGTTGCCAATCTGTTCGAGCCTGCTGTCCTCTACAGAAGACAAAGATGAAGTCGAGTCTCCGCGCATGAGGGAAGGAGTTGAATCCGGGCTGTGCTTTGGGATAGTCGGAGAAGGCATGGCCGATGTCGTGTTCAGTGATCCATCCGAATTGGTCGACATACGGTTGCGGAAGGGATTCCTGGCTGGCAGGGCCGGGGCAACGGGCTTCGCCACTTGGACGACGCGTGCACGAATTGCTTGCGGGGCCGGTGCCTGATGGATCTCGTGAACAACTGGCTCCTCTTCGAAATCATCATCATCGTCATCATCCTCGTCCTCGTCATCTTTCTTAAGATCTACATTATCATGTGATACTTCCTTCCGGGGAGAGCCGCTCGATTTGTCATCAACAGCCTTGCTTGATTCAGGCTGTGCTTGAGGTTGTGGTTCAGGAGCTGTGGGAGTAGCCTCTTCGGGCTTCTTTTCGGCGCTCGTTGGTCGTGGCGGGGTGGGGTGTTCGATGGTCGTCTCGGGTATCTCTATCGTAGGAGTAGCAGGTGTGGGTGCGACGCTTGTTCGTGGTGGGAGTTTCGGGGCTGGTTTCTTGATGGTCGGAGGGGGTGGTGGCAGATCGTCGGTCTGCGTGCTCATGTCGACCGTTGGTGCCCGAGGCTCGAATACGCTGCTGATGTTGCTCATTCGCCAGCTCGACGGTCGGCTCCCGGCAAAGCTCGACCGGTCCGTACTCCGACGATACGTGGAGTTTCTGAAGGTGTTATAGATAGGACTCGTCGGGCTGGGCTTGAATTCGAATTGCTCGCTTGATGGTCGGCTGTGTGTTCCTGCTTCCCTGATCTCCAGACCGGCTTCTTGTAGCGCAAGCACACCAAATGGATCGGGATCAACAGCGTCCGGGATACCAAAAGTCTTCTCTTCCGGGCCTGTGATCTCAAAGTCACCAGGCGGAGCTTCATCTGGAATCAAAGACTCATCGACATCGGTATCGCCTTGGGCTGATTTGAGTGTCTCCAGCAGTCTTCTTGTCTCTTGGGGTACGTGCCGCGCTTTTCCAGCCAATATGTCCTTCACCCCTATGCGCTCGCCGTAAAAACGCTCATTCTCGTCAGTGCGTTCAATAACAATGGTTCCGTCGAGTTGAAGGCCGGCATAGAATCCTCGTGACTTGATGTAGGTGAAGAGGGGGGACTGGCGCTTGTGAATCTCGGTATCCAGCATGGCCCCAACGCCAGCTGGGCCAGCGACGGCGCTGATTTCCCCACCCAAGGTGCATCGCACTGACTGAAAAGCGTCCAGTGCCTTGTCTGAATTGATGACAATGACACAGTCGTAGATGTCCACGCCTAAAAGAAAGCCCACACCGACTGTGTGCATCATGATGCCAGAGGGCGGTGACCATGTGCCGTCCTCTTTTCGCGCAACAAGTATACCGGCTCCTCCGGATCCAGAGACCCAAAAGCCTGTCCGCATGGTTGTGAAGATGCAGAGACCTTTTGCATTTTGTATGACCTTGGAAGGGATCTTCTTGAGCACTTTCTGCTTGCCTTGGGGCACATTGGCGGTGGCGGGCTGGTCTTCTTCCTCGTAGAAGCCATCCTCTGTAACGGGGTCAGTGGCTGCGGGTAGACATGTAGCGGTGACATACTGCAGAAACTCTTGAGAATGCGCGCAGCCTTGTCTGACTCAATGTCGAGCGTCGTGGGCCAGAATGCCTCTGCGCCGACTCTGTTGGACAGGCGGTTGACGGGAGCGCCGAGTTTGTCGACCCAGTTATAGACCTTGTCGAAGCCGGCCTTGGACTGGGTTTTCGTCTTGGACCACAGGGCCATGTTGGCGGGCTGACTACGTCACAGGCTGGCCGGGTGCTAGAGGTGGGTTCGAGTGTAACTACACATGGATGCAAAGCATGGAAGCGGGATGGGATGGCTCGAGGGAAAAGCAAAGAGGAAGGTCAAGAGGCGGAAGCGTCGGGAATACGTGGTAGACCAGCAGGCGACGACCGTTTTTCAGTTGCGCGGTACGTCAGCCGATGCAGGTAGTGGCGCTGCTGTAGGATCGGGTACTTGTGTTTAATAATGCCCTGGGCAGTCTCTCGCAGGTGACTAACCCCTGCACCTTACGACTCGGACAAACTCTTAGGTGCCGTCATCAGATATTGATTTACCAGATGCAGCGGGTCGTCGAGGCGACTCCAAGACGGCTGCTGCACACGACTAGGAGGGGACATGCACGTCGCCTGATTCGTTGAGGGGGCTGGGTCCTGGGGACTAGCCACTCGTTAGAGCGGAGCCAGGAACGAGTGCGAGCACAATAACACGATGAGCGAGAGGTAGAGGCCCCGTCCCGATAGGGTTTGGGCACACATGCGGCGTGAATCAGTTGCACGTGGCCCATGGATGGTCGGTCTGCCTTCTGCTCCCGTCGTCGTCTGATACGGGCTCAGCAGACCTCGGCGGAGAAACAGTCCCGCCGGCCGCCGAGCTGGCAACGCGCCAAGACCGGGCCGGATCAGGCGCGTCGCTCCGAAGCTCACCAAAGTTTATGTTTTGCGACCGCGACCACGGGCTGGACAAGGGACAAACGTATATCTCAACTTCACTTGTTGCGCCCTGCTGACGCGCATATGCTGCGAATTCTGTGACACTGAAATCACCTCGCCCAGAGTGCCACGGGCATTGTTGCTTGCACACTACTAAGTCGGTCCACTGCCCTACTAGCCTGTCCGACGCCTGGGGCCGCAGAGCAGCACACCACCACCTGCAATGTTTCGTGTCCCATCTCCCACTCCACCTTCCACGCCCGGCCGCGACTACGACAGCTACCCCGAGCCTCCTCCATCCACAACCCCAGCTGGCCATCCGCCCGGCATGAACAACGGCTTGTTTGGATCCTCGCGGCCAGCCTTCAACCCCAACCACTACGATTTCGGCGCTACTTCATTGTTTGGAAGCTCACCGCCCAAGCATGACCTGCTCGAGGGTGTTGGGTCGGGCGCAATGGGCACCTCGACTGTAGGCCGACCCCATGTCCAGCGAGGACGTCCCACCAACTCGAGCCAGTTTCGCCCAGTCAATGGCGCGCCAAACAGACATGCTCAGAGCACAAATGATGAGGACGACTACACCGATGAGGATGAAGAAGAGTACGACGACGAAATGGATGAGGAAGAGGGCTCTGAAGAGGAAGAAGAACACTACTCGCCACAACGGCGCAACAAGACACAGAACAGGTTCGCCCAGTCGACAGTATCAAGGACGAGCGCAAACGACGTGGAGCCGGGGCCTACCTTGGTTCGGCCAGGCGCAAAGCAAACTCAGTTCGACCTCCTTGCGCTTGCAAAGGGCCTTACGTCGGACGCCGGTCGATCGCGTCTTCGCGAACCCGACCATCTGATACTCGACACGGAGCTGTTGGTCGAGAAAGTGTATGAATCGCTGCAGTCGGACTCGCCAGAGAAAAGAACCGAGGTGGTTGGCTCTGTCGCTCACGAGTTGATAGCAGCATGGCGAGCCGCGTCCAAGTCGACCTCCCGAACCAACACAGACAGTGTAATGGAGCTGTCGCAGACCACACAACTGGCAGCTCTTTTGCTAACTCTACATCACCCTCCCCAAGTTGGACTAGACCAGCGAACCTCTGCCTTGTCCTTGGTACCAGCGCGACCTGAATCGAAACAATACACGCCAATCCCGAAAGCCTTGCTCGACTGGCTGAATAGCACATTCGATGGCGGCTCTGAGGTGACTGAGGTTTTGAAACAGACTGGCGGATATTCGAGACATCCTTCTTTCTGGGAGGTTGTGCATGTCACCATTGCCCGAGGAAAATTCGCACAAACTTTACAGCTGCTCCAGGGCGCGCAGCTTGAACACGCCGAAACAGCCGACCATGACGGGCTGGGACGGGCTGGATACACTGGGACGCATCTGCAATTTGCAAACCACGCACTTCGTCAAGCCATTGACCTTTTGCGTGAGTGCCCTGCTATCGCATCAGAAGATTGGGACATCAAAGGACATGATTGGACCATTTTCCGTCAACGTGTTCAACAAACCTCTGTTGGCTTGGAAGAGTTTGCCGAAGGCGAAAGTGTGAGCCGTCACTCGATATCGCAGCCCTTCCAAGCGGCCCACTTCGGCATTTCGCAAAGTCAAGCAAGCTTCCAACTCAGCGTAGCAAGCCGGAAAGCAGAAAGCAAAGTACCATGGTCTGTCTATGAGAACCTGGAAAGGATGTATCAGCTCTTGCTCGGTAACGAGGAGGAGATTCTTACCTTGTCGGCAGATTGGATTGAAGCGACAGTTGGTCTGACCATCTGGTGGAACGGAGAAGAAGATGATCTTGCGCAAGGCAGTCTGGCAGCCAGCCGTCGTTCCCTGATGCGGTCACAACGGGTTCGCCCTGTAGATGTGACGCCTGTCAAAGCCTACTCTCAACGCCTTTCTGCTGCGCTTGCGGCGGTCATACAAAATAGCGACGAGGATTTCAGCATAAACTCCGTAGACCACTTCGAGGTGGGCCTAGCATGCGTACTAGACGACAACGCAGAAGGCGCGCTCCAGATTCTCCAGGGCTGGTCTCTCACAATCGCTTCAGCAGTGGCCGAGATTGCCAGCGCGGGAGAGTGGTTCAAGGGCGCAAAGGGCTTGTTGGATCAATTTGATCAAGATGACCTGATGGTTCTGAGCTATACCGAACAACAGCAGCCAAAGGGTGTGACAAAGGACGACTTGCTCGTTACCTACTCGGACCTGTTGGCATCCAAGGGACAAATTACAGGCAAAGAAGGTCAGGAATCTAAAGAGGGATGGGAGCTGGCTGTGCAGGTCCTAGGAAGACTGGATGATACCATAGCAGCAAATGAGCGTATCGAGCGGATACTCAATGACCTACCTCTTGAGTCGTCAAGTCGAGTGGACAAGATCACTCAACTGTGTCACAACCTGGGTCTTTCACAACATGCAGTCACCATTGCTCAGGTACGTCATCACTTTGGACCCTTTCTTGTTGATGCTGACCATGATAGAAATATGCCGACCATCTCCGCACAAATACCGAGAGCTACGGCGACACTCTCCTCTACTATGCCCGTGCTCACGATGCATCAAGAATCCAAGAAGTTCTTCGCGTGCTAGTTGCTCACTGCCTGGTCAAATCAATGGCGTACCCTCCTCTGGACGAACTGGACGAATCCCTCAGCTCACTAATTACCTCTCCCAAGCAAGCTCTGACCAAGCTTGCCAATACAGACTCTGAAGCCGCATCATTGCTCTCCAACCACCTCAGTGGCTACGCAACGATCCGCAAGTACTACGACCTACGTGACGAAGAGGTACTTTTGAAGAATTGCCAGAAACCAGCACATCGGCCCATGGCTCGGAAACGGGCTGCTGCCAATTCACTCATGGTCATCATCGCCAGTGCAGCGTCGAGCATCCGGGGAGGATTGTACGATCCAGAGATTGAGACTGTGGTCCCCGTCGATGTCTTGCTACCGCTTCTAGGCGAGGCGCTGATTTTCGTGAACCAGCCCAAACGCACTCTGACTCTTCGCCATCTCTACGATCTTCTCGCTGCCGTCGAGGACTTGGATACTGCCCCCAGTATGATCCGAGCGCAGTGCGAGGAAGTGCTAAACACTACCTTGCTATCCGCACACGACGCCAACTCTTCGCCACAAATACCGAACCCACACAACTTCCTCACGAAATCTACATCCAACGTGACCACTGCTTCGAGCCAGTACTCGATTATTGGTTCGGCAGACTTTGGCTCCACAGACGGCCAAAGCGCCGAAGGCTCCACCGTGTTGGTCAAGGGTGGGCATGTCGACGACAGCAAGCGCGGCTGGGACTGGCGCAAAGGCTTTCCCCAGGGCGCAAAGAGCGACGACATCATTGCTGTGCTGCGAGTTGGTGTAGCACGGGAGATTGGAAGAGCGTTTGCCGAAGGCGAAGTCACTGCTTGAAATCTTCATGGTGACAAAGCAAGTGTTTTGAGTAGGAGGATTTTGATACCACGACTGCACGCGTAGTTTATATTACCCGTTCGGAACGAAAGATGCGCGCCTTGGTTTTTTTTCTAAATCTTGCATAAGGAAACTTGGGAGTAGGGAAAGCGCTTGTCATGCACTTGTGGAGGTGTATTGGAAATCAAAGTAATGAAATTAGCGTTTGAAGAGCATCGGATGTCTTGCCTCCTCTTGTGCCGTGAAGTGAAGCATGTTTGTTCGTCCTTGGTGAAGTCGTTATTGGTATGGACACGTATAGGTAAGTGGAATGATGAGAAATGGTGATCACTCTTTTTTTTGGTATGGTGTTGTTTACCCCTAGTACACTGACTACTTGTACCTTTTGTTATCCTTAGCAGATTGTCTCTCAATGTGTAAATTGTAGTGTAATTTCGCTGTAGTAAAACTATTTAGAATCTACAATATATGTGCTGTACTTACCAGTTGACCAAAGACGACAACATTCATCTAATTTTAACTAGAACATATAAGGCTTGTCAAATTGTCCAATTAGGCCCAGAGTTATGAGAGGGGGGGGGGGATGTGCGTTTCCCAATATTAAGAAGTTAGCATCGAATAACGCGATCTGAGAATCGGATATATTGCGCAATACTGTTGTAATTTGAATCGAATTCTAGGAGACTGTGTGCCGCGAGGACGAGTGAAGAAAGTCGCATATAATCGAAGGGTGCCTAGTGGAAGGTTCCAAAAATCACGAATGTTGTATCAAGCTATTCGCAAATCATCTCATAAAAAGCGAGCATGTTGTCGAATTGAGACAGGACAGCTTCCCCCCCCCCCAAAAAAGAGTTCGGTTCTTTTTCCATGGAGCAGTAGTGGTATGGGAGTGACGCACCGGCTATTTGGGGTAGCACAGGCCTAACTCCCCGGCAATGAATATTGGCCGAAAGGACCATCAGTCCAAGCCGTCGTCCTGTATCGGACGGCAAGTGTTTCAGTAGAAGATGATTTACATCATTTGGATGGATAGTAGCTAACATGCAAGCCCCAGATATGGTGCACCACATTTCTACACCCTTTTCAGACTAGGGGCATAGATATGTGGTACGGTGTTGATCTAATGTTGGGGGAAAACGGATCTTTCGGCAAGCCCATTACCAGAGTTCGAGCAGGTGGCGCTAGATACTTTTCACAACGAAGAGGGTGTAGGGGCGAGCCAATAGGATGAGTGTGGAAAGCCCGAGACAGGCACCACTCAAAGAAGGCTAGGATATGTGGATAAAGAAAGGATGAATGCACAGGGAGAGCCCGATGGCGACAGAGGCTGTGTATGGAATCTGTGGCGAGTAAAGGTTGCGAGGATCTGTTACTCGGGCTGCTCTGTACATTTCTCAATGCAGATTTACAGCGAAGCGTCTAGTAGCATTTAAGATGCATGCAGTTGCAGTGGAAACCGATGTCGATTCAACGGTGTTGACAGAACCTTAGCATCACCCAGCAAGCCAGGGCTGATTCGGAAAAGCGTCAAAAAATGGTATCATGGCCGCTACTCATGAGACGGGCGCAGTCCTCCAAGTAAAGCACAGCTAAGTATGTAAGGGTGCGAAACGGTTGGGTTGCAGACTGGCGTCCGAGGCCATGCCGGAAGGGGATGTAAGTGGTAACGTGATTTTTTGTCGCGGTCGCGTTGAGGGGCGGACTGGCGCGTGAAAGCCAGGCCGGTGCGCGCCCTGAAATCTACCCCTCTCGCCCAAGGCTCAACGATCAGCGATGCATATTGCCGCGACATTAGGCACCATTTGATGAATGTTAGCATTGGTTTGTCTGGCAGCGAATTGTATCGTTGCGCGGAACCGGATGAGTGCCTTATTCCATGCTTGTTAGGTGAGGCCGACGCGACTTTTGCCCCCCAGGGGAACGGCAGACCGCATGTGGGTTAGACATAGGACGAGCAGCCACGCCTCCTTGCTGGGTATGTATGCGTAGGTGGGAGCGATGAACCGACGGTGGCTACTGCGCGGTATCGGCTGCGTTTGCTTTTCGCAAAGTTTCCTGGGTAGCCTGGCCATAGCGCGAGCTGTGCCATGAAAAGGATGCTGGCTTCGGCGAAGGACACGACAAGGGATTCGCCGACTCGACTGCTCGGTGGATCTGCCCATTGGCGACAGGAGGATGAAAAGGATGAAAAAGCATGGAGGAAGATGTCGCAAGTAGGTGTAGGAGTAAGCATCCTCGAGCTCTAAGCGATGTCTCTGTTGCAGCTCGAGCTGCTCATTGCAGCAGAAGCATGGGCAGTGCCAGGCTAGCGCAATCAGCTCTTTGTCCCGCCCTTGTTTCACAACCTTGGCCAAGTGCTACCCGGCCCCGGTCCAAGGCTTCGCCGTCCGCTGAGGGCTGACTCTTAATGCCCCAAAAAGGGAAAGGCGCTGCATGTGATACCGCGACACCGTACCGACGCGTTTTAGTCATAGTTGACGCGTCCAATCCGCGTCGCACCTCAACCTCACCCCGGCAGAGGGCCCGATAGTGGCCTCCTGTGAGGAGTCAGGTATATATACATGGCTGCATCGCTCGCTACTTGGCCTGCTATCGCCTGCTGTGCCCGACTAATCAGCTGCCTGAGGAACTGCATCTTCGATTGGCTTGCCAGTCCAGATTCCCACATCTGCTGCCTACTAACTGTATCTATAAGTATCCACGACATCTACTCATCAAAAGCCTTGCCTTCAGTACCATCTGTAAAACATGTTCTCATCATCCAACCGTACACGATACCAGGAAGGTAGCTTCTCCAAACATCGAGCAAGCAAGTCAAAGTCGTCCAAGAAGAACCCTTCCTTCAAGGACTCGCCCAGAAGAGTAGAGAAATTAGCACAGCAAGCACAGGCATCCTCAGCGCAACCTAGTCCGACATCTCCATCTCTAGGAAGGTGAGTCTACCCTTCCAAAGTCCCTTCTCCGACAGTCTTACTAACAGCACTTCCCCAGTGCAATTGTCACCATATCCGTCGGCCGCGAACAGCGCCTCTTCGCCGCCCACGAAGACGTCCTCTCCCACTCGCCCTGGTTCCAATCCCTCTGCTCCGGCCAGTTCTTCCAAACAACAACCAACAAGCGCATCGACCTTCCCGACGAAGAACCCGAAGTCTTCTCCTCCATCCTCGAGTACCTCTACAAAGGCGACTACTACCCCCGCGTCGAGTACGACAAGAAGCGCAACAGCTGGAACCTCGAGGATGCCGGCGCCGGCGCAAACAACCCAAATGAAGCCGTTATCCAGTCGTCCGTCGGCCCCATCTTGAAAGATACCATAATCTATTGCCAGGCGGACAAGTACGGGCTTCAGGAACTGAAGAAGCTGGCGCTGAAGAAGCAAGGCTTGCAATCTGGGATCCAGTGCTCGACTATCCTTACGTCGGCACGGTATGCGTATGCGAATACGCCTGATAACGATTCCAAGCTGCGTGCGCATTACCTTGCGCTTATCATCCGTGCGCGCCACACGTTCAAGCGCAGTGGCACCATGCAGAATGAGATGGAGAGTGGTGGCAAGCTCTTCTTCGACCTGTTCGTCGCCATGGTCAATCATATGGATGATTTGTCTGGCAAGCCGGCGTACTAGCGCCGTCGCAAATGCCTTGCGTACTCGATCGTGTGGTCGGCTTCGCATGACCGCCATGGAGCAACGACTCACTGACCATTTGTATCTCCTTTCTTCTACTCTTCATGTACATATTCCCTTCCCCCGATCAGCTCTCAGCTACGTCTTCCCAGTATCGGTCCTTCTCCATCATTCTTTCCTACTGTTTGTCGCTTATGCAAGGCGTTCCTGGACTCTCTTTCTTCTTCTCTCCTTTCTTTTATCTCGTTGCATTGCTTCGATCGTATTCCACTGTTGTACTACTACATTCTTCCTCTTCCTCACTTTGGCGTTTTGCGCATCTGGCCGCTACTAGAATGGAATGGGACGGGCAGACAACCAAAGAAATTGCAGAACAGTGCTTGATGCACCAAGGCATATATATGTGTTTGGGGGGGGGGGGGGGGGGGGGGTTTTTTTCCCTTGAAAGATCGCATTCTTCGTTGCGATCCAGTAATATCCATTTATTGACACTTGTTTTTTCCTTCTGTTGAGCTGTACTGCTTTCGCGTGGGAGGCTGTTACCAGATTGTATCACCGGTCTGATCTCTTCTATCTTAGAGATATTTGCGATGGACTCTAAACGATGGCTATTTGGTATTATGAGAAATTGATGGGGTTCGCTGAATACATTGCAATTGCTAGTATATCTGAATGTCTCTGTGGGGTGTGTGTATGTGTGTGTCATGCGCCTGCTAGCTGTGCAAAGTTTCGTTCCTTCCTCGACGTACTGGCTTGTTAAGCGCAAAGTGGTTGTGACAAATGCACTCAATGTGGACTCTGCGCTACAACACAAACATGTTCGGTGTAGAAGAAGAAGAAGAAGAAGAAGAAGAAGAAGAAGAAGAAGAAGAAGAAGAAGAAGAAGAAAGGATGTGTAAGGGAACAAAAAGCGCGAGAAGTGGGACTGGAAATGTGATTTCAGCTCACGAGGGCTGCGTGGGCATGTTTGCTGGAGAGATGGAAGGAACAATAGAGCTGAAATACCATTGGCTCACCACAAATGGCCCGTACGTCTAACAGTCAATAGTCATACAGGTGGTAGTAATGATTAAAAGGGATGTAGCTAGCACCATAACCTGGCTATGATGCTGTTTGAATTTTCTCTATTTTCATCGTCTTACCAAAACTCTGTGTATGCACCATTCACCTGTGCAACGTACCCAAGACGCATGCCATTGTGCACATGCACAGTGCTAACGATATGCCCCAATCATATTCCCCCAAAGCCAAGAATCCTGTTGAGGTGGTGTGGTGACTCTACTCACTGTGTACGCAAGGCAGCAGGCCCAAGTAAAGTTTAGGCATCAGACCCCTGTCCCGGGGAATGCTCCCTTCTTGTTCATCACTACTATTCCATGGTCGCGCGAAATATAGCCTTTCATCAGACCCTATGAAACCTGTCAGCCAAACCTTGATCGGTACAATCGCTGCGTTGGTACATACCTTGTAGATTTGGTTCGCCAATAGGCACTCCACCTCATCGTCCTCCACCACTTGGCCGCTGCCTTCACCTGCGGTCCCCATTCGGAGTGCGGCTACGAAATGCGCTAGTGGTATGCGCGACTTGCGTATCCTATCCTTCTCCGTCTGTCCTTCCTTGAGATCGTCGAAGCCGGCGGCAAGGTATACCTTTCGGAGAAGATTGCGCAGGGCAATATCGCGACTTCGTTCTAAAGTAAGGAATATGCGCTGCTTGACAAACTCGGGCTCGCCCTCCGCAAGGGCTCTGTCGAAGCCCGTAAGATCTCCGCGTTTTATACATGATACGAGAGGCCCGAAGGTGCGCTGTAGATGTGGGGCTTCTGCGAGAAGACTCATTGTCGGAATCTTGTGCTGGGTGATGAGACGACAAGGAATCAAGTAGGTGAGTATCAGACTGGAGCAGTCAGATTTTGGCACGCATCCTGTTATTGATTGTGACACTTACGATTTGTTATGTTGCGAACGCGAATAGCAGGACTCCCATGCTTGCTGCAAACTACTCTCTGCCTACCAGATATTAGAGAGACCTTCATTATATCGCCTTTTGGTAATACCTTGGTATAGTCCTCCTGCAGGAATGAGAGTACCCCGAGATAGTACTTGTATGTTACTCTATGGGCCCGTGGGTATAGCTCGAATGTAGGTAGGTCGGACTGTGCTTCGATCGATCGCACCACGTTCTTGGATAGACTGATGGCTTTCAACTAGAATTTTTTTTTCGTCAGCGGTTGCTAAGAACCAGTTATTGACGAGTTCTTACCTTGAAGTATGTCTTGAACTGGAGATTGGCTATGCAGTACACACCCCATTTACGGGACTCGGACATGTCCGGGTTTCTGGCACATTGTAAGACAACCACTCAAACATAGCAATAGAGATATGGCACACCTATCACCAAGGCATAGCGCAAAGATCCTGTTGAAGACTCGAGCAGCCTCTTCAAGCTTCGGGTTCTGAGGACCAGTGCTCACGATATCGTCTGAAAACTCCGCGCTTGCAGTTGCTGATTTCGACTTGGCCAACTCTTCGTCTGCTTTGATAGCTATCTTCCTAAGATGATTCGCAGTGAAATACAGCGTAAAGATGGCCCACGGTGGCAGTAGCCCAGCCGATATATGCTTGATAAAGCTGCTGGTCAAGTATTTCCAAGCGTCATACACTGCCACGAATTGGCGCTCGTCGAGCTTGTCCTGGTTCGCAGCCTCGTCCGCCCTTATAATCTCCCTGACAGCGCGCCAATAAGCAGCAATGATATCAACCCAAGCACCGCTCTCTTTGTTGGTCATGCGCGCGCTCTTGTTGTGTTTGAGCGCATAGCGAATATCGCCCTCGATCTTATCTGCGTTAGATGCACGGTAGAATTCATACAGCCGCCCAGGATCATGCGCAGGCGCAACTGGGCTGAGAAAGTCTGCGACGGGCTGCGCCAATCCTGTGGCGTATGCCTCATGGAAAGGTTCGAGTGCGGCTTGCATGGTTGGGGCTGGAACTGTGGCTACGGCTGGGACTGCTGCAGCTAGAGATGGGGTTTTGGAGAGTCTCAGCAGTATTGGCGGCCTCCGGTGGTGTTTTCAACCATTAGACATGTCGTGTTTGTGCCCGTGCCGGAAGCTGAGCTGTTTGATGTTCTGACGATTGCGGATGCTAGTAGTGTCGGTGTTTGGGCGGTGGGTTCGCCGATGCAGCTCGCACCTGGCTGCCAAGTCGTGGCGGCTCCTCTTCTCGGCTAGCGCCCACAAGCGACCTCGAATTCGACAGGCCGGCCACAATTCGCGATAGACGACCTGAACTTCTCACCCCAAGGTACTAACCACAGCACAATTACGGTCAGTCCATATTACCTCCTCTCACGAATTCTGCTTGCTAATACATCACAGATGGGTAAGCACTCTCTTTCGAATTCCTGCGCATCACCCTCTCGCACAGCAATTGCAGCCGATGGAGTTTTCGCACAAACCCGCGACACGCACCGAAAAGCCTGGGACGGCACATCGAACATGACGAACGGATAGGAGAGGTGATGAGATGCTGCATAGGCCTCTTCATATTTGCTTGTTGGATTAAAGGCGTCAAGCAACCGTGATGATGGCCTTGGATGAAAATTGAGAACCTGCATGCGACTACTTGGATTCTCCCGGCCGCATCTCAATCGCCCTAGCACGACCGACCTCCGCTGCGTATCACTGCTGCAATTGCTGGACAGAGACTACGATTTTTTTTGTAGCAGTACTGACGATGCATCAGCTCGCTTCCAGGAATACCAGATCATCGGGCGCCATCTGCCTTCCGAGGCCAACCCTGCGCCAAAGATCTACCGTATGCGCATCTTTGCGCCCAACGAGGTCGTCGCCAAGTCACGGTTCTGGTACTTCCTTGGCAAGCTCCGCAAGATCAAGAAGGCCAACGGTGAGATCGTTTCCGTAAACCAGGTACGCCGCAATCACACACAAACACACAGCCCGGCGCACTGAGGCTAACCCGCGTCCAGATCCACGAGAAGAAGCCCCAGAAGGTCAAGAACTTCGGTATCTGGATCAAGTACGACTCGCGCTCCGGCACCCACAACATGTACAAGGAGTACCGTGAGATGTCCCGTGTCGCCGCCGTCGAGGCTCTCTACCAGGACATGGCTGCCCGTCACCGAACGCGCTTCAGGTCCGTTCAGGTATGACTATCCTTAGACCATAATCTGCAACACCAAACTCACACTTTGTCTAGATCCTCAAGGTTGTTGAGGTTGAGAAGGCCGATGACCTCCGCCGACCATACATCAAGCAGCTCCTCACCAAGAACCTCAAGTTCCCGCTGCCCCACCGCATCAACAAGAAGGCGGGCAAGAAGGTCTTCGCTGCCCACCGCCCATCCACTTTCTTCTAAGCGTGTTTCTTATTACGGAGTGCGGTCTGGATGGGAAGGATTGTTATGGGTTTCCCTCGGTTATGCATACTTCACGAAAAGAAGTACACTAGGAACGAATGAAAATCCCTGATACCTCCGTTCGAGTCATCGAGACGCGTGATGCTACACAGGGTGCTGGCCAGGGTTCCGCAAATAGGACAAGTCTCAGACTACCAAAAAAGGGTACGGTACGAGCTGGACGATAGACAATGAACTCATGAAATTGCGAGTCAACATGTGGTACAGCATGCGCCTTTGCTTTATCCTTTGACATGCAATTAGATTTTTGATCCTCCTGTCGGTGCCACTTTTGGTCTTCCTAATGTATCCACAGGTATCCACCATGGGTACCCAGTGACCTTCATCTTATCCATTGATCCACTGAACTTTGCGGGTCGCTTCTCCATGAAAGACTTGACACCTTCAGCATTATCCCTATTCACCATCAGCTTGTTGATATTGAATTCCCCATGTTGTATAGACTTACGGCGACCCAAACAACTCGAAGATGATCCTACTGTCCAATAAATGCTGTCCTTCAGGACTTCCACGATCCCTGTACATCAACTCCTTCATTAGATACGTACTAACACCGCTCGTGTTCCCAGCTACTTCCTCAGCCATTTCAAGCGCCCTCGGCAGTACCTGTTCAGGCTTCTCGCAAACTTCTGCAAAAAGGCCATCCCAGACTTTGTGCGTGGCCAAATACGTGCTGCCTGTAGTAACGACCTGCATCGCACGGGAGTGCCCAATTAGCCTAGGCAGATAGAAGGAAGAAGCGGCCTCCATGATGAGTCCACGACGCGCAAACACAAATCCTATCTTCGCTGTTGATGACGCGATACGAATGTTCATGGGCAACGTCATGGTAATGCCGACGCCTACAGCGGAACCCTGAATCGCAGCTATGCTTGGTTTCCGGCAGTGATGTATAGCAAGCGCGACGCGTCCGCCTCTATCCACATAGTATTAGCCCTAATTCGACACCCCAATACGCAGTCACTTGAAGGAAAGAGTCATGAAAAAGAAAGAGATATAATGTACCCATCCCTATGCTCCGCCACACCCTCCGCTCCCTCCGCATCTACACCTTCACCAAACCCATCATCCAGATCCGCACCCGCACAAAAAATCCGTCCGTGGCCTGTCACAACGATGCATCTTACACGTTCGTCTACGTCGAACATGGCGTATGCGGATTCCAACTCTGATTGCATGGTGTCGGTGAAAGCATTGTGGTTTTGCGGGCGGTAGAGTGTGAGGATGACGATGGAGGCGTCTTTAGTATGGTGCTGGGTGCGGATTTGGGTGAAAGGGAGGTCATTGTAGGAAGTGGGGAGCTGGATGTCGGGTCTGTGGCGGGGAGATTGTTTGGGCTGTCTGGACATGTTGGGTGATGAGATATGGTGTGTATTGGGAGTGGTAGCGATAAGAAAGGAGAAGCGGGAATAGAACTAGACTGGACTTTTATTGTTTCTTCAAGGATGAGAGGTTACAAGATTTGCTGGGTTGATGTGCTTGTGATGTTGCATCGATTTAATCTATGTATAGTCGAAGGATGCGGGAGAGATGCGGGAGAGATGCGGGGAGGACGAAGGGCCGAGGTTCGAATGGAGCTTCGATGTCAGCGCGTGTGCAGTAAGTTTGTAGCTTGGATCAAGTTTGGTAGACTAAGAGTGAGTATGAATAGCAAACACACTAGGTTTGCCATCATGGGTTTCTGTATTCTGGTGTCTGGTAAAGCTAGGCGGAGAAGGTCTCTATGTTTCCTTACGAAGTATGCACTGATGTGTTGTATCTTGTCACGTGACATGGGTGCTGGTCGAGGTATTCGTGTACACACAACAAGGCCCGATGCTTTATAACTTATCTGATGATAGAAATGTACTTGAATCATAATATAAATTACATAAGATATATCAATGATGAATATAATTCCTTCCATAATTATAGGTGGCATCACCCGGCACAAATAATGGTTCCTTAGCCGTGTGGGTTGCGCCTTCCTTTAGCTAGTAGATCTCAGATATTACAGGAGCGAACGCCATAGAGAATTCTTAACACCGTGTTTAACGATCCATATTTGCGTAAGCATTTATCCCAATCTATTTCGAAGACGCAGTGCAAACAAGGTGAAATGTCTTGGCACGAACATTGATGAATGAAGCACAGACCGCGGAACCACTGCCAGCTCGTCGCGAACTCCCCGCATCGCGACTCTGCAACCTTAGACTCAATATGTAGTTCCCAGTAACATCAGGTAGTGCAGCCTAGATCCTGCAATGCCGACGCGCGCAATCAAGGCCATTTTCTATACGCGATTCCACCATGAAAAGGGTACGCATCTCTGGAGATTTTTTGGGGACCTGCTCTAATTCCGCTTCAAGGGAACCGCGTACTCCACCAAGTCCCTCCGGGAGCCATAATACCCTCTACCCTACCCTCCGCCTTGACCACACCACTGTTTCCCTTCTCCTCTGTCACCCAATATCTCATACCCACACAGCAGTTCTGCGACCGCCTGCTCACCTTCTGCGTAAATCACCAGCGCGTTATTGGCTATCCAGTCTGCATACGAGAAGGTAAATACAGTAGGAATGAATTTATCTTCAACTTTGCTATTGTGATTGGCGAGAATGAACGCGACTGGGCGTGCTATGGGGAAGTGGCGCGAAAGCTGGGACGGCTGCTAAGGGGATTAGAAGAACAGGGTGGATTTCTGAGCAAAGAAGAGGTTGGTGTCTGGGACGATGATGGAGGTACTATCGATGCAGGCCTAGACAATGGTGTTTGTGGATTTGGAGTAGGTGGTGGAAGCAAAGTGTATGCGCTGTGCGAAATGGTACTGGAGGATCTGAATAACTATGCCGAATGCATGATACCAATTGGTAGGTCATTTGTGCCCATGAAAAACATTGTGTTGATCAAGTGCTAGACGACTCCAACACGATCAACTTGAAGTTGTTTCCTACACGGCCCCCTCCTCCACCTATCCTCGCCCATCAAGTCCCATTACTCACAATCTCCCTATCAAGTCTACAGCAACCCGTATCCTCGGATCTTACATTGAACCGGATCCTCCCATACATCAACGGTATCAACTCAATAGCGCACATTGCACAGCTTGCCGACACTGATCTCTCATTGACACGGAAAGCGATTCAGCATTTGGTCTACTATGGATGTTTGGTGTTGCTGGATATTTTCAGCTTTGGGGCAATCTATGCACCGACAGCAGAGATTGGTGGTTTCATTGTAGACGCAGAGGTTAAGGACGAATGTATGCGCTATGTCAGGGTGCCGAGAATGAAGCTGGGCCCTAACGCGAAATCCGTCTGGATGGATAGTGAGTCTACAGATATGAGCCAAGACGGGCGCAATTCCATCTCTTCTTCTTCTGCATCACAGCTTAGCGAGGCGGTAGGGTCTACGCTCAAGATTTCGGAATTCGATGCCCACATTTCAGCACATAAGAAAGGGGAAGAAGAAGAAAAAGCTATTCAGACCAGCCATGAGACCCTGATAACACTCTACACTTCGCTACGCCAGGGCCTAACGCTAAAGAACTGGGTACTGGAGAATTTGGACCTCCTCTCTGGCATCGATGTGCGCCGTCTTATCACCTTTGGCGTCATCAAGGGCTTCCTCTACCGCGTGCACAAGTACGCAATCGCAACCTCGTCTACTCTCCCACCCGCACCCCCGACCAGCCTGCAAACAAGCACAGCCACTTCTCTCGCCAACCTCCGCGACTCGGACACCACCACCATCCGCGGCACCGACCGTATCCACCACGCTTCTCAGCCTAGTATCCACCACCAACATCACCCGTCCTTTTCTATTCACAAACCCAGCATCGCATCCATCACGCCTCAGACCCTCCAGCAGCAGCAGCAGCAGCAATCGAGTCTGCACCACCTTGGCGCACCCAAAACCGAGGAAAGTCACCACCAGCTCCTGCACAATAGCGGCATAATCGATGAGCGTGACACGAGTGGCCTGCCTTTACTCAGGTTTCTAGATGGCATGCATTGCTTTGATGAGATTTGTACCGACTTGGGACTTGCGGAGCGTGTGGTTGAGGGCAAGATAAGGGGGATGGGTGATGGGGCGGGTGTTGTCGTGCATAGATAGTGCGAGTATCAGTACTTTGTTTAATGTGCAGGGAATTGGATAGTTCATGTTTTATCTAGATGCATATTTGTAGGATTGTTTATCTTCTCAGTGAGGAGGGCTGTTGATGAGTAGTAACCGGCGGACCAGTAGTCAGATGGGTGACCACTAGCGAACCCCTACTATTGAATTTTTGATGTTTCACCCCCTCCCTTTCTCGTACTTGACTTTGGTGTAAAAAGACATAATTCAAGAGGTATAGAAACGACCCAGGTTTGTGACGTTTTATTTCTACAGGTAATCATGCCTATCTACTCCAGTAAAATACCAGGCTTTCAAGTGCCGCATCCAGATCCAATCCTTCGATTAGACGTCCTCCTAATCTCTTCTGTAAAAATATCCACGCCTCTCGCCTCAGCTCCTCGCTCTCTGAATTGCCAGCTTCGCTCAATGTGTCGAGAAGAGCGCTTAGACTTGACTGGACACGCGCAACAAATAAGTCCGCGACTGGATTGTGCGCCTGTGCGAGGCCCTGCCAGATATCCAGCGTTTTACGGAAGCAGTGCCTATTTGTGTTTTTTTGAGTGTTAGGATTATGTGTTGGACTATGTAGGTCGTAGTTTACGCTCCCTGGATTGAGGGAAAGTTGGGAGAACGTACTCTGCTTCTGTGGGATTATAACCAGAAAACGCCTTGTTGGCAAACATTGTACCGACTTTATGCCACGAGTCAGCGGTGACGGGGTGTTTCTGACCAAGGTGCTTTGCATAAAGGGCCAGGACCCTTGTGTGCAACTGCATGGCCTCGTCATAGCGCTGATTCTTGAGCATCCAGTTGCCGAGCGTGTAGTCGACTGCTTCGGGGGCCGTGTTTGGATGTAACTGCGCTTGATCCAGCATTTCCTTTGCTTCTGTTAGCTTGTTGCCCCATAGGTAGCAATTTGCGAGATTCTGCATGAGATTGCCAATGCTGCATTCCTTGTCCATGCCGAGGTCTTTGCAGTGTTGTATGGCGGTCTTGTGGTATACTTCTGCTTCTTCGAAGCGCTCGACTGCCGTATGTGTGATACCCAGGTTGGACAGAATACGAATGTATAGCGTCGTCTTGAGAAGACAGGGCTTGTGCACTGCGGCTTTTCTGATATGAGTGTGCGACTGTACAATCTCCTCCAGAGCCTGTAGTTGGCGACTTGTTTCGCAACATAGGCGACCGTGGGCAAAGTATACGAGAGCCAGTATCTCGTCGTCTGGATGCTGGATTTTGAGCAGTAGTTCCTGGATGTGGGCGAAGGCTTGATCGCCCAGGCCGTACTGTGCGGATTCGAAGCCGTAATTGAGGATCTTGGTCATGATTTCCAGGAGCAACGCTGCATCATCGTTGGTGATGATGTCCTTGCAGCGGTCGTATATGCTGCGCACGTGGCTGAGTACCTTTTCCACGGCTGTCCAATGGCTGGGATTTCTGATCATCAACAGGTCAATCTCTGGTGAGAACCTATGGAGCAGATGAATGGAAAAATTTAACGTGTGCTGCAGACGCGAAACATTCTTGTGCATCTTTTCGAATGTCGTCTTTGACACTAGACGATGCATGCTGAAGCTATTGGTATGATGATCATGTTCAATCAACGATTGGCTCATGAGATGACCTCGCGCAGCTACAATACGTAGCGGGTTATCCAGTACCTCTGCATGAGCATGGGGTACATTTGTTATACAGAAGAGCTCTGCGGGAATCGAGTCCGGATCAAGCAGTGACATAGTGTCAAGAATGATGCGGCTGTCCTCGGACAAGATGCGTGAAGACAATTCCCAGACATCGGAAACAGTCTTTTCATGCTTTAACGCACCAGGAGGCTTGTAGTCATCAATAAACCCAGGGAATTTCTCGTAGAGCTGTTTGAAATGCGAGGGCGAACAATTCAAATGCGTGATATATGCGCCAACTTGCCGGAGCGCAAGTGGTAGTCCACCGAAGAACCGAGTTAACCATAAAATGGCTTCTTCGTCTTCAGCTGATGGTGGCCTATCGCTGGGTATCATTGAGTGTAGGAATTTGGAGCCTTCATCACCAGTGAATGACTTGACAGGAAGCGCGTGTTGTGCCAAGTAATCTTGCGTGAAAGGGTTTCGACTCGTTATGATGATGGAGCCGTATGTAGAGGCAGGACAAAAGTCCATGAGAATTGAGGGGTCGTCGGCGTTGTCAAATACCATTAGGAATGCGTTTGCTAAGTAATTTCTATTAGCGATTTCTTAGCCACGATCAAAAGACTCGTACTGACAAAGATTATTGATCCAATGTAATACAACATCTCGCGCTTCGTTTTCGCTAGTATCTTGGTTTAATTGTCGTGCGATGTAGATGAACTGTGTCGCTAGTTTGCGCCGAGAATCCGCATAAAGCCAAAGGATGACTTGGTACTCGTTGGTGTCGAAGTGACGATACATGTACTCTCTTGCAATGGAAGATTTTCCGCACCCTCCTAGCCCATGTAAAACCACGCTCCGCATCTTTCGGGGACTATATGCTTGAGTTTGATCCAGGTAGCGATCTAGTTTAGATAGATGCTCGTCTCTGCCGAAGAAACCGTTCCTTCTCGGGCAATTCTGCAAAAAGCGAAACGGCAGAGTAACATTCATGTTAGCTGTTGGAGACACCATGCTCTTGATATATTGTAGGATGTTGTCACTTCGCATCTTTGCCTCTTCATCTCGCTTTTCGACTTCTTCTGCTGTTTTCTTCGCTGCTTCGAAGCCCGCGGTGACAATTTCTCGGTCTAGCCATCCAGTATTGTCTTTAATCTTGGTCTCGCATTGTGTAAATAGAGCTTCTTGACTAGGGGTAAACAGCACCTTAATCGCATTTACTGAACGAAACGTTAGCTGATGCTCCGTGATCTCTCTGCATCGGACTCACAGCATGCCGGCCTCCGAAAGAACATTATAGCTTCGACTATGAATGTTACAAACTCCAAACAAGTCCTTCTTAGAGATCTAGCAAGATGTAAATAGTCTTTGGTAGGAAATAATTTCGTCCAGCGATCAAACAGGAGAAGGTAGTGTGTAAGAGACTCGATCTGACGAAGAACGTTTTGATGCAGAGCCATGGTGCGAAGAGAGGCCTAAATCCCGAGTCAGATTCTAGGCTATTGTATGAGATGCCTCAGGCAGAAAATTGGTGGAGAGAGGTGCTTTACAGATAGTAATACGCGTATTCCACCCCATACGATCCCTACCGCAAAGGACCCACTGCTACCGGCCACGACATCACAGGCTTTCCCAAACGACAGCACCTGTTCGGCGATCGGACTCATACGTTCGAGAAAGCGGTGGAAAAGACCCTTCTCGTACTTTTTGCGCAGAGGTTCAAATATTCTTGCCAGGTCGTCATCGTCCAGTGATGTGCCCGATGGCACAGGGCTGCAGAGAGCACGGTCTTTTGGTTTGAGCTTTGTGATCTTCTCTTGTAGTGCATCTCGCCAGATTTGATCAGTGGCACTAGGAATTGTTGTGTGAGCATGGGCAATGAAGCTGTTCACTGCCCTAACCGAGCTAGGGGCGTCGACGGAGGGATTTCCCGTGGACGTTTTGCCAGACTTCAGCGGGCAAGCTGCTGGTTTCGCCATGAAAAATGATTTGGTAGAAAAGGTAGCATATTTGGAGTTAAAACGATAGGGCAGGCTAGAGTAAAGGCTGAGATTTCAAGAGTAATGATGTATGACTATCTTCCTAGATGCTTCACGTATGCCACTCCATTCCGCGATGTCTCGCTTGCCTCACACCCAAAAAAGATTTCAATGAGGCTGAATGCTTATCGTATTTCTATGGCAGGCGAAAGTTGGACCGTGCTCATATGAGGTGGTGTAGATCCCGCCAAGGTGAATAGAAGCACCCGACTCACCAGCGGCTTACTGGCCAACAGAAGGCAAAGACTATTCCTAGCCAATTAGCGGGCACAGATGCCCTGCTCTAGAGAATTTACGTGTGTAATACTCTTGCGGCCTGGCTCCACACAGTACTAGAGCAGTTGCCTTCTTGTCTGTCCCAGCCCCACCTCTTCCTTGTCCTCACCAATGATCAGACCGGTGGTCGGCTGCAGCGCCTATCAGTTTTACCGCTGAAGGAGTCGAACATGCATATTGGGCTGCGGGGTTACCTCTTAAATTTGAGTGGTGTTGGCGTGCATAAATATAGCGTGGCTCGCACCAACCTCATTCAACCAGTCTCAGATATCTTCCCAGCACTGTCATCATAACTTGCTACATTGTACGATACAACATCATGTCACTTGTGTCTGTAGTTCGCACCGCCGCGGTTATTGTAAAGTGGGTTACTCGACCTGTGCTCCCACCTACAATTGGGCACTGACGCGAAACAGGCCGCAGGCTCAGGCGTTACTTGTGGTATCACGGGCACCCGAAAAGGCTCAGCCCTGGAGGGCGTTTTGGCCGCCCAAGGCTGAGGATTACACGGCCGCAGAAAAGGCGGAGATGCCTTGGCTGACATGGAAATATGACCCAACAAAACCTACCGATCGTCCCTGGAGGGAGTGGATGCTAGAGAATCAGAAGACAGTTGCACGACGTGGCGGGCTTTAGGCGTTCTAACTACCATCGAGAGGCTGGCTTGGGCTCTACATAGCGCTACGCACAAATAAGACGCTGGTGAGATGTTTCAATGCTAGTTGTTCTTACAGAACCGAACGCAAATGACGTGTAGTAACCGAAAACTCCTTGACGTCGAACATTTCCGTGTGTCATTTCCACCGCCTTGATGAATCAACTATCTGGCTCAACTCAGCCCCAGTTCAGATATATCGACTGAAGGCGCCAACCCTAACAAAAGCTCACTCATCACCCTGCCACTTCCTAGAGAAAGCGTCATCCCATCACTGAAATGTGCTGTGTTGAGGAACAAGCCTCCGACAGTTGATGATGCGCGATTTACTTCTGAATTCTCCGTGGTGGTGTTATTCTCAAGGCCAAGCAGACTCCATTTAACATTGGTAATGATCGGGTGCTCAAACGTAGATAGTGGCCTATAACACCTTCCAACATCATAGATTTTGAATTCCTCGTCTTCTCCCACCTGTATATACTGCTTGGCCAATGAAACCATGCTCTGGATCTCTGTTGGTTGCGCTCTTACGGACTCCGCAAGCTCAGGAAGTTCCTCAGGAATGGCTCCCCAGCCGCCCACATACAATTCACCTCCTATAAAGCTGGTAATGTCAAGACCCTGGCCTCCGGGAACGTCGTTTTGAAGGAACACTTGCTCACTGCCTTTCTTATCATCCTGTGCCTTCCAACCTGGCGTACGGACACGAAAATGATTACCTGCTGATGCAGTAGAGTTCATGGGTAAATGCAATGATGCCCGAGGAAACAGCGTGGAGAAGACACGAGGTGACCAAGGCCCAGCTGCGATTACAATGCTTCTGCAGGGTATCTTACGGGAAGCCTGATCCCGTTGTTGGACATGAATAGCAGAGAAGCGATTTGAGCCCTTAGCGACCTCGACAGACGTCGCGTTTGCGTTGAATATGAAGTAAACTCCTAGTCTTACGCACTCATTATACAGGAATCTGCAAAACCGGCCAGGGTCGCTTGTTTGTTAGAACACCGTATGCTGATCGGTGGTGGTACATACAGATGCGCCCCGTGTGGGGGCTCAGCCATGCGCTGTACTGTCCAGTTTTCCTTTGGTCGCACCCATCTCGGAAGCGCGCTTTGAGGTTGCTCGACCGGAGGCGTTGGCCCCCAAGTGTCAGCAGGTTTGGGGTCACCAGTAAAGTCTTGTGGCGTGATTCGATAAACAGTCAAGTCGCTAAATCCGAAATCCATCTGCCCGTTAGGGAAAGCCACCTTCTGAAATAGATTGTATGAAAGGATGCCGAGGTTGGCAACTTTGGAACCGAACCCGAAGTCTCCCAGCCCGCCAGTCGCTTGGCCGGAGGCAGAAGGACTGATGTGGGGTGCGCGCTCAATGACGACAATCTTGGTTGGTGGTGACACTGCATCTTCGGAAGGGGTGAGTGACAACGCAAGCTGGTAAGCTGTGGCGAGCCCAATGACACCGGCCCCTAGGATGACAGTATCGGCCGCGGACAGTTCATCTTCTTCCACTGGTAAGGGTTGTTGAGGAGAAGACCAAAGCTGCCCCATGGTTGTCGGAACTAGGAGCCAAAGTAAGAAGCGGACTGTGGTGGGGAGGCGGGGCATTTTGACGTCGGTAAGATGCATGCTCTGGCCAGTGACCAAAGAAAGAAGCATTGAGGGCTAACATCAACAAGAAACTGCAAGTCAACCAGGGCATGAGTTCTCTGGTCCAAACTTTTTATCTTTGCTCTCTGGTAACACGAGCACCAGGCTCGAAGTGTTCGATACCCTTCCAACAGAGATCCCGTTGATCGAGAAAGCAGCGGCCCGGGCAGTGGATTATTAGTTATCAGGAGAGATGCCGATCATACGTGTGGTACTTTCACCACCAATCACATTATGGTCAATCTCGGCCCACAGTACTACACCTACTAAGTGCCCCACACGCTCAGCTAATGCGTATGCCACTTTCCGTCTCTTGAGATGTACGCTAATACAGCTACATAGTGTAAATAATGTATCATCTGCCACTCTATTCGTCGTGCAGACGACGTCTTACACAGCGGTGAGACAGCAGCCTGCCGTGGTACACTGCCATACTACATATGGCTATTCAACAGCCGCTGGAGGGTGTACCATTTGCTCTATGACGTTTGCAATTATTTTGCGGCTGTGTGTGAAACACACATTTCACAACCACTTCTAGCAATCGCATGGTACCCCACCTGCAAATACTCCACGATGCGTTTGCGTCAACTTCCACATCGCTTCAACGCGCGCATCAAGCAATGGACCGCCCATCCGCCAACGCTAATATTCGTTTTCCTTCTGATCATATTCTTGGAGCTTGAGGAAAGTGTGCAAAGGGCACCTACTATCCGCTTGTTGGAAAATGCCGTTTGTTCTCAGTACTACCGCGATGAACTAGACGTTGGCGACATCGAGGAGAGCATGTGTAAGACGCCTGCCATTCAGTCCAAACTCGCGCATATACGAGGATTTCTCAGTCTCTTTGATGCAATCCCAGGTGCTTCATCCATGTCCACGTGCTTTTTCACTACTCACACATTACAGTCATCATCTTAGGATCCTTCTATGGTTCTCTAGCTGATCGCCAAGGTCGGAGAGGCCCTTTCGCCTTGGCTATATCTGGTATCGTTTGCCAAATGGCCTGCATCTACCTCGTTTGTTGGATTACCCCAACTCTCTCGGCGCCACGGGAATAACTGTTGATATAGGTAGTTCGTGGGACACGATACCAGTTGAGACAGTATGGGCGTCATCTATATTTCGCCTAGTTGGAGGCGGCCCTAACCTTGCCATTGCTCTTTGCCTTACCATGACTTCTGATCTTTCGACAGATGAGACAAGGTATATGAATGATCGCAGTCGCATTGATCAAAAGTCTTGCTTATATTGCTCGCAGGAGCAAATCGTTCTATCATGTCTTCACAGCTTCGTTGGTCACAGACATGATTGCCCCTTCGATCGCATACGCTACTCTCCGACATTCCTTGTGGCTGCCCTATCTCGTATGCGCAATATCGTTAATTCTCACTTTCCCAGTGCTACTGAGGATGCCAGACACGTTAAATCATACAAAGGGTCCTCATTCCACCGAAGAAGTGCCGGTCGAGCGTACTGGGGTGACTGCGTACATCAAATTCTTGAGTGACTGGAGAATTGCTGTGGGAGTCGCGGTAGTCTTTCTAGCTCAGTTCCGGCAGAATACATTTGAGATACTCCTTCCGTACGCTTCTGTGCGGTTCGATTTAAAACTTGGCGAGGCAAGTTTTCACTTTCCAATTCGTTTGTTACATCACTGATCCATGGCAGACTGCGACACTACTTACGGTGGTATCTGCGGTGAATATTCTCGCCTTCTTGATTCTACTTCCCATAGTTACCGACTATCTCCAGGTGAAGAGAGGTATTCGGTCGTACCGGGTGAACATATGGGTTGCTCGCACAAGCAGTGCGGCATTGGCCATGGGAGCTGTAGCTCTTGCTGCAGCTCCAAATATCGGGTTCGTGGTGCTGGGTGAGTGAAAGAATCATTGTAAAATTCCCGCGTTTGTTTGACAGCTTGCAGCCTTGATTGTCTATGCAACTGGATTCGGAGTTCGTCTTTCGATCCTCGCAGTCCTTACAGGGTTCGTCAGTAGCATACAAGAAACCGGTAGACTTTACACCATGGTTGCGACCACGGACGCTATCGCACACATGATTGCTAGCCCCCTGCTACAGTGGGTCTGGGGACGCGCTCTTTCTATAGGAGACAAATGGCTTATTTTGCCATTTTTGGTACTCACGGTAAGTCAGCCCCAAGGACGCTTTGTCGTGTCAACTCATACCTCTAGGCTGTTTTCATGATAGCTCTTGTATTTTCGTGTCTATTGCAAGAGCCTGGATGGCCCAATCTTGACGATAGCCTGGTTGCAGAACAGGAAGCACTCCTTTCTGGCAACGAACGAGACGATGCCATCGAAGAAGTTTTGGCTTACACCGAATGAAGACACACCTATGACGGCATATGGAGTCCTACAATACACAGTTTATGCAATTCATTACATTCACGCATTGATGTGGCTACGTGTGCGTGTGACTAATGTTTCCTTCATTTTTGTAGGCTCAACGATCTTCTTGTCGCCACATTCTCACCGATCAGTGCGCCTTGTTGCTTCTGAGCATCACGGTGGGTCGCACTGGGTCGTGATTCGTCGGGAAAATGTCATTATCTTTGATGACACCCCACGCGTTTTTGCCTTTTTCTATGCCCCCAAGGCGCCATGTTGTTGCCTTCTGGCTAAATGAACAGGTGAAATGATTTGCAGGATGTGAAGTTCGCTGGAGTGCTTGACGTAATTGCCGCTTGCTCGAGATCTATGGCCGACAGCTAGTAGTAGTGCTGTCCCGAACATCAGAAACAAGCATTACTGCAAACAAATTCACGAAAATCTCATAATCCATCGAGATGTAAATACACGTGTATGATAAAGCTTGCGTTATCTTTTTGTGGCCTGCCTCCGAGATCTGTTTCCCATTCACAGAGATTCTTCTTTGGCTAGGTTTGAACTCTCGGTGACAATATTCACTAGTAAACACGTACTAGATCCGGGTATGTTCTCTCATTGCCCATAGGATTCTTTAGCATTATTCTACAAGCTATACACAACATGCAAAGAGTTGTACAGCTCTTAGCTTCGAGAACCTTGAAAGATCCACCTCGTCTCCGATCTGTGTTCAGCACAATGCCAAAATCGCAACTCGAGCATGCACCCAATATTGCAACGTTACTCAAGGGTACCGCATTTGAAGCCACAGATGTACGGCGCATACATGTCGGTACGACTAATTTCGCATACCGAATCTTCTTGAAAACCCCTCTGGAGGGAGGCGAGCGGACAGCGATTCTAAAGTACTCGGCACCTTTGACAGCAACCGAGCCACGAGTACCATTTTCGCCTAATCGTCAGGCTTTTGAAGTAAACGCACTGGCAAATATTCCATGGCACGAGTTCACCTACCCGATCGTACCTCAACTTGCTCCACAAAGTCAGGCTATCGTCAAGCTACCTAAGCTCTACCTCTCTGTTCCTGATCTGGACTTTTGTATAATCGAAGACTGCACGCCCCGACCGCAAGCCACTGTATGGGATCAATATGCGCATTCTTTCCGCGAGTTCTTAGAGGATCAACCACCGTCACGGGAAAAGTATGAGGCCGCCAGTTCATTAGGCACCATGCTAGGCAGCTTTCTTGCGCAGCTGCACACCTGGGGCTTGCATAGGTCAGACCACAGCACTGCCTTTGCTCTCTTCTCCAAGAACATTTATGCCAAAGAGCTCATGACGAAAGAGCTTTTCGACAATTTTAGACAAAATATCAAGCAATTAGGTTACATAGTCAGCGCCCACCAGCAGGCTCAGCTACAAGAGAGACTCACTCAAGTGAACGAATCCCTAAATTCAGAAACTCAATCTGTAGCCATGGGCGACTTTTGGTGAATTTTAGTCACAAATTAAGATAGACCATTGGACTAATAGCACCATAGGATGGGGAATGTTCTGATCAACCTTGATGACAAACAAAGACTGCGCGACATCTACGTCATCGACTGGGAATTCGTCAACATGGCCCCAACATGGTTGGATGTTGGTAATTTTGTTGGTGAACTATTTCTTATAGGCTATTTCGAGGGCACTGACGATGCATATATTCATGTGCTAGAGGCCTTTATAACAGCCTATCGAGGATGCGGCTTGCCATTAGATACTTCGCGCGCGCTACAGTTTGCTGGTGCTCATATTATGATGTCGCTACCAAGGCGCGTCACCTCAAAACGCAGCAAAGCAACTTTCGAAACAGCACTTCCATATGTGGAAACAAGCCTGAAATTAATAACAGATCCGGAATTCAACTATCTGCTTGGAAAAGAGAGCGATCCGTTGATGACCATTGCAAGATTGCTGAGAAATGCGAGACAACCGAGCACAACACAGGACGGTTGAGCCATCTGCGGCAAGCTAGTCCAGGCCGCCTTTCATCTCCGCCAGTTTCTCTCCTAGAAGTCCAGGGGGAGTCTCGGCGGGCAACGGCTAGGGACAATGGAGTTTCGCATTAGCAGGAAAGAAGTCCAGAAATCTGGTGGAAAACCACACATACCTCTTCAAAAGAGTTGCTAGCTGCACTACCCTCTGGGAAAATGACGACGGATAAGCATTCAAAACTCTCTCTCGGCCTGGCCGTGGGAGCAGCCAAGGGATTGCGAAAAGATGCATGGGCACATACTAGATCCAAAATCAGCAGGGAAGAATTTTCATTCGGTTTAGTAAATTAAGATAAAAAGCTATTACTTACATCGCGCGTGGCCTTTTGTAGCATGCGTATCAAATGTCTTGAATACAAGGATCTCATTTGGCTGTTGATCCTCAAGGAAGTACCATTTATGCCTCTTGTTCCATAGTACATTGTAGTTCTCGCGAATGCGGTGCACATATATGTTATCTGATGAAATGAGATCTCGTGCTTTGTCGAGAGATGTATAGTCCATGAGAGCTAGCGGCCAATCTTGCAGTGGACCGAACAAGGGCCTCCAGATACTGTTGTTCTCGACACAAGAAATTAGCGGATGCTCACTTGGCCCATGAGACATGGGTATGAGACAGATACTCACTGCACTACTGCCCATCTGCGCTTCGACATATCTGTGTAGCCGCGAGCGGCTAATGCATCTTGGACCTCGGAGTGCGACCCATCGGGGGTCATATCTAGCAGCGCCCCACATACTAATCAGCAGACAATACCCTTATCATGAGCCGTCCAACTTACCAACATGTACACCCTGTACGGGCTGCGGCACAGCTCCACTGGTACCGCGGGGTAGCATTGGAAATAGCCTGTCACGCCTGCGTACCTACAGCAAACACACTGTTAGTCCAACAAGCAACCTGAAGGCTAATCGCAGAGTCAAAGACTCAAAATAGGAGAAAAAGCACTCTTACTTGATGAGAAAACGCAACAGCATCCTCACATCCGTCTATATTCCGTTTCAAAAACTCCTCTACAGCCTTCCTCGCCCTGTCACGCACACTTGCCTCGTCTGCATACTCCTCGTATGGCAGCGCACGGCATAACATCTCACCGCCACGGTCTTCATCCTCAATCACAACCTTGAAGCCATTCCGATCGAGTGTAAAATCACCTATACGATTACGGAGACCCGTTACAGGAATATCATGGTAAGCAATCGAGACTTCGTTTGACTGGAGTCCTGGGTCAAATGCGCGTTCAGGAATGTTGATATGGTAGGGTTTCACAGTCTGGTATTCCGGGCGGTCCTCTAGGTAGTGAAAGGTGGCGCGTGTGCTTAGACTGCAGCGTTGGCTATGGCGATGGTTATTCGTTACTATTGTGAATCTAGCTGCTGTATGACGGGGCAGGGTGAGGCGCAAAGAACGTATTAGAGCCAGAGAAGCCATAGTTTTAGGACAGAGAATTGAGTCATAAGCTGCTTCGTCGCAAAACCAGTGGATGAGATAAAGTACTTGGAGGAATATAGCCTATTAGCCAGTGCGCATGATAGTCGGGTGGCTTGCATGGGTTTGAATCGGGCATCACCAAAACTCATGGCTGTTTTCATCCTGGTCACCATAACTCTTTGTTGATCATCATTAGGGGACTGAGGAGCCAGCGAAGAAAAACTCAGATGAATGTGTTTTTCCATGGCAGTGATGCAACCGACAACAAACAGCTTGAGGCAAAATGGGAAGAAGCATGGGTAAACAGCAAACTCTCGTACTACTGCTACGATATGTCGAGTGGTTTGAAGTCTAACGCAAAGTGTTTAACGACAGCCCCACGGCGCAATGTAGGAATAGGTGACTGATTAGGGGATAGGGAATATTTACTCCAGGCTAAGCTAGTATTGCCCAAGGTTAGACAGAGGACGTGAAATACGATGCATCCTATAAAGACAAGGCTGGCTAAAACTTCTCGAAAGAGAGAGAGATTGCGTAGTTTTGAATGATGTTCATGGTGCTCAAGATGAATGTAGAATGAAGCTCGCGTCCAATGCCTCAGATTATACTTATAGTATTGGCGATCATAACATGCCTAGTCACACAGGACTCACCATCATTCTGATAGCATCGCAGATTGAAACTGACGTTTCAAGGGCTATGATCGTTAGGCTACGCTGTTTAGTGTAAAGCTGAGGATTCCTCGAGGACCTCTCCATCTCCTGGAAAAGTGTCAAGTTGGTTCCCTGTGAAATTCGTGCCCTTGTCAGTGGCTTGATACATAAGACAAGGCTTCAAGATGACTTTTTGTGCAGCCAACCAAGCTTTATGAGCGGCTAATATCCACAGGTACCGGATCAATATGTACTGTTTCCTTCCAGAAAACAGAAGTTTTAGCGAGACTGGTTTTGGGTTCATGGAAATTTAACAGCTAGGTAAACGATGTTAGCGTTCATACGTGATCATGTGAGAGTATTGAAAATGATCGAAGTGTTTGCCGGATTCATACTCATTTGGTTTCTGAGGTAATGAGAGTGGCATGTAGTATCTATTGACTCTATTTTCTCGAAGGATGTATTCTAGTTGCTAATGTGTATGAGAGCATCGCGCTTGGCAGTCAAGGCACAGCAATGTGGCATTGCCTAAGCGGCTGAAAAACACATAAGAACATGCATCGGAGATTCTGATAGGATTGTCGGCCAAATTCCTGACTGTCAGACTTTTGTGGCTGATTTTGCTCTGGGGGCCACCCTTCTAATTATGGTACAGCGCTTACCACGGCGTATAGCAATTGTAGTTTAGTGTCCAAGGTGGACACATTGTTACATTTGTTTCTCAGTATGTAGCGTCCATGCCGAAGATGTTCGGCCCCACTTAACGTCTCGAGGGTCTCCCTTCTGGGAGTGCTTGGACAATTGACCCTGGGAGAACAAACGAGAGCGGCCCTTCTGTGAAACGCATGGAATATGGAAGTAATGAAAGGATTCCTCGCAAGATCGCCGCTCATAAATTAGCTAGTCAAGCGCTTTGTTGACTCGCTGCTCATATTAAGTAGAAGACACATCACTTGACATTGCACTTGCAAAGTGTAAATGCGAGCTACATGTGAACAAGACTGGTCCATATTGGAACAGAATGCTGGGAAAATCTTCGCAAATCCTACTTTATGTCACCTCTGATGTAACCGAAAGACATAAAGTATCTGCAGGATAACTTGAGTGCAGATCATGACATGCGTTCTTACAATAGACCACGTGGAGGCAAAGCGCACTCAGCCACAAGCGATATTAGGGTTCGAGTTGCTTGACTGTATGCTGGACGGGACTTCTTTTTTAGCAGATCCTCTGGAGGCGGTGACGAGTGCAGCAGCTGTATTGTTCGGCGAAGTAAAGAATACTATGCTCATTTGGTTGAATCTCTCCAACCCAACGACCCACTCGCTGCTCGTTATTGGGCGGAATATGCATGGCCAAATCCTCAAAATCTCCCCCGCACATCGAACGACCAGCAATGCACAACTGCGCACCTTTGCACCACCTCCGCCATGAAATCCCGGAGGTCGTCAGGTGCAAGTAAAAACCACTGTGCCTCAGAAAACTATCGCCAAAGATGATCTGAAGTCTTTCTGTGTTAGTAATGCCAAACCCTTTGACCGCTCAGTGGCGAATATCGTCGTGGCAGAAGAGCTTACGGGGTAATCTTATCAGGCTACGTCCTCTGCGGCTGAGTGACTCGAGTTTTTGCACGTGAGAGCTTCTCCGCTCGTTCCGCTTCGCTCCGAGCGGTCTAGAACATGGGCGATGCAACGTTCGCAGTAACCTTATGTTTCATTTCTTGCAATATGTCATGCATTGGCCATTAGTCGCTCCACAGGTGCGCGTTGGCGGATCCGCTTTTGGTTGAATGTAGGGCTTACCGCATTTGCCAAGGACAAAGCTGAAGAGACGGCGAGGGTGTAGTATATCTGTTGGTATAGATCATTTCCTCTACATCACTCCGGCGTGGATGGTACAATAAAAAACCAAAAAGTGTCAGACTTTTATTTCGAAAACGGATCACGCGATGGACTTGTCAAGCTTGCACGGAGGCCCCCGCAACGCCTATACACAATACTCTCCTGACAGCGAGCCTTACCTTTCACCCAGAGCACCGGACTTGTACTTTGCAGACTCTTGCACATATACCTCTGGTTACTTCAGGGGCTCCTTCTTCGATGACAACCCACACTCCTATCTGATGACGAAACCGCTGGACATAGTCAGCCGCTGGGACAGTCCATCACCTAGCATGTTTCCTGGTACGAATCCAATAACCAACTCCGCATATGCAGTGAGCGATAGCCATCTGAAAACATGGCCAAGCTTCAACTCCGGGGATCTAGCGCACGGGAGATATGCCCACGATGCTGAAGCAACCGAACCTCATCACACTGCCGACTCGATACATAGCTGCAGTAGCAGTCCCTCATCCCCAGCTATCTCACCCCAAATATCAAGGCAATCACGTCCTCTCTCACCTTCGGCATGTCCTCGAACCTTCATACACGTCAAGTCCGAGCCTACAAGACGCAAGCGAGGCCGCCCGCGCCTCCCACCTGCAGCCGCCAAGGTCTCAGCAAGCATCATTGCAAAGAAGGTCGAGCGACCGCAATGCATATCACATACAGAAGTTGAACGCAAGTATAGGGAGAAGCTCAACACGGAGTTGGAACGGCTACGTCGAGCTGTTCCGTCCTTGCTTCGAGCCGACTCGGATAATGTCATGGGCGGCGCGAGGATAAGCAAGAGCGCAGTGCTGGCAGTGGCAATAGATTATATCAAAGACCTGGAGGCGCAGAGGGATAGTGCCTTGGATGAAGTTAAAAGACTCGGTGGGGAGTTGCGATTCGGGAATAGGTGATGCGGTTCATCGCAGTGATATTTGTCTAAAAAACGTGTCTGTGTCTTGTTTCGGGTTTCGGCGTTCATCCTCAAGGAGATTGTTACAGCCGCTCAGTGTTTATGTATGCCTGTTGTATTGATTATATGGTATTAAATGGATGAGAGTAGATGTACATATTCAAATACAGTTCTAGTCTTATTCCATCAAATGGCATTTCTGTCCAAAGGCATCACGTCAAAGTTGGGTAACGAGAGCTTTCCCCTATTCACAGATCGCATTCTCTCACATTAAGCTGTTACTTCCTTCGCACTAACAGTCCTATAAACATTGCTAAGTATCTTCAGTCTTCTGTCACAATAGGTAGGGGCAGCCTCGCTGACGGAAAAGATATCTGCAATTATCTTCCGAAGTTGTGACAGAGTGATGTAGTACTATACAATTCGAGTAGCCAAGAGAGAGCTAAGGAAGCCGAACAAGATCAACAAAGGTCCATGAACACCTATATCAAGAACAAAATGGGAAGAAAGCGATAAGAGGAGTTCTGCATGCATCAGGCACTTCTAGTTTTCCATGTTAGTAGTTTAAATTCTACCCCTTCCTTTTCAGTGAGAATTAGCCCTAGTGGTAAGGAAAAGGGGAGTTTTCTGTTGGGTTGAGCAGTCTTTTGACAGGTGAGGTGCTAAATCTGGCAAGACAAGTCGCTTGTACTGTTATTCCACTTCTACATCTACTAGACAAAACTATTCAGCTACAGGTCATAAGGCAAAAGGTAGGTGATGCTAGAGTAACGTCTTCGATTACTAGTTTTGATATTGCCTAATGCGAAAGTCGCATTTCAGATCCACATATTCATTGCACTTTTTAGTAATAGCAAATAAAAGCAAAGGTGGGTCAATAAGATATCGCATATAGCACAAGATCAGCTACTAGCTAGATAATTTGTATTGCTAATCGCAGCTGACTTTTCTATCTCAGGATCGTGGAGTATTGGGATAGAAACCACGTTAGTTGAGTTCCGTCTTGCCTACAAAATAAGGAGCAGGAGTATCACCTGTTTCTCACAATGTCGATTTCATGAATTCATCTTACCTTAGTGTGTGGGAATACATTGCACATGGGCCTTTAGCAGAAGATAAGGCTCCTGTCGGACACCCTGTTACTGATAGGGTAGGGGGAGGATGAAGATGCGAAGAGATTAGTGATAGTATGTAAATATGAAACTGCTTTGGAGGAAATAGAATCTAGCTGACGTATACTGGTGCAAAGTGCGTGATGGTAATTTTCCGCCTCTGGGTAAAATAACACGTGACCGAGAGAACATGATAAGGAAGGACACCTCCCAGATACAAGTGCCGATCACAATAGTTGCATTATTCAACAGTATGCTCTGCGGCCAACCTTGGTAGAGTCCCACGTGAATGAATCGTCTCACTCAGTCCCAATGGTCTTTCATCCAGAAGTCTGCCATCGTTGACTTCATCTACTCTTTTGAAGGTATCATGAACTAGTCCTCTCCGGGGATCCTCTTGGTTTCCGGTGCGCACGCTTTTCATCCGACCAAACGGTGGCGAGGGGAATGTGATGCCACGGGTTTCTGGTGTGGAAGCAGCAGCAGCAGCCGGCGACTGTGGCAGTGGGGGTAGTCCTTGGCGTGGCAACTCGAGAGACTTACTCTCTTCTGACTCGTGTACACCTAAACGATGGATTACCGGTCCCTGATTTGTCTCACTTGGAGTTGTTGTGTTCTTTCTTCGTCTACGTATGTACCAGGCCAGAGCGATGAGGAAGAGGGTGCCAATTACGGATCCTACAACCGCTCCTGCTAGAGCCGCTGTTTGTGATGACGGCTTTGTACCGGGAAGTATGCGACATACTTGCTTTACTTTGGCATCTGCGCCCATGAGGTCGGCCGCTGCAACGACAGCAGGTGCGAGTTCGTAGTTGGCAGCATCGGGATCGACGATGAGGTAGTTCTGGGTGAAGAAAGGAAAGCCCAGGATCCCGACAGTCACAGATTCTGTTTGATTCGTTACAGCCATGTTGAATACTGTTGCGTTGTTCACTTCAAACACTCCCGCAGAATTGTATGCTCGTGGTCGATAGTAAAGCTCGGATGCTGGGATTACAGTTTTGTATGAAGCTACCGAAGGCTTTGATGCATCACCAGCGGGACTACCCATGTCGGATATGGTAATAGTAATTGTACCTGTAGGGGCCGGACTAGTAGGGAGCTCGAAATGGCGTGATGTCTCGTTCCAAACAGCCGTCTTTTCAGCAGCTGCTAGCTTTTCCAACATTGCTTGTGGGAATCTGATATCGGTGGAGAAGGGATCGAGATGTACAGTGAGTGTATCCTTGGCGTCTTCGAAAAGCGTGGTACTGGTACTACCGACGTCGTAAGTGATGGCGGTGAGTACAGCGCACGTAGGGCAATCCGAAAACATAGGAAATTTGGTTGCCGGACTTTTGAGACGACTTTCATCATACCCACCAACTACGAGCAAGCCGGGCTGTGGTGCGTCTTCTGATTCTGAGCCAGCCCACAACCCGTACGTCCGTGACGAAGCCTGACCTGAATCGACAAGGAGGTTCAAAAAGCTGGAGTCCATTCCCAGAGGCAGAGTGGCTCGGAACCCTGGATCATACTCTGCGAGAGAATCCACAGTTACTAGTGTGTATTAGTGTTGTGCTCGTTTGGTAATTCTCCCGGAATCACTCACTGTCTGTGGAACCGTTGGTATACATAGGGAGGGCGGGGAACTTATTGGTAGCATTCTTTGGGCCAAAAGCTGCAGTGTCGGTAAAGAAGATGTGGGAGTTTCCGGATGCCATATTTACAGGCTCTCTGCTCCCTGCCCACGCTGCGTAGTCAACCTGAACAAACGAAGTTGAGGCCGCACTATCGTAGATGCCGCTGAGTTGGCCAATACAACTGCTGTTCGTGGCCGATCCACACTCTGTTACGCTGTTGATGAAAGCATTGCCCAAAGTTGTCGAAGGTGTTAGAGAAAAGAGCTGGGGAGGAGTTCCAATGGCGAAAGAGATGCCTTTGGAAAAGATTGCACCATCGGCGGAGACTGAATGGTTGGTCCACGGCAACAGCAATGGTTCAGAACCATTAGGGCAAACCATTTCCTCCAACGATGGCCCCTAAGCGGGTGAAACTGGTCGTCGTCTACGCTGGCTGTGATAATGATAATGATGATGATGATTGTGGTCGAGAATGCTTCGACTTGGCCAGCAGCATTATCATTGCTATGGATTTGTACAGGGATGCATCCAAAGAGGGAGTGATCTTCACAACTTGGGCATGGCGACCTGAACTCCTGGATCGGGCTTCGATGGCTGGTGCTTGATAACTCGGTGAGGCAGGTATTCCCATTGGACAAGGCCAGCCGACTAGAGTCTCAGACTCCGTACCTGAACAGCCCTACCTCACCACCCAAGGAAACAGCCCTTGTAGACTTGCGCATATGGAGCAGGCCTCCATAATAATGATAATGATAATCATCATCGTCATCAGCAACAGTAGCAGCAGCAATGTCAAGGTTCGGACCGCAATTCACCCATGCTCTTCTCTGGTTACTGACGTCATAATCGAGTCGAGGTAGGGCTGACTGGTCTACTTGAGCCTGCGGCTTGTACTGGATGAAATCAATATTTCCAG